TCTCATCCTCCGCTTATCCCTTGAGCGTCACCACCGTGTTATGCACCTTCTCTTCGCCATCATTCTCTTCCACCTTCTTCAAACCCCTCCTACTCCTTAACAGGCAACCCTCCAGTGAGTGCCCCAGTCGGCAGCGTCGGCAGAGATCCAACCGGCAACTTCGCCAAAAGATTCTGCACAACACTCGTATCCACCCCGGGCACAAGATTCTGCAGCCCGGTAGCGCCCAAATTCCCCAACACCAAAAAACTCGCCACGGCGGGCAAATTATCCGCCACGGGCGCCGCCGCACTCACCGCCTTGACCAACTGCGTCGGATCCTGGAGCAGACTCCCCAACGCGTTGGAGGAGAGGACGTCGGAGCCGCCGAGGATGTAGGTTGCGAGGGCGAGGTCTTTGGGGTTGATGAACTGGACGGCGGTTTGCAGGGCGGCGATGTTGGTGAGGGGCACGAGTTGGGTGAAGGGGTCGACGTTGTAGAGGCCGAAGGTGTTGAGGGTGGAGATGGCGTTGCGGACGAGGGAGGAGAGGAGGGGGAGGCTGGAGAGGAGGTCGGTGAGGGGGAGGGTGGCGGCGGATTTGACGCCGCCGGTTAGGGAGGAGAGCGGGGCGAGGAGGGGGATGTTTTTCGTCTGGGAGGGTGTTAGCTTAGGTGTGGTGGGGGACTGGGAGGTGGGCTTACGGTTGAGAGAACGATCGATGGGATGCCGGCTGGGCTGGTGAGGATTCCGCCGAGTGGTGTACCGGCGAGAACGGCGCTGAGACCAGCGAGACCGCCAGTGCTGCCAAGGAGTGGGTTCAAGAAGGACAGCGGTGTAGCACCACCAGCGATTCCATTAACGACATTGGCGACGTTGCCGACAAGCTGGTTGTTGGCAGTCAGTCCGCCAACGACAGCACCAAGACCAGCGCCGCTCGTCAAGCTGCCTACAGCACCTTGAACACCAGCGAGCGGGCTACCTCCACCGAGGAGGTCGCCAAGGCCACCGGGCAGCTGTCTCTTCTCTTTGGCTTCCTCGTCCTTGTCAGACTCCTCAGAATCTTCCTCCATCATGCGGCCTGGCAGGGTGACGTTTGGCACACTGCCAACAGCGGGCAGGATGCTAGGTGTAGCAGGCAGACCGGTTGGCACGACGCCAGCTGCGACACCAGTAACGCCTGCGACGGCACCGGTGATTTGAGCAGTTGGGAGGTTCTGGAGAGCGCTCAAGACGCTCGATGGGAGAGCAGCGGCTGGAGTTGGGAGCGCACCGCCAGCGACGGAAGCCACTTGCGCGAGAGCAGAGGCCACAGCACTGATGACCTTGGCAAGAGCGTCAGAAGTGACGCTCTCCAAGATGCTATTGACTTCTGGTGCGGCGGTGAGCTCAGGAAGGCCGCCTGGCAGAATACCAGTTGGAACTTCTGGCAGAGTCGGAAGTCCAGACGTTGGAATCGCGGCCAGAGCGCTCTGAATGGCACCCGTAGCTGCGGCGTTGGCTGGCAAGCCGGACAAGGTGGAGATGATGTCCGTGTTGGCCAGCGGGACGAGGGTCTTGATGTCGACGGGCAGGATGGAGCCAGTGGGGAACGAGGTCTGCAGGAGAGCAGGGAGGGTGAGGGACGGTGCTTCGACTGGGAGGTGTGGGAGGCCAGCAGCTGAGAGACCGCTGACGGGGAGCGATGGGAGGCCATTGGTTGGAAGCGCCGGGAGAGCACTTGGTGGCAGAGCAGGGAGACCTCCGCCGACAGCTGGGAGTCCGCTAGTTGGTAGAGCGGGCAATCCTCCACCAACCGATGGAACGAGACCGGCTGGGTTTGGAAGCCCACCAGCAGCAACACTTGGGAGTGCAACGCTTGGGAGAGCAGGCACGCCAGCACTACCGCCGCCAACGACAGGAACTGGCACAGCGACCTGCGTAGCAGACGTGGTGATTGGGAGAGTGGGGAGCGTGATGCTCGGGATGCGAGAGGTGGGCACAGCCGCACCGCCAACTGGCAGACCAAGACCGGCGCCGACTAGATCTCATGTCAGCATATATCCACATTTATATTGTGATATTGCGTACGACCAGCACCAGCGCCAACCGCGCCGCCGAGGTTGAGCCCACCTTGTGGTGCTGCATGGACGAGCCCAGCGAGGGCGACCATGGGAAGGATCATGTCCGCCATGATGATATCGAATGAGTGACAAGTTGTCGTAATGAATGGACGAATGTCGAATGAGTGGATGCAATGTCTGCACCAGCGATCAAAGTCGATGCCTGCCTCTCAATCCCCCATCCACGCAGCCAGCGCTGGCATATGTATAGTCGATCATGACGGTGAGAAGCTCCCCCAGCATTCTTCACACCATACCCGGCAACACGGCGCCATCAACATCCTGTAACCCGAGCATGAACATGTGCTCTGGTGTCAAAGAGGTGCTCGATCCCCAGAATGATGCAAGTGGCGCATTCGGCAGGTCAGAGCACCGGCGTGGTGGTTCGGGAGGTATTGCGGAGTGCCGCCCTTGCACCGGGAGATGAAGGTTCACATTCTTCGGCATGCCGATCGTCAGAGCGGTATACAAAGATGGCTGAAGATGCGGCCACGTTGGGTGTGTGCGTGCTGCTGGTTGATCTTGGCCGTTCGTATTCTCTGATGTCGTGATAAATTTGCTGGTTTGGCGTGCTGGGTGGGAGAAGGTTTTACATGAGAGAACTCGTGCCTTGCGTGCCAGGCCGTACTGCTGCATTCTTCGCCGTAGCAGTGGTTGAGAAATGGGTTCGGTTGGCTGGGAAGATGAACTCGCATTGACCGCAATGGACTCGAGCTGGCGCCGTTCTCTTAGCTTGGACCGACTTCACCAAGGCCGTACTTGAACTGTTTTCTGCACAAAGGGAAGCGTGAGCGATGGTTGATGATCATGGACGTCGAGTGAAAGAGTGAGTTGACAAGACACGGCTTTTTTCCCATCCTTGTTTCCGCCATGCCCAGAGAATGAAGTCTCCATTCGATTGACGGGATCGAGCTGCTGACCTGCCAAACCCCGAGGAGAGTCAACGAAGCAGCCAGCGACACCCACGGGATACGGTTTCGGATCAGTCTGAACATGCACGACCGAGAAACTTGACACGTCGATGAAGCGAGTCAACACCGCACCTTGGTTCCAATACCTCAGCCCAGATCCAGCTCCAACGGCTACTCATTTGCGCCATCCGAGGGCATGTGGGAGTTGTTCTTCCCAGGTCCTAGGAGTATCGAAGAGGTATCGTGAAGACGATTTGCAGCCCCCAGATATGTCCCAAAGCTCATACCAAAGCATGTGGCTCTATCAAACCACACTCCGCCGGTATCGAGCTCAGGACAACAAGAGTTGCCACCCAGAAGTCCCACGACGAGTATTAGTGATGCAAGGCCCACTTTCATACAGCAGTCTGAACAACTGAAGCAGATCGGTCAAGCCCGTTCTGTCAGCATCTTCGTGAGACTGCGGTGCCCCTTCTCCTTGGAAAATTGTTGCGGCTTCGTTGGCTTTGGTTTGTTTTCGAGATATCTCAATCCGTGGCCGATGACCAGCTCCCATCAGACCAGAAAAGAACCGCGGTCGACCGAGATCCGCCCAGGACAGAGGTCCTGGAGAGGGAAGCTTCATTTTCACGACAGGACCCGTCACCATCGAGGAGCCGTACATCGAGCGTACTCCGGATCATCCAACTTTCTCAGAGCCTGGAAGGTAAATCCCATAACCAACCGAGTCGAAAAGTCCGACGCACCAGGGGAAAAAAATACTCGAATCGAGTCCACGAGATAGACCTTTGGAACTTACACACCGTTCAGCAGGATATGATTCTTTCAGTGAAGCGTTCTAGAGACCTCGCTCGCTGCTCTGGATCGAGAGCATGTATCCGTCCCAGATCTACCGGTACTGATATCGGCTTTTTCAGTAGGTAGAAGTTCCAGAGAGCACACCCCGACCCGTGACCATCGATAAACCGTACGTCGAGTCCCGCGTACTCCCCAGCAAAGCTGGTCGCTAACCGTAGAGACCCGAAAGAGTGACTATCAGCACCGATTCGCCGTCGAAGATGAGAAGACCGTTAACCATACCGTCGTCATTCGCTGATCGGGGCCGCAATCCAACTGACGCTGTGAAGCGAGATGCAAAAGATTGCCATCGTACATCGAGCGTACTCCCGAGCAAAGCTTGTCGACTGCTACGAGACCCTCGAAGAGGTATCACCAGCATCGATTCGCAGTCCAAGATCAGGAGACCGTCAAACACACCACCAGCCTGCACCGACCAGTCTCCCAGTCCAACTGACGCCGTGAAGCGAGAAGAGAAGAACCACTCGGTGATGGTGCTCTTATTCATTCAATAAGCTCACGTCATGAGCGGGTATACTCTTTTCAGCAAGCAATCCTCAGCATCAGCACTCCCCATATCTCAATCCCCTCTCGACTCCACCATCACTTCCCCCCAAACGCCCTATCCCTCTCCAGAGTCCCCTCGATAAACCCGCGCAGAGCCTTCCACCTCTCACTCTGTCCGCCACTGCCACTTCCAACCTTCTCACCGTCTCCTCCCTTCTTCTCCCCCTCCCCTCCTCCGCCCATCAACCCCGCCAAATTCCTCCCGAACCTCTCCCTCTCCCCCTTCTCCATGACATCCCTCCTCTTCATAGCCCCAGGCTTATGTTTCAGACTCTTCATTTCCATCTTCCCGTCCCTCGCCCTCCTCGACCTCTTCTTCTTCTGCAATCCCTCGACAACCATCTCGTCTTCACTTATCCCCTCCCACTCTCCATTCTCATCACTATCAAGCTCAGGCAAAGCATCACCCAGATCAGCGACGCCTGTCACGAGTTTCCTCCCCGGCCGTCGTCTCTTCTTTCCCGCATTCTCATTCTTCTGCACCCCTCCCTCCCGCACGCGATTCAGTAAAGTATTATGCCTCACGATCCTCTTATCCTTCTTGTTCAACTTCAAGCCCACCCCAAACCCAAACTCATCACTTTCCACCTCGGCCTCGACGTCGGTGGTGGTGGGGTCTTCGGGCGCGGGTGCGAGGTCTGACGGTGAGGGAGGGGCGTATTTCCCGCGTTGGGAGTTGTTGCGTGCGGTTACGCGGGCGCGGGTTGTGCGGCGGTGTGGTTTGATGGGGGCCATTCTGGTGGTTGTTGGGTGGTGTGTGGTTTGGGGATTTCGGTTTGGCGGTTGGTGGAAGAATTTCTGGAGGTGAGGTTTGGAAAGCGGGGCTGGTTCCGTGGTTGGGGTTAGTGCCTGAGGCAGAAGTATGGTTAGTTGACGCTTTGCCTATGTGCAAGAGGAGAGCTTCTCGGGGGGTTGAGAAAGGGAAGGGATGGATTGAATGGATATGGCATGCTCAATGCATCTTGTACACTTGTGTTTTATCAAAGGGTTAATTCAAACTTCGGCGGATCAATGATCATGGCAGAGATCGAAGTTGCATTGAATTCGCTACTTACTACGGGCATTGGATCGAGAAGACTTACTGTTTGGTATCTGCTGGGGTCTGAAGCTGCGTAGAAGGAAGTCGCAGAACCCTCTGATCGAAGCAGGCTGCTGATGTCTTACAATCGAAGCTGGAGCCGCTTGGACTGATTTGCAGAGTACTGTTTTTGCCGAAAAGGGTGGCGGCAGGACGGTCCGCAGTGATTGTTGGAATGTTTGGGAACCGTGTAGACGAAGGTAGCGAGAGCCTATGCATCAAACAGCCTCAGCACTTCGACCCGACAAGCTGGAGCTGCTGGGTTTGGATTTCCTGACTGCTGCGAATTCGAGAGAGGTGGCGAGAGGGCCTTGTACGGTGGTGATTGGAGGTGCGTCAAGTCGGTCCAGGTGGACAGCGTATGCATCAAGCAGGATATCAGCACTTGAACAGAAAAGCTCAATCTGCTGCGCTTGGATTTGCTGATTCCTGGGAATTCGAAGCTGGCGAGAGAGGCTTGTACAGTGATGCTTGGAAGTGCCTCAAAACAGTTCAGATGGAGAGCCTATGCATCATGGTGAAGATTAGCGCGTCAACAGAAAAGCTGAGCCTGCTGAGCTGGATTACCCGTCTTGCCAATTGCAGGGTAGTGAGAGGACCATCCAGGGCGATGTCTGAAAATGCCTCAAAACAGTGTAGGTAGAGGTAGCGAGGGCCTACGCACCAAGCAGTATCTCCACAGTTCGCCAGACAAGTTGAACCTGCTGCGGCTGGATTTGCTGAGTCTTGTGAATACCAAGAACGTGGAAGGAGGTTGGTATAAGGTGATCCCTGGGAATGCCTGACCGTAGCGAGGACTGAGGCGTCAAACACTTATACATGAAGCAAAATCTGAGCGCTTCGCCACAGAAGCTGAACTTGCTGAATCGTCGCCGAATTTGAAGGCTGTGGCCTGAGGATGGTGTCGTGTGGCAATATGTCCAGTTCAGTATCCATCCACAGCCCGTTCCATCCCGTGACAAGGCCCTGACCAAAACGTGGCAACCGTTTCGGCGGATGTGTCAAAGCCAAGCACCAGCCGCCCAACCGCCCTCGAAACTCTCGCATCGCCCAGCAACAAGTCAGCCTGCACAGCCAGGAACAAACCTCCCAACTGCAGGCGATATTACCGCAAACAGCAAGAATCTCGGATCCCCTCGGCCAGTCCAGAAACACCAACGACAGAGCACGCGAGTCCACCAGCAACCGACTTGGCCGTGATGAAATTGTCGCAGAAGATTTTTCTCATTCGAAGTTGTTGCAGAAGGATCGAATCGCCGAGTCGACAGGACAACCAAGTTGCACGCACGTGGGTGCGTGGATGTATATCATCGTTGGGCGACTGCGGGATTTGATGGAGTTTGATCGACTTGGCGCTGACCGGGGTGGATTTCTGGGCAGGTGGGCTTGTCCAGGGCAAGGCTTCGGCGGTACCGATGGGGAGGATCGTGGACGTGGTCGGTGCGGTATCGAGTTGTAGTGTCTTACTCTATGAATGCAGGTCGTGGAGTGGTGTTGGCAAGACGAGTGGAAGAGACGGCGAGATGGTCTCTGCCGAGCATGTACGAGGACGGCCTCGACGAGATCGACACTCAACGATCAGCAGTCGAAGCAGTTGAAGCAGGCGAAGCGATACCAATTCCATGGCATGCAGTTGGGTGGATAGCCGTGGCGATTCGTCGTTGGTCGAGCGTCGGTCGTGCCAACATTGCCGGATCAAGCTCTCTCGTCGAAGTTTGCCATCCGCAGACAAGATTTTCAAGACAACGGATGCTCGCATGTACAGCTACAACAGCTCTGGTCTTGGTGGTGTCGCACGACCTATCTCCCGATGGGCGTGGGCGTGGGTGGTCTCGTGTGACCGAGGCGGGTTGCCAGAACGCCGCATTTGGCTTTCTGCGCCTCGAATCCAGTCCCGTCTGGCACAGAGCAATTCCAATACCAAGCCCATAGTTCGGTCGTATAGTGCTCGATCGCCCGTTTCCAGAAGGAGCCTCCCCACCAGCCAGTATCGAGCGAATATCAGTCGCTTCCTGCTGCTAACAGGCGACACAGCGCATGCGAGAGGTGGCACGTCGCATCGCAGGAAGCGATACTGCAACCACATCCCTCACACAACCGCCTCGAACCGGCCGTCCTTCAGCCCGCCAAGTCGTTTGTTTGCGCGAGAATGGTAGAAAAATGGATCGACCTTCTCGAAGCGACGGTTCGCAGCCGGCCTGACACGAGGAGGGGAGGGATCATGTCTGGGCATTCCGCATCTCGCCATAGCCGTGTCTGCGCCGAGCGCTGCACGATTGATCCATTTCGCAGTGGGAAGCCAGTGTACAGCGCCGTCTGGGCGGAGTCGTGTTCGTTCGTTGGGTGCAAGATGACAGTCTGGGCGCGGCCGGCGTGGTGCTCTCGAGCAAAGCTTCCTGCATGCAGAAAGTCGTCCGTCGTGAGAGCTGAGAGGGAAGGTGCGAGGGAGAGGTGAAGTCGCACACGTGGGACACGCCCGGCTTTTGATTGGCAGATGAAGGGGAGCTGTCGGTGCCAAGCGCCAAGTCCGCCGCGCTCGCTACAGTCCGCCAAGGGCCAAGGGAAACTGCTTCCACGCCGCCCCAAGACTCTGAGAAGGAAAGAGCCAGGCACGGGTGGCAGGCGAAGAGGCGAAGATTCATGGCACCTTTGCTTGTTGGTGATGTGAAGAAGGAGGAGGAAAGTGGTATTGATTCAATATTGATGGGGATATTGATGGAGAAAGCGAATTGTTATCAACACCGCCGCCATCAATTTCTCCGCCCATCGACGACGACGACGACGACGAGGATGATGTTCCACCGGAGTGGTAGTCTTCAACCGTCAAACCCCCCGCGCTGACGCCCACGCCGCAGCAAATGCATAGGGCCCCGACTAGTGAATGCTCCGGGCGGATGCTGTGGAGCCTCGAGCCTGGACCATGCGACTTCTGCCATGCCCAGACACGCCATCCGCACATGGGGCACTTCGCCTCGCCCACCACTATCCAATGGCCGATCAGATGTAAAGGTCTGCTCTGATATAAGAAGTCCTGCGATTCTCTCCTCGACGTTCGACAGGGCAGCAACCACCACCACCACCACCACCACCCCCCCCCCCCCGACACGGCACCACAGCACAGCACCTGCCGCTGGTAGTACGAGCAAGAGTTGATCTCGACATCCTCTCCCCACTACTACACCAGACACCACCGCCGCCATGGTTCTCTCCGAGTATACCTATGTCTTCGTCATCGGCACCTTTTTTGCTATGCTCGATGCATACAACAATGGTATGAACAACCATATCCCCGTGATATTGATTAGACATTGATTAGATACTAACTTTCCCAGGTGCCAACGATGTCGCCAACGCCTGGGCCACCTCCGTCTCCTCGCGCTCCATCTCCTACCGTTGGGCCATGGTCCTCGCCACCGTCTTCGAAATGCTCGGCGCCATCACCGTCGGAGCCCGTACCGCCGACACCATCAAGAACAAGATCATTCCTCCGGATGCCTTCCAGGACAACGCTGGCGTGCAGATGCTCGGCTTCACCTGTGCGCTCGCCGGTGCCTCCCTCTGGGTCATGTGGTGCACCAAGCACTCCGCCCACGTCTCCTCCACCTACTCGCTGATCTCCTCCGTCGCCGGTGTCGGTGTCGCCGTCGCGGGTGCGGGCCAGGTCGAATGGGGATGGAACGGCGGCAAGGGTCTCGGCGCCATCTTTGCGGGTCTCGGCATGGCTCCTGCCATCTCCGCAGGCTTCGGCGCCACCATCTTCATGCTCATCAAGCTGGTCGTGCACATCCGCAAGAACCCCGTCAAGTGGTCCGTCTTCACCAGCCCCTTCTTCTTCCTCATCGCCGGCACCGTCTGCACCCTATCCATCGTCTACAAGGGCTCCCCCAACCTCAAGCTCAACGACCGCCCATCCTGGTTCATCGCCTCCGTCACCATGGGTACCGGTGTCGGCCTCGCCGTCCTCGCCGCCCTCTTCTTCGTCCCATACGTCTACCGCGCCGTCATCCTCAAGGACCCCGAAATCCGCTGGTACCACGTCGTCTACGGACCTCTCCTCTTCACCCGCCCAGTGCCTGAGAACACCGATGGCGTCGCCCGCATCCGCAACTACGCCGTCGTCCAGCACGACAAGGACGATGAAGATGAGATCACCTCCGCCGAGACTGCCGTCAACTCCAACGAGTTCACTGGTGATGAGAAGCGCATGGCTCAGGTCGACCTCAGCCAGGTCGAAGCCTCCCAAGTGCAAGCCACCTACAAGGAACTCCAACGTCAAGGCCGCGAAAAGTTCCACGCCAAGCTCCGCAAGGGCAAGGGTCCTCTCGCCTGGGCCATGCGCTACCTCCACGAGAACCCCCTCGGCGCCGGCGAGATCTACGAATTCAAGAACATGAAGATCGCCCTCATGCGCATCCCCGCCATGGTCACTGTCGCCCTCCTCTACGGCGCCCACTACGACATCCACTCCGCCCAGTCCGGTATCGAGGGCACTCCCGAAGGTGTCCGCATGGCTCGCGTCTATGGCCACGCCGAGAAGTACAGCAACGAGGTTGAGCACTCCTACTCCTTCGTCCAGGTCATCACCGCCTGCACCGCCTCCTTCGCCCACGGCGCCAACGACATCGGAAACGCCGTCGGTCCTTGGGCGGTCATCTACACCGCCTGGAAGACTGGTGAAGCCGCCGGCTCCAAGGCTCCCGTCCCCATCTGGCAACTCGCGGTCCTGTCCGCCGTCATCTCGCTCGGTCTCATCACCTACGGCTACAACATCATGAAGGTCATGGGCAACAAGATCACCTACCACTCTCCATCCAGAGGTAAGCCCAGTCATCCCCCCAACAAATCCCACCCACATACTAACGATTCTCAGGCTGCTCAATGGAAATGGGCGCCGCCATCACCGTGCTCCTCTTCTCCCAATTCTCCCTCCCCGTCTCCACCTCCATGTGCATCACCGGCGCCACCGTCGGCGTGGGTCTCTGCAACGGCACCTGGAAAGCCGTCAACTTCCAGCGAGTCGGCCTCCTCGTCTTCTCCTGGATCATGACCATCCCCATCGCCGGTACCCTCGGTGGTGTGCTCATGGGCATTGTGCTCAATGCGCCGCACTTTGGTTCGTGAGCGAGTTGGGTGATGAGCGATGATGTTTTTGTTGATGCGATGCGATGCGATGACTTTGCGATTAGGGTGCGATGGGGTGTGGGTGTATAAAATGGGATAGATTGATACCACAGACTTTCTCGTTTTACGCGGAAATGTACAGAACTTCTTCCAACCAAACCCTCCTCCCTCCAAGCTTTCTTTCTCTCCTAAGCGAATCTCGCGACTCGACCTTCTCGTCTTCTCCTAGCTCCTAACGAGTCCTTTATAGTATGCTTACAGGCATAAGCGCACTTTAGTTCGCAAGCGATTTTGGTTCGTAAGCGGGTGGTGATTAAGTTTGTGATGCGATGAGTCTTGATGCGATGCGATGCGATGCGATGGGGTGTGGGTGTATAAAATGGGAAACGGCATGGGATAGATTGATACCACAGACTTTTTACTTTGGTTTTGCAAAATGTACAGACGATTTCTACCACACGCACACCTCTCTCTCCGTGTCTTTCTCTCCCCGCCAGAACCACTCCGCGACGTGCAAGCAGTCTGTCTTTGACACGCTACTAACGAAACAGCAAACAACCTTTTCAGCCCGAGATCGAAGCAATCTTATCCTCAACGAGACAGCTACAACCTCTCTGTGCATCGGAAGGATAATCTGAACTCCACGTTTGTTCGCTAGCAGGGGTTTGAACAAATCGGACGTGTCGAAACGCTGGCAAGCTTAAGTCGGTTATCCGTCCGATGCACAGAGAGGCTGTACCAACTTCTTTAGTCCAGCATCGAGACCTCTCCCTATGTAATCTTCCTCACTTCGATCTAGCATCACTCTGCGACTTACCGAGAATCTCATCTCAAGACCTGCAGTTCGCCGAGCTCGAAACAATTCCGTTACTATACCGACAAGAACTACAAGCATCAGAGTTCCTTGTTTCGACATCAAAACTACTCCCTCAGCAATACGTCCCTCCTCGAGCCAACACTACTCGACGATATCGGAAATCAGAGCGATCTCATAGTTCCACCAACGAACAAAACGAACCGACTTATTCAATTCTTAGTCCAGGTACAGGAGGCCACGATCCAGCGCTGGGCCCTGTTTCTGTTGAAACTCACACACGGGTTGGGAGAATCCCCAACTCGTCCTACAGTCTCATCGAAGAGCAACAGTTTCGAGAGATGGAATTGCAAGCCTCTGCTCCAACGATCACTGACCGCTCTCCGATATCTAGTACATCTCCATCGGGCAACCCAAATTAACAGCCTCCGCCAATCTACCTTCTTCTCGAGTCCATCGCGTCCCTCAACCCTTCTTCTTCTTCTTCTTCTTCTTCTCGCCGCCCTCGCCCTCATCTCCATCCTTGCGCGGGTGCGAAGCGCATCTTGTCTAGTTAAAAGGCTATCTTCACGGCGGTTTTCGAGATGGGGACGGGCGAGAGGACTACCTCGGAGACGAACGTCGTGATACCTTTTGGCCCTGCACGCTCTAGGAGGTAGCGGGCGGGGTGGAGAAGCGTACTATGCAGCGCTGTCATCTCGCAGGAAGGTAAAGGCATTTTTTTCAAGCCTGGATGTCGCGCTCTACTACGCATCTACGCCGGATGCGTGCCAATGCTGTCTTCGCTTTGTTGATCACTCTCTTCACCTTGCACCGAGCTACCTCGCGAGGGCGCAGCAGGAGCTGTTTATAATGAGCGCGAAAGATTGATATATGAGCTCAAGTATTGGTGAACTGCTCGGTAGGAAAACTTACCGTGGTCTTGTGCGGTGGCTTTGGCTGCCTTGGGCGTTATGGCTTCTCGAGAAGTTCAACGAAGGTGTCCTTGAATCGCATCGAAGAAGGGCACGATCAGAGTACTGTGGGAGGAGAGTGCACAGCACTTCTCTCCAGCGCCGAGGTAAGGGAATGCAGACGGAGCGGACGGACGCTACTTGCGAGAGAGTAGCTGCGCTACAACCGCCAGTCTCCGTGGAGTCCTTCCCTTCGGGTGGACTGCCACCATTATGCCATGTCTTGTTGCTCGCCAGACGGAAAGCCGAGTGCGTCGAGAGAAGGTTCGAGTCCACAGACCCTTCCACCCATGTCTCGCACGAGATTGCCCAGAGCTAGGGATATATATAAACTTCCGTCTTCTCTTCTTCCTCCTCGAATGCAACACCTGGGGACGCCGTGAGAGAACGGCATGGCCTGCGGCGGCGGCGGCGTTCGATGCGCTGCTCGCGGGTCAGGTGGGCTTTCGTGGATGAAGAAGTGTTTTGGCGACACGTTCACCTCTCTCATTTTCTGTTTCGTCGTCTTCGAGCGCTCGTTTAGGGCGAGACGCGAGCGTGTTGATCCACTCCCTGGCGAAAGCCGGTAGGAAGCCCAAAGGTACTATACGGTCGAGTGCTTGGTAGCAAACACTATCAAACCTACGGCGTGATGTTATGAGCTTGACGTCGAAATCCTTCTCGAGCTTATAGGCGCTGCGTCGCATCTCATTGGAATTAGCAACCACATGATAACGATACGTGCCTATATGGACACCCAAGTCCTCCCCGCGCATCATTCGGCCTCACCATTCGCAAAAGCGGTGATGTCTCCGCGGCAAAAGTCGCACGTTCTTCCGTGTTCCGCTACTCTGGACGGTGATGAGAGGTCATGTCTGTACTTTGGTGGTTCGAACGTTCCGGTGGTTGAGTAGCTGCGGAGGAAGCTGAGGGGTGTAGACGACGATGCGAGAAGAAGATTCCACAGTCAGGTTATCGGAACGCTTAGTCGGGTGGCGAAGATTTGTTCGTTACTTCGATCGAGCCATTCGACACGTCTGATTGACTGCTTGGAGATGAGATGTGCAGTGGAGTTGTACTCGTGTCCTGAAACCCTAAAGTATGACCCTATCCCTAACCCTTCCACGAGTCTAACGCGAGTGGGCAGGGCCATTGCCCACCAGGCTCGCAGTGAGGATGTTGAAGGCGCCTGCCTGGACACTGTGTGTCTTGGTGGTAATGTTGAGCAGTTTGCGCGCTCGCTCTAGGCCCTCCAGCGTCTCCTTGTCGCCTTGTTCGATCAGTTCTAGCCATCTCTGGAAATGGCTGGAGAGAGAGACGAGAGCGTCGTACACTGCAAAGTCTGCTACGTAGTTCCGGAGCTCAGGGGCCGCAGAGCGCTCGCGCTGGAGTCGACGCTGGCGAGTGATGATGGTCTCCTGCGAAGCTGTCAGCACCTGAACACCTTGCGAAGGCGATGCGGAGACTCTGCGACCATTGATACTCACAAAGGCACGACCGCGCACGCGGTTCGACGGGGCTTAAGTGTGATGGGTGCCATTAAGGCGGCGTTGCTCTTCCAGTGCGAAGGCCATGAAATCCTGAGTGGAGCGCAGGCGATTCGTGCAGAGACCACGGTACTCCTCTCCGGTGCGCGCGGCATGCAACTCCTGGTCGGTCTCCACGTTCAATGAAGTGTCGAAGGGCCTGGTCTTCTTCTCTGAACTGGGGAGAGTCTTGTCTCGTTCTCTCTGACTCTTGTTGCGGACGCAGTGAGCCTCGTGCATCATGCACGAAACACGCCCTGCCCCTCGAGGTATTTGGTCCTCATCAGCAGGGCCTTCATTCCATATGCTCACCTTGCTTTGCGGGTTGCGGGGGTTGTCTCTAACTCTTTCGAGAACAGCCTTTTCGTACGAGCAACGAGCCATTGGCCTTCATCAGAGCGTGTGGAGGCAGCGTGGTGGCGCACAGTCTCTCTGCACTAATAGCAGTGAGCAAGGACGACATGGAGCAAACGCCCAAGGGGGCTTCAAAGTTCAAAGCACTCTTGAGAAGCGTGACCATGAGCTTTAGATGTTCTGTCTCTCCACATCCGCGGTGTAGTGATAGTTCCTCCCATCGTGTCCGACTTTGCCAGCCCGTCCTGGCTCGAAGTCCAGGCGTTCCACACAGTCCGCGCTCTCTCGCTGCGCCACACTAGCTTTGCAGCTTTGTTCGTGATATTCTTGTCAGCCGCGAAGAAGTGGACAGGAGAGAGTCTTTTAATATAGCCTGCGAATGGTCCGTACCTCGACCACAACAGCCAACGACGACGACTCAAACAGCAAAACCTCCTGGTATCCCAATAGCTTGAGGCCAAGCTCGTGACACAGCTCGCCCCCGACGAAGCCATCCTGCTCAAACGTCTACCGCGTAGGACTGCTTCTCAGACATGGTCCCGCCGGCGTCGTTGTCGTCGTGGAGAATGTGGTCACGAGAGACATCCGGATGTTCGATGCCCTGTAGCTCGGTGCTGGGAGCATAGACGGCGGCAGCGGCATCGTCGGAAAAGGCGTGAGTGGTGGGGGTGGATGGCAAGCCGTACTCTTCGGCGGGCTCGATGGTAAGTCGCGTTGGCGTTGGCGTTGGAGTGGCTTCGCTTGATGAGAGGGGGCCGGAGGTCCGCGTTCAGCTACCCATTGCTGCTTTAACTCATTAGCTGTGAACTCTCCTTCGCCTTCGCCACCTGCGTGAGCCCTAACTCTTGCTGCTCATTGCCTTCGAGTAGCATGACCCGTCTCGAGTGGGTCGGTTCAACTGGCGCCAAGAACTAGTAAAACACGGTTTTGGTGTTGATGAACATCGCTGGGGATAATGCTCCCTTCGCTGCTCGTCGCAAGCTTTACATCATTCCCCAAGGCGTGGTCTTCGTCGGGAGGCCGCCTCTATTCTTAGATGGCGTAGATAGCACCTGTGGCGGCGATGAAGTGGACGGGGATCGAAAGGGTGCCTTTGAGACGGCTATTCATGTTGGGAACGAGCGTAGGCCAACATCAGCTCGGCTGTGTCAACGACGATCGATTCCTTCTTTCTCTTTTCGCGCCGGAGGACTGCTGAAGTGATGCTCCACCGCGCTTTTGTGAAGTCACTGTTCGACTCCTGGCTGTTGAAGTAGAAGTCCTCGAGACTGACACACTCGTTCATGTAGCTGTTGGTGATGTCCTCCATCATGCTCATCCGCAGCGGTGGCTAGCTCGAGGCGGCGTAGCAGTCGAGTCCTTTGAGGTGCGGTGTACGGTAGGATGCCATACCACGATTGCACTTGTTCGTCGCCGGCATCTCGTGAATACGACTCTTGTGACAGACACATCGCAACATACCTCACGTGGAGCCTTCAAAAGCCTTCTGAAGGCACCAGCTTTGACTCGTACAGCCGACAACACCGGCACCAGATGCACCCAAGCCAACATCACGAACCAGCTTAGCAGGAGGAGGCGGGCCGTTTGCGCTCAGTTCCAGCTCAAGAGCCGAACAGACTGTTGGTGACCATAGTTACAAGAGTTTCTTGCTTCGATCAGGCGCGATGGTGTATCAATCCAGCGCTATGTCTTGCGCGGGGTGAAGAAAGTCCGATGTAAAGACTCTAGTCATCGTGCTGCCGGTGCTGCTGATGCTATGGCGATGCTGGCGGGTAGACTGGCTTTCCAGATGAAAGTACGGTCAGTCGCCGTACTGCTTGCGCTTCTGACTGAGGGTGTGCTGAGTCGTGTTGGTGGCATGGCATGCCACGCCAATCGAGGGATTGGTTCTGACGTGTGCAAGCCAACGATATAGTCCGTATGAAGATGAAGTGAAGGGCGATCGCAACGTCTCCATAGAAACCGCGTGTGAGATCGACGCCTTTCGTTGACCAGAAGTTGCCAAGTTGTCGTCGCTCTTCTTGTCGCCCTTGTCGTTCTTGTCGTTGTTGGCATTGTCGCCACCAGTCTCGTCCTTGAACTTGTTGATAAGCTCGCCTCTGCGGGTAGTCGTGCTCAACAAGTCTTTCGTGACAGGCAAGCCAGTGAGCTTGATCATGCGCGATCGTTGTCCAGAGCGCCCCGAAGTTCTTCTGATCTCAAATTTTTTGTCGCAAGGTTCGCTAGCTGGAGCGTGGCAAGACCGCATCTCCTCAGCGTGTTGCGAAGTGGCAATCGCGAAGTTGAAGTTATGACGGTCTGCGACGGGCGAGTCCTCACAGATTGGTTTCCTCCTCTTTGGACGTTGTTGCTCTTGCCATTGGTTCCATGGTGGCTGGAGTGGTTGCGTTGTAGTGGACGACAGACCTTGCTGGATGGTTTTCGCGACGCTTTGCTGGAGGTTGAGATTGAGTGTCGTAGGCAAGATGTCGTGTGCTCCGTGATCTCCTTTAACGTCAAAGGCCATTTACTCTGCGTTGCTTCGATGGCACATCTCGGGACGCGGCTGCAGGGGCGAGCGACGATCGGGTACGCGTGACTGCTGTGAGTCCATGCGACGGTGGGGCCTCGCGAGGGACGACGTGATTTCCGAGTCGGTATCGATAGGACCAGCAGACACCGCGCGTTTGATGAAGATGTCTTCCTCCAAGTAGATAAAACGCAATATCGAAGACGTGAGTATGGAAGTGCAACGCGTTGATTCATGTCAATATGCAACAAACGCTGCCGTGGGACGTCAGAATTCATTGCTAAATGCTAACATTGAAGTGCAGAGTAAATCCGCAGAGGCGAGGATCGGCCGAAGCGCGTGTGAAGTGTTATAAGTCAATTGAAGTCTTTGACTTTCAGGTGAGTAGCTGCTAAACTGGCACGGCGGCGGCATTGGCTTAGTGGGTTAGCAACCCACCCTCACCTTTATTTTTGGCAATTTTTGGAGGGATTGGAGGGGCCCGAGTTCGAATTCGGGGGTGACCGTAGTTGCTTTTTGCTTTTTTGATGGGCGTCAGTTTGAATGGTTCGGTGAGGGTTAGCATTTTGCCGTCGAGATGATACTGCCATTCATTTAAATTTGTGAAGTTTTCAAATCGAAAATAATCGATGTTGATCGATTTAGATGATGATGTGTTGTTTGGCCAATTCGTCGTAACTTCCAATCCAAGCCAAGCGCCTGTCCCCTATGCGAGCTTCGACCCTACAACTACCACGCGAGTCAATATCCACTCTCGCTACCTGCTCACCTCCCTCATCACTATTGTTTGCCGAGTATGCACGACCGGCAGGTCGGAAGGCAACGAGAGCATCCACGACGGTACACGCCACTACCCCTGCAAGCGAGTAACTTCTCCCTCTGGCTAATCCACGTTGCACGACAGCAGCTGGCGCGAGCTTCATCTCACACCACCTATCTGGACGCGAAACCGCAAACGAGTCAAATAGCGACTCAACAAATACCAAGAGGAGGACACGAGCAAACTGAATGCGCAAGTCACGCAGCAAGGTGATCTGGGGTCCAAGGATAATGTTGGCGGACGATGTATGGCGACTGCGATGACACGTTGGAGAAGGATCCGCTATCTGGGAAAGAGAACTATAGGTTGCGGTTGCAGATACCTGAATTGATCAAGGAGTACACAGTTGCCCTCCATTTGCGACCGCTGGTACTTCCTGTCGGCGTACGCCATCGAGCCAGGTCAAGACCAAAGTCCATCGCGATCGAGTGCTGCGGGTTGACTAGAGAGACATAGGAGCAGGGATATGAGATACAAGTCATACGAGAAGAATCAGGAAGAATGCCTGTCTGGGCTATGTAGGTGGATTACGAGCTTCCAATGCCAACACTTGCCAAGACATCTCATGATGGGAGTGGTGTGACTAAAAGAAACATATATGTGTCGGTGGGAGCTCTTCAATCTGCGCACTTCTCCAGCAGCACTTCCAGCCAACCTCCCACACAGTAGTAATCCCTCCAAAGTACCACCAAGATGTCGACAATGCTTCAACCACCAGCCCTCAACCTGGGCCTGCTCCAGCCGCTGCCAGAAGTCAGCTGGGAGAAGACACTCAACCGAAACTTCTTGATGGCCAAGAACACCCTCCGCACAGGCGACGCCAGCTTCTTCAAAAACACCCGAGCAACGCTCTTCGCCTCCGGCATCGACTGGCCCGGCGTCGTCAAGCTGCACCTCCCCGCCGATGTGGCCGCCGCGCTAGACACCCCCAAGCTCGAGGACATCCATAAACTCAACAAGGCCTTCATCCTCGACGTCGAAGACCGAGCCAAAACCATCAAACAGAAAATCGAAGCCTCGATCCGGGCCGGCAAGACCGAAGAGGAGCTCGAGGCTGAAATCGACAGTTCCATCGACGAGGGCAAGGAGCAGGTCAATAAGAAATTGGAGGATCTTCGCGGGGAGCTGAAGGTTATCATCAGGAAGATCCCGTCACCGGTGGCCAAGCAGGCTGCGGTTAATGTCTGGCTTGAGAGTTGGGTCACCATTCAAGATGCGGTCGGCAGGATTATGGAGGCGTTTAATGATATTGTGAACGCTGTTGCGAAGTTGGTTAAGCAGGTTTGGGCTGTGGTGCAGAAGGCTTGGAAGACGGTTGAGACGGTTGTGAAGGATGTTGTGGATTGGATTGAAAGTCTCTTTGATTGAGCATTATCGACTCATCAGATTACACAGATCTTGGAAGCTAGGCACGTCAAATCCTTCTCCGTCTGTCGTCCCTTTTCGTCTTGCCCACAAGTGCCGCATGTAGGTGGCGTGCCATGAGAAGAAGAGCACATCTGAGTTTGCTGGGAGGAGTCATTGGTCTGCGAACGGATCCTTGGTCTGGAATACGGGGCTGCGCCAATTCCCGGCTACAGAGAAGCTGTGTTGGTGAGAGGTCAGCCAGTGCCGCAGCCAAAGAAGGTCGTTCCCAATTCCGCTTATCCAAGGTATCGGAGATGTAGTAGTGTCTCGCCGACGATGAGGTTACGAGGATCTGAAGGTCCACAGATCTTGTTCAAGCTGAAGATGCCTCGACAACGAAGTCGAGTTTGTCGGAGTGGTTAAGCGTCCCAACGGCGCCTGCAGCTGAAAGAGAGCTTGCTGACGTCCAGCGGTATCAGTAAGGCGGATTAGGGGCTGGAAATGGGAGATGAGGTTGGTTACGTTCTCCTTGACCCTCTGCGATATCCGCGTTTCCACCTCGGCAGCTTTCATTCGAGAGTCCGCTTTGTGTTGGGATGTCTCGGACAGAAGACCGGTCGTTGCTATCAAGAGCGAAGAATAGGTCGAATGCATCAGCGAGAGCTACCAAGGGCGCCCGCATTACCCTCGATAGCGTAACTTGCGCCTCGACAGAGCTCGGGGTGCCGCCAAGGACTGCACGATTCACGAGAAGAGCCATGATTCCGACGAAACCTGATGCCCACAGCCGCCCCAGCCTGCGTACGTCGCCAACAATTGGTATCTCCCGGCTCGAAGGTTTTGTCGCCTGTGCATCGCACTCGAGGCTCGTTCCAGCAAGTCCCGAGATCAGGGCTTGTATCCCCTAGCCGCAGAAGACCGAGCAATTCGAAAGGAGTCACACAGCAGAGCCAACAGCGGGATGCAGATCTGTCTTCGAGTCATCCGATCGTATCATCGCTGAGCGCTCGTCCCTCCAGAACTCGTCATATTGATCTTATCGCTCCTACTCTCCACACCGCTGCTCGCCGGAGATTCCTTGTCCAAAATCCGCAACGCATCCTTGGTCAAAGGAGTCCCTTCCAGCGATACTGGCTTCTTCAGTTCCGCAGTCGACTCAAGAAGCCACTCGAGGCCATTGAAGAACATGTTGGAGTTGCTCGCGGATACTGCTAGGGTATGCGTCCTGGGAGATGGTTTTGTGGTGTTCATGCCGGCTTTAGCGGTGACCGTGGTAGGAGGTTTTCGGTTTGAGGTGGCTGCTGGAGATGGTGCAGGGAACACATGGGTGTAGCTCTTGGTCCGGCTATGCTGAGGCGGTGTGGGACGAGCACTTGATGTAGATCTGTCGGGAAGACTGCCTGCGTTAGCCATGTCGCAGTCGTATTCCAGTCAAGATGGTCGGGAGACGCTGAGAACCGCCGGGGTGAGATGAGGCTGTGGAAGGAAAGGAGAAAGAGTTACCTCCATGGCGCAGGCCTGGCCTTTCCGCATGTATACGTGTTGTGGGAGTGATCGAAGATGAGGCTGGTCTGCTATCGTAGATTGTGCAGAATCGACGATCGCGCCGGGCTGGGATCCGCCGTGGCCTGATTGGTCGACAAGGCTATTGTTGAGTTGCCATACTGGGTAGTCGTTAACCCTGTCGCTATCGTAGACAATAGCAGGCCTATGAAGCAGGTATTATGTCCAGAGACGGAGGCTTGCGAGGGTGAAAGTGAAAAACAACCACAACAGGTGTCCCCGCGCGAGTTGTCCTCTCGGCGGAGGAGCAACCACAAAAGCGAAAAGCTCAGCCAAATTCCGATCGATCTGTGAGGCTCAAGTCACGCCGAATCGAAACCTTAACCCTGCACAACCACCAAAAGATCGCGTGCGGTGGGGCTGTAAGCCGCGGACTCAATCCACGATTGGTCTTTTCGCGCGTGGCATAATAATCAAAATGCCCACTGGATCTCGAGGTCCGCGCCAACGATTCGTGGTGGGTATGCGACTGGCGGTGACCTGTTGGCAGGTGGTAAGTGACCATCGACGGATTGTTAGACGGCAGCTTGACTATTCCCTTTCGCACTACTAAACCAGAGGTATAGGTGATCCGAAAGACACCAAAACGTAAGCATCGTACGCTTGCTAGACGAGAAGGCAGTTGTCGAGTTTGAGCCTGAGCCTCCACCTGAAGTACAAGATGGAAGTTAAAGAACACCCATGCATTCCACCTCCGAGCTCCAGAAAATAGTCATACTTATTGCCTCACCCGCAACGCACTCGCCATGGGAGCTGTGGATGAGCACGACTCTTATCCGATCAAGGATAAGAAGAACCGCTAACTATCAACACCGCAACCGCTCGTTATATCAGACCGATCCCCCTGATTACGTTGGAAGTCCGCCGAGATCGAGAATCTTCCAGCTTCCAAATCGTGCCAACACAGAGATTCCCGATCTCGCATCTGAATTGAATGCATTGTCCTTGGTCTTCTCTCCTTTGCCCATCTGGGTACAAGAACGACATACACGCTCGATGAGGCGTGATGTACGATGGACCCGGCAACATCGAGCGCATGGATACAGAATGGTCGGCCGTCCATGCGCCCTTCCATCCACATCGCACATGAGAGACTCAGACAGTGGCGGCAGGATGCTTCAGCACCACGTCTTGCGAACTGTCAAGCTTCAAACGGCACACAACATGCAGGTCAGATCGAATTTGAAGACGAAACGTGAGCACAAGACATGTCCCTGACAGCAAGTTTCCACAGTGTTCAGCCAGGGACAATCGGCATTATCCAATATGCGGTTCTTTGTCAAGTTCGACGATCTCCGTGAAAGGCGCGGCGTTGTGCACGTCATGCTTTGTCTGATCGACGAGATTGGACTTCAAAAGCTCCAGCAGGCGGGAGTGGCGTGCTACTACGATGGCACAGAAGGGCAGCGTACTTACATTTTTGATGGCTCACGATGGCTCTGTCGCTCACTAACTCCCTCTCAGGTATGTACATCAGAGAAGTCGCAGCCGCAGGAAGCAGCTACGGCATCGCGACCAACGTTCTCGTTCCTCCCAGCACACTCCTAACTGTGATACAAGGGCTTCAAGCTGACGGCATGGTCGTCACGGTTATCGAAGAGAAACTCCACCCGGATCTTGACCCAGTCACTGCCGCCATCGCCAAGATCGGCGCCCACTGCTTCCCCTCTCACAACGAAGCCAACGCGATCAGCGGGCAAGGCACCATTGCACTTGAACTCGAGAACGAAGTGGCTCAGCTGCTAGCCATGAAACCGTCTCCACCAAAACGTAACATGCCCGGCCTCCACGCCATCATCAGCATCGTCGGCACAGCCTCTGCTCTCTGCGGCATCTGCATGGCCTGCGAGCGAACAGGCACTCGAGTCTTCGGCGCCGAGACGGTTCCTGACCCCATTCTCGATACCCACGGACCGAACCTCTCAAGCATCGTAAGAGGCGAGGAACGATATGACTTTGACGTTCCCATGGGCGACCTGCCATTCTCCACATTCACAGCTCGGGGCCTTCTCTCAGCTATTCTCTACGCGGAGCAAAGCACCGCCATCAGGGCAAGCGAGGCGTTATTGCAACAGTGCAGTGTACATGTCACACCGCGGGATGTAGCGCCGCTGGCTGTCGGGTTGTACAGTGAGGATTTCCATCGGTTTGTGAGGAAGAACGTTGATCGTGGGCAGGTGGTCAACATTGGGATCATTGTCCAGGCTGATCAGGCGAGGCTGGGCACGCAACGTCCAGGGACTGTGGAGTTCTTCCCGGGCGAGGATCTCCATGACGGGCTGGAGAGTCTGTTCCTGTGCTAAGCGGCAAGATGGACCACTTCACCTTCGGAAGGTGATCTCTCAATCCCAGTGTGGTCGAAGCAATACCAGGTCCTGGCCTCAATGCGCTCACAGTCACGCGGCGGCGAGTGCCAACTTTTTAAGGACATACCATCGTCGTCAGTCTCCAAGCTGAGCAGAAGTCAATAACAAGTTTTCGGCCGCGCGCGTCCACTACAGCCCGGCCAGGAGAGCGGTGTTCATGGTGATAGTAAGTCAGCTTCGCCATGTCTGCCAGCCTTGCTGCATTCCTCACCAAGCACTCTATCCTGCGTTGGTTGTCAGCTGTACGGCATGATTTGTATGTACTTTGGCGCTGGGCTCGTTAACGGGTCGCTGTTGCCTGCAAAGTGGATCTTCGATGGTAAACGGAACTGCTTTTCACCGTTGTCGACGCTTTAGATAGTCACATTAAACATGAGTGTGAAGAAGTCAAAATCGAAGTGAGAAGTAAGCAGTGTGTCTGTGATAAATATGCTTTCCGTATGTATGCCCTGTCCCATCCGTTCATGCCATATCCTGTCTCTAATCTCCAAAGTCAAATGTTGAACGCAGCAATGCCCTCCCAATAATGTCGCCGCCATCCCGCATTCCTCGGGTACCAAGCTCCTGCTCACATCGTGCAAAGCACTGTGCGAGCCGGCCTGAGGATCGGGTATCGGTCTCCGGATAGAGTCCCATTGCCTAATGCCACCCTGCGGAACCGGTTTGGCTATATACTGTTTAGTGTTCCCCAAAAGCCCCACACGCAGTCAGATTCCCTCCCATAATGTACATGTTTGTAATCTGATGTCCGAGCCTTCGTCACCATGCCGTTTCCCTACGCCTCAAGCTCCAATTCTCATTGTGGAAGGCCCTCAGCGAGCCTACCTGAGAATCGGATAGGGGTCATTGGACAGAGTCCCATAGCCAGAAAGGTACGCAGGGATTCGGATTGGATGATAGGGTGGAGGGGGTGATGACGGTAGTGGTGTGGTGCGGCCTGTGCTCGACTGTGCTCTCCAGCGTGGTGAAGGTCTCGACTTCGGTTGGCCGACGAGATTTGCTGACGGCCAGAGTGGCTGATCGATGCTCAACTCGAAGTAGTCGATGATGCCTCTACCATTGAAGCTAGGCGGTGGAACGTTTGAAGGTCGCTGCGATGCATCGACTGCGGCGTCGATGGCGTAGGAAACGAAGGTGCCCTTCACGATGTCGTTCATGGCATCGTTCCACTCGTCCAAGGTGACTTCGATCGAGATGGATGGCTCCGGCGATGCACACTGCTTGATGTAGTCCACCATCTGGCGCCCCTTTGTGCAACGGGCGACCTCAGCGTCAACGCGGTTGTGGAGGCTCGTGATGTACTCCGACGAGAACCGATCGACATCCTTGTGAGAGAAGTCGTTGAGAAGCTGACCGATACTAGTGTACCAGTCGCGAGCAACAGGGCGGATCTCATCGTTGCCGTGGGGAGAGGTCTCAGACCAGACACCCTTTGGGTCTGGCTCGAGAATGGCGGCTGCGTAGACGAGCTCCTCGTTGGCTGGTGTGTGGAGGTCACGGCGGGTGTGGAGAGGGAGAGAGCAGTACTCGTTCTGGAGCTCTGTGTAGGAGGAGGCGACGTGGTTCAACATGCTCTTGGCCTCGGCAAGACCTGCGGCAACGCCCTCATCGTGGTGGGCGTAGACTGGTTGACCAGACGTGTGGTATGTTGGTCGTCGCTCTATCGTGGTCGTCTCGGGGTTTAGCTTGGTGGTGGTGAAGCGCACAACTTTGAACCAAGTTGGGAGCTTCATGTTGTTGGTGCTGGGGGGTTGGAGGTTTCGTATCTGAAGAGAAAAGACTCCATGCTGGCAAAAGAAGGCGCATTTTATACTTATTAAGTCGAGAACGTATATAACACATTGTGCAGGTGTTATCGAAATGTGTTATGCGTCGAGTATGACGAAGGCTGAGAATTCCATTGTTGTCACTCCTCCAACTGCTGGATGCATTGTGGAGACAAAGAAATCAGAGGGGAGTTGCAAGATATAGGAAGAACAAAGGAGGGTGGGTAGAGTAGAGGAAAAGCGAACGGGAATGGGATATCAGAAAGCCATTTTGTCCATGGAAACTGATGTATCTTGGAGTCTTGTAAGACATTCTTCTTGGTCTCATCGGGTCCAAGACTCAACGCCGTAGAGTCTCATGGGTGGTGAACCACGAACCTGTCCTGTGCACAGTCTTCGTCTCATGTTGCTGCCATCTCCACTCGCCCTCGGCACTCTGGGTTTTCAATCTGCTTCATGTCTCTCTCTTTGCGGTGTCGTTCAATCAACATGTTCTTCCTGCACTCCTCAAGAACGCCCGCCTTGCTCCGAGACATTCTTCTTCAACCGTGCTGATCGCCGTTTCCCATCCTTCCTCGCTTGCTCCTCCCCCGTGACTTCCTCCTCTTCCTGCTCTACTTCTTTTGCAGCGCGCTTCTTTGCCCGCTGATTTGCCCGCTCGTCCATCGCTTTATCCCACGCGTCGCGCTCTTCACACGGATGCTCGAGGAGAATATCGCGAACAGCCTGGTCGAGGTTGTTCTGCCTGGACTTGTATGCCTATCGTTGCTGCTCCTCGCTTCCGTACTCATCGATGAGCTCGCGCCACCCGCGCTTGCAGAGCCGGCATTGCTTGAGGACGAAGATGCTGGGTTCCGTTAGTGTAAGTGGGTGTGAAGACATGGCGTATTTCCCTAGCTTCGTTTCGCTTGGATCGCGTTGTTAGTAGCTTGGTGATGGGAGTGTCTCTATTTTTGTGAAAGTAGAGCGCACGAGTCTTAAGTTACGCTAGTCGGCGCTTCCGAAAGCCTGTATATATTTCGCATATGACAAGAGGGTTTGCTTCCCTAACAAGCCTTCATGCAGTCTGCCCTTGTTTCACATTGTAGGATTCTCGCAGCTTCACCAATCTCTTTTTTCATATGTCTTTCCGCAGTCTTCACCAGTGTAGGTGAAGATTTGGGCACCGTGCCCGTGCCGAGTGAAGCAAACAGTCCAGCAAGCGGGTGAAGACGGCGGAACCCGCTAGCCGTCTTAAATACTTTCCTCCTGCCTATTTTTCTCTATTTTCTCTCCATCGCACACACTACATCCACAAGCGCGAATACATCAAGACTCGACCACCATATACACTCCACCACATTTCGACACTCCAGCACGTTCAATCCCTCCACACAACATCATGCAGAGAGCAGCCTCCCTTCGCGAGTGGTCAGAGAAGAGTACTGGTCTCTGGCTCAAGTTGAACAGCATCCAGAACCAGTGGCGCCTCCTCGCTGGCCAGTATGTCGGCCTACCTCTCGCTTTCCGCCGCGACATGACCCTCGGCAAGTGGTCGGAGCGGTTCACTTGCGCCGCCGTCCTCCAGCATATCGCGGCCTACCCTGCCATCCTCAGCGATCCCAACGTCTACAAGATGCAGCAACTAGCCGAGATGAACGACCAGTTCCTGAGCGATACCGAGACGTGCATTGTCTCACGCGGCTGGTACGCCATGCTGCACGAGGCCGCTTCTACCATGCGCCACTGGCAGGACATCTCAGACAACGAGATCAACCCTCAGCGCATTGTAGCTCTCCTGGACCAGGGCGAAGCAGCCGTTCAAGCCATGGAGGTGATGCTGCAGACCTTACTCAGCACCTACTGCTCCGCTGAAGCCACACCTCGACCAGACCGCATGATGACGCGTGCCTGGAACACGATGTGCAGCGACATTCGCTGGGGCGCAGCATTGGAGAAGGCTGCTGCCAAGTTCACCTGGGAGGTGCAGACAACCTCTCAGCCTCCAAGCAACGGCGGCAGGCGAGTCTGGGTAAACTATGAGGTAGCTCTGCCTCCCGAAGCGGCTTCGGAGGGAACGACCCTTTTGCAGAGCGCAGCGGTCACCCGCCAGCTTCTCATTCTTCTCCGCAGCACTCACGCAACACAACGTCGCCGACTAGACCATCAGTATGGCAGACATACAACGAGCAATGGGAGAGCCCACCTGCGACGTCGAACGAGTTTCCCCACCCATCGAACAACTTCACGCTGGCGACTCTCGCAACCCGTGGCTCCTCAGACCTTCACACCGCAGTCAAACGGAACGCGGCTGATTTCTTCGCAGGCCACCTTAACTTGGAACACAGCATTGCCTCCAATGGAGATTTCACGATCAATGCTGGGCAGGAAAGAAGCAACGTTGAGGCTGCGCGGCAGCACCTGAGGAGAGAGCGTCGGCGTTGACATCCGGATAGGATCAATCGACGGACAGGGAGGGCTGACATGCTCGTGGACGAAAGCATTGGAGCGAAAGAAGAGGTCAAGGCTATCTGGAATGCGGCGTCGGGACTGCAGGAAGCTTGCGAGGCGTTCCTGAGATGAGTATGGTTGATTGTGTTTGTGCTGCTCTACCTCCTGAACTGGTATCACCCGAGAATTGGCGTTCTACCTTCCTGTCTCTCATACTTCCATCTGTGGTGTCATATTTCCCTTCTGACCGTATTCAAATTGTTTCAGCAATGATACCTGCGCTCGGGGAGCTTTCGCCTTGGCCACACGCCCTCGTCCGGCCCATGTCTCTCAAGATTCTCACCCATTTTGATTGAGAATTGACAACTTTATCTCGGTATACCCTTGGTTTCCAAGAGGAGACATGTGTTGGAACAATGTCTCCCCACCTTGTCGGCACCCACTAAATCATGACTTCCTCCTTCTGAAACAACTGATATTAATATAAAGTAATGGATCCCTCCGAGTCTAAAATGGGGTAGTAAGACTCGCAACACACTATACTAGGAATAGACTTTCGTTCCAGATAGCCATGGAAGTGAAGGCCTCTGGTCGGCATTAAGTCAACAGTCGGCTGGTCTGGTGAGGTCATGGTCCTGGTGACGAACTTGCGCAAGTACTTCAAGTTGAAGGAGACGAGTCGATGGCATCCTCACAAGCTGAATCGGAGGACGGGGGACGGGCACTCCCTTCCTGATGAGAGTATCGGCAGGAACGAGGGTACCAAAGCGATCTGGGCGGGGATTGAGAGTTTGACGGAGACTTTGAAGGCGTATCAGTAGAGAATGCCCTCTGAAGTCTACACTGATCTTTCCAGATTACCTCTATCAGCTGGCTCTGAGGCCGCTGGTGGACTCGATGAGTGTGTTCATTAGGAGCACGGGAGAAGAGCTTTCAGGGGGACGGTTTGTAGCCACACGCAAGGCTAGAACATGAAAAACAAAAGCTTTTGTGCAAGACTCGGGATGGTCTTCGCTACTCGATCCCAAAAATGCACAACCAAAGAGAAGCCTAAGCCCAAAGAAGGTCCATACCAAAGAGACCTCCAACTCAAAGACGTCCAATCCCAAAACCCCGAATGCCAAAGAAAAAAATCATTGCAAATAGACCCGGCCTTGCAGAACCAAGCAAGAGGATCCAAACCTAAATCCTCCAGACGATCAACTCGAAGACCGAGCAGTCATGAGTGAACTAACGCGCGAATAACCTGCACTCTGTCAGCTGTTTCCTGTATTACGCCCCCAGAGTAAACACCTACCAGAAATGAAGCCGATGAAGGATTTGGAGTCGAGCGGCTCTCAGTCAAGCATCTCGCGCGAGCGATACTCCTTCTCAAGATCGCTCAGATACTCCTCCCCGCCGTCCGATCCCATTCTCTCCATCATAGCACCCGAGACAGTGACCGAAGGGCGTGGTGCATGTCCTCGAGTGCTGCGCTCTGCGGTCCGGATAGGACGCTCCTCTTCGACGCTGTCGTGGATTTGTGCCGTGGCAGTGCCCACAACGGGGCAATAGATTGCGTAACCTTGCGGAAACGCTTGGCCACTGATGGGGAGGGAGGAGGCGATTGGTGACGTAGTTGAGGTGTTTTGCGCATCGCCAGACATCTTTTGCGGATGCAGACTTGAAGTCGAGGCCGAGGTATCAGGAGCATGTGGCGTGACATTCGAGCCGGCCTCGCCCTCCTTCTTCGTGATCTTGATTTGTTGGTATGCGCCGAGGGCAGCTGTGATCGCGGTATCCAACTTCTCGACTCTCTTTTCGCGGATCAGAAGCTCCTTCTCTCGCTCGTCGACCGCCTGCTCGCGCATCTCCAGCTGCTTCTTGCGCTTCTCGAAATCCTCCTCGTTCTTCTCCAAGTTCGTCTCACGCCGATTGAGCGCCTTCTCGCGCGCAATGAGCTCAGCATTCTCCATCACTTGTGTCTCGAGTACGTCATTCTGCAACTTCTTCTCCTCGGCTTCCAGAGTTGCGTGCTTCTTTTGAAAGTCTTTGAGAGTCTCGAACGCCTTCAAGAATCCCTCTTCAATGTTGCCTTGGGCTTCCTTGAGCGCGGTCGCGTTCAGTGACATCAACTCGGCGTATTGTGATGACGGAGACATGATGCGCTTGAAGGGATCAGCGAATTCGGATCGGCGCGACTGACGGGGTTGTTTACTGTCGGTTGTGACAAGTAAGGAGTGGGTTGAAGTGTGATGATGCAGTTTGATGCGAAGTATAGTGGATGCTCGAGCTTGGAAGTTGTGGGCTGGGGATGTGTTTGTTGTTGCGAAGACTACGGAAGCTTGGAAGTGTTTTGAAAAGCGGCGCGCTTAAACTTTCGCGGGGTAAGCGCTAGTCACTTTTCGGAAGGAGCAACACCGAGCAAGTGAATGACCGATCTGCACGTGGACGCAGCTCTCTGTCTAGCGGTGTCTACCAAGAGAGGTGATGTATGCATGTCTACTTTGAATCGCGTTGTCGGCAGGCAGCACCGCGATGCTGCACGTCTGCATTGGTTTGCAGTGTTCGACTTTTGATAAGTCTCCTATACTTCTTCACGCTGACGCGAGTTTGCAGTTTAGTCAATCTTGACGTCTTCCCCTCTTCGACATTCTCATCCGTAGCGGCAGAGTCAGCCGTGGGAAATGGAAACCCGCTCTCTTCCTCTCCAGGGCTGCGTGGTGGTGGCGTGAGCGGCGAGATGCTGGGTCGGGAGGGAATTGGCCACTTCGCCTTGATCATGTTCTCCGCTCTAAGGATCTCAGCTTGAGTCCTTCCTTCCACATTCTTCCAGAATGGCTTCCACAGACCGGCGCCAGGAATAGTGGCTGGCTCTGATGGCTTTGAAGACATGATATGTGGCGTCTTTGCGAATATCGTGCCGGCACCATTGCTTCCTTGGTCGAAGATCTTCTCGTTGACGTTCTCCTGTTCTTCCATTGCCTCCTGTGCTCGAGCTGTAATTCCTTGGAGCATCGCCTCTCGATAAGGGTCGAAGACGTCTCGGTCGATGATAGGGCTGCGAAGTTCGCGTTTCCGTTTCTCACGTCGTTGACCTTCGGAGCCGTCGCTCTCTTCAAGCCCCTCGGCAGAAGACCGCTTCTTTGACATCGTCATAACTGCGGAAGAAATATTCACGATTAGCTTGATCGGTGATGGAATGCCCTGGGGACTCACTGTTGGGATCCGGGATAAAAACGTTGTTTATCGTACAGATCTTATACAGATATCGGTATCTTCGGTTGTCCGCTACCTTCTGGTGAGCTGAGGTGTACTTGTAGTTGTGGAGTTGACTAGAAACCGCAAACGTGGAGCTGATTGAGGACAATCAGAAGTAGCTATTGTAGCTTCAGGCATTGTCGACCTGGAAAGTGTGAAGATTCGCGCGCTGCTTTGCGACTGATTGGCTGAACAGCATCAGCACAAGCAGACATCGTGAATAGCACTGCGCACTGGGCGATCATTGCCGTGGTTCAATCGGACTAAGCCATGCGAAGCCGTCTCTGCATGTAGCTTATGGTGGATGAGAAGATTTCCCGTAATGCTGTTTGGAGTGCGACCGGCCAGGAGATGTTATAGTAGGGCCTCGAATATCAGTATACATTTTCATCGTCAAGTCGCCTTTGTATAGCAGGCCTTCCTCGCGGAGCGCCAGAGTTCGAGGTAATAGTTGAGTGAAGAGAAGGGATGCATGCGAATGAGGGCCTGTTAAAAAAGCGCGATGAGTGGATATGGAGACTAGATGTGTCTTAGTGTGACAAACGCTCTAGAGCATGGTAATCAAAGGTGGAATCAAGGTACTGTGAGATGTCGGTGCTCTTCTTGTTCTACTCCTTTGTCTTACTAAAGCTTGCATCTTGCCGCGTCCGCCTCTCGTGGACTTCTTCTTTGTCTCTTCAATGGGAGCAGCCAAAAGCTCGAAAGCTTTCCCAAGCATGTCATCCCCTCTGGCCAAGGGTTGCTTCGCCTGCTCATGCGTAGACCACTTTTCGAGTTTACCAGGCAGTTTGTACCTTGCCTTAGCGTACGGGTTCTGTTAATGCTCAAGGGGTGAGGTCAATTCGGTGCTCGGGAAGCTCGCGAAATCCGTCGGCAGCCCAGATCTCCCCGGGCCAGCGCAGGACTAGAATCTCGAGCTGAACATCCATAGATATCTGCTCAGTCATCAATCCAAGATCCTCCTCGTGATTATGCAAGGCACCGCCAAGGCTGGGCGCTGAGGATGGAGGATGTGCTTACTAACGAACTTCAGCTGAATGACCTCGACTTCATCTCCTTCCCACACGCCCTCAGAATTCTTGAAGACATCGACAGCCAAGATGACGGCCGATATCAACTCAGGGCTAGTACTGAAGCGTACCAAGACCGGATGCTTTACCTGTCGGAAGAGGAGGAAGAAGTGTGATGAAGCCAGGCCAAAATGCGGTGCGTGTTCGAGGAACGGTCTGCGATGTTCATGGCCCAAATTCTCAGGGAAGTACGGGCATTCCAGTATTCTCGATCAGGTTGAAGTTGCAAGTGTCTCAGAGAAAGGCAGCACGCAGGACCCTCAGAATCGGCATTGCACGAAGAGAGACTTCAACCCATATGAAGGCCTCGACATGCCCACGGCTAGCATATCGCCTACCCTTGGAAACATCAGTTCCGCATCCAGACGAACGGCATTGTCACCGCTACTGCTCCAAAGCTACTTGGAAAACACCTCACTACTTATGGTGGCCAAGCCGGCCCACCTCAACGCATTCTTGACGATGCTCCTCCCTACAGCCTATTTCGACGAGCTGATGATGGATGCTCTCCTCGCCATGAGCGGTCAGCATCTATGCGGAATGCATCGATCTCAACCAGAAATGCACCAGTCGACTTGGCATCACTATGGTATGGCTCTGAGGGCTGTTCATGGTCGAATCCGTGAAGCGAAGAACCTCCCAGCAGCTGCACTTCTGGACTTGATACTTGTTCTGCTACTTCTTTGCCACGCCGAGGTCAGAGTTACTCCACCTGTTTGGACAAGATCACTTTGACTGACCCTGGCTAGGCGTTCTCGGGGGAACAGCATGGAACAATGTACCACCACCTCCGCGCCTGCCGACAGCTGCTCCTACGACTTCTGGAACGTCCGGGAGAGATTTTTCGCACGGGCACTCGGCGACTGATGGGCCTTGCTCTGGAGAGCTATTGCTTCCTGGCCGTCGTTGCGAACATAACGCCATATGGACTTCTGGAGCTAAGAACGCTGCCCGTTGAGGATCCATTCCTACAATCTGCTAAACATCTCGAATCGTACGATACCTTTGGCAGCTTTTTTGCATGCGGCTACAGTATCTGTGCGGACATACCTTCAATTGCGATGCTCGCAAGGCAGCGTCTGCTAGAGGACGACCTTCATTCCGGTCACATTTCCAGTGAAAGCAAGACCACCTACTACAGGATTCTAAAGAAGCTCACACATTGGCAAGTACCCAACCTTAGCTCAGAAATGCTGCAGTGGTCGACAGCATACAGAGCTACTGGAGAGATCTGGAGACACGCAATGCTGCTCTATCTCAAGACCTCCATGTGTGGATCTACGATCGGCAATGCCGCACTTCTGGATGAGATACAGTACCACGTTGACATGGTGTTGCATTTTCTGGCCCGTATCGGCTCCTCGCCCTACGGCACCATCATGATGTGGCCAGGGTTGATCGCTGGCTCTTGCATGACCAGCAGTGAGCAGCAACAAGCTATGCTCCAGAGATTGCGACTCTCTCGCTTCCCGAATTTACATCTGGTCCAGGCTTCGAATCTACTGGAACTTCTGTGGGCGGACACAGACGAACAAGCATTTGGCCCATACGGACTTTTCATGACCATGAAGAAGTCCAATATCAATTTGAGTATTGCCTGAAATTTGTGCTCCGGAAACGCTATCTAACAACAACATCTCGACAGTCTGGATTCGCAAGTCTCCGTGCCCTAGTCCAAGCTACAACATCGCACAGCAATCTCACCGTTGGCACTACGCCAAGTAATCTCCAATAATAGCTGCAAGACCGACTGCTCCTGAGATTACCAAGACTGGTCCTGCTGGCATTTCTCCAATGCTTAAATACTGGAATCCATTTGCCCAAAGGTGCACAGATAAGCCGACGAAAGCGATTGTCTCCTCCTGAGACGCAAAGGGAGCCAGACGAGCCCACTTCAGGTGGAAAAGAGCTATTCACCCCCCAAAAGTCAGCATGGCCTGGCTGCTTGTCATGCGCCACGAGAACAGACAGAAGCCATACCAAGGGAGAAGAGAATGGTCGTCGTTAAGTCCCAGCAGAGACGAGCTCCAACACGGCCGCTCTTATCCTTAAACTCGGTCTGTGGCACTTTGGCGAGAGCAGGATAGACAGTGGAGAATCCCATTGTCTCCCGAGACGATACTGTCAGCGTTTCTACGTGCAAACATCAAGGTAGGCGGTATGGGCGTACAATATGGCCAAAGCCAACAATGACATGAAGAGCGGCGGCGATCTGGTGCAGGAGCTGTGGCCATGTCGAAGGCATCTTTGGCAAGTTCGTGTTGTGAAATCTGTAGAAACTCTGGAGTGAGTATTGCAACTCGAAGCTCTTTCATTTAGGATGGTGGCTGACCTTTTGCTTGTTCAGCAATGCAGCCCCGATATCAATGTTCGAGAAAAGGCGGAGCTTCAGCTTGCTCCGAGTACGTACGTACCAGCTTCTTTCCCGCACTTGGATTTTCTTGAGCTCTTGGCGAGAGCATTCAGCTGAACGGCTCCACCACAGCCATGCTCGGTGCGCGCCGCTGCAGGCTGACGAACATGAGATGCAGCTAGCTGTGCGTCAGTCGTTCTCGCAAACCTTCGGAGCCAAGAGCCTCGTCCAGTGTGTTCGCTCATGGCAGTATTCTCTCGTCCGTATGAAGAACAGCCGACATGTTGATGACCTGGTTTCGCCATCGACGGGGCGCACCGCCTTATCAATACTGAGCCATAAGCTTCATCGGCTATACCGTCAGACCTAGCTTGGCAAGGTGATGTTGGTATAAAAGAACGACGACATCATGCGGTCCATCGTGGGCTCCAACACATTGTCATTATTCATTTCTGATCAACCGACCTACACTTGATACGACCACCTGGCTACAGCTCCAATATTCTCGAAAACCGATCGACCAAGCAATACTTCCATCAACATGGTCGGCAACTCCATTCCAGGAGAGAAAGTAGATGTCGTTATCGTAGGAGCCGGCTTCTCCGGGCTCCAAGCAGCATACGATGTTCATCAAGCCGGCTACAGTTGTGTTGTGCTGGAGGCGAAGTCTCGCATCGGCGGACGAAGCTATACCGCTTCTCTGAAAACAGAACCTGGATTGATCGAATTGGGGGCGACATGGATCAACGAACAAACACAGCCCAGGGTGTTTGAGCTTGCGAAGAGGTTCGGCCTGGACTTTGTGGAGCAAAATGGTCAGACGAGGTCTGTGATTCAAGACTTCGATGGACAAGTGTGGAGTGAGAGAGGAGAGTTGATTCCCCAGGTATGTTATCACGAGACCCTAATCTTGAATCCCTTCTCACCAAACACCAGCCACCTGGAGGCAAAGACGATGGAGTACTACCATTCCTGGAGTTGATGGAGAAGCTTCAATCAACGATCGATGTGAGCAACCCAGGTTCCGGCAGTACACCAGAGCAGGACATGACCGTAGACGAATGGCTGCAACAAAACACCACGCAGTGGAATCGTGAGTTCATCAGTAACGGATGCGCTGCACTTGTTGGGCAAGATGCGAAAGATCTTGGACTGCATTACGTGATGGACTATATGAAGTCTGGCGGCGGCCTGAACCATCTTGCTGGTGAAGGGCCAGATACTGCTCAGCATCTCAAGATCAAGCAAGGCACCACGGCAATCGCCCAGGGTCTGGCAGATGCCCTGCCGAAGAGATCCGTCTTGACCGATACTCCAGTGGCCAGCATCACTCAGCTTACATCTGGCGATGTGCTCGTGACTACGAAGAACGGTCCCGCCTTCGAGTCTCGCAAAATCATCCTGGCCATTCCAACGAACACCTACACCAACATCTCATTCGCCCCTCCCCTCCCGCCGGCAAAGCGAACAATCGTCTCAAGCACCAAGGCCGGCATCTACGCCAAAGCCATCATTACCTATCGCCGACCATGGTGGCGTGACCACGGCCTCATCGGCACTTTCATCAGCATGCGCGGACCGATCAACTACTCTTGGGAACTCGCCAACGAGGAGTTACAGCAGTATAGCATCGCGGCGTTCATAGCCGGACAAAGCTCATCTTGGTGGCATGCCCTCCCCACACTTAAACAGGAAGAGGCTTTGTTGAAGAATCTGGTCGAGATGGTTCCTCAAGCTGATCCGAACGAAGTTTGGGCTCCGTTCGAGATCAACATCCAAGATTGGACAAAGGAGGAGTATATTGGCGGTGGACCGACATCTTCGATGGGCCCTGGAGACTATGCGAGGTACAGTCAGGCTTTGAGAGAGCCGTACGGGAATTTGTATTTTACTGGTGGTGAGCTGGCGTTCGAGTGGAAGGGCTACCTTGAAGGAGCTGTGAGGTCTGGCTCGAGGGCTGCAGCGGAGGTTGTTGAGGCTTTGAAGAAGGGTTGACGTGGAAGGCAGCACATATCAGTTGGATTTTCTTCGATACAACCATCTCTTCATAAGTTCTAACAGCCTTCTCGGGATCCTTCTCAACTACGACAGAAAAAAGTCATTTTCTACTCAGAGTATCCCGGGAAGATATCAAACAGCTGACTGTTGAAATCTGACAGCTGCGGGCAAGACAAGCCTCCCAACACTCCATTGAGTTGACTCGTAATCGGCGCCAACAAGTTTCCAATCGTACCCAGAACCCCATCAAGCTGATCGACACCACCAGCCTGAGCAGCACGGAAAGCAAAGCACACGAGGTTATTGCCCTGGAGCAACGTCGCACCGTTGAAGACGCCGCCAGTGAGATCGCCAACATCAACGCCGGTGAAGCTGTTTGTTGTGCCAGTATTACCGCCGATGCGAACGGTGTCGGGGTAGATCGTGGCACCTGCGAGAAGATCGAGAACGACGTCTGCAAGGCTGTATTGATCTCCACTTGGGCGCCTGTACCAGTTCAATGGAATGCGCTCCTGGCCGCGGTTGTGGACGTAGTCACCTGGGTTGTCGCCTGAGGCACCCGCACCGGTGCCTGAGATAGCGAAAAAGGACTTCAGCACGTCGGCGCTCAAGAATCCACCAGGTTGTTCGGCGCTGTGGTTGGACATGAAGTTGGCGACGAACTGATGAGCTGCTGGTGCGACGAGTCCCGAGAAGGGGCCCCAGAAGGCGTATGGGTTGTTGTCAAGGGAGTAGTGCGTTACATAGTTGCTCTGTGCGGTAGTCTCGTCGAGGGTGAGACCTCCCTCTGCGAGCTGCATGAGGTTGTTCCAGGAGTGCCATTGCACGACACCGACGTCGCCGTTGTTGAGGTAAGCATCACCTCGAACGATCGAAGCGTCGTTCTCGTACTTGTTGTGCGTTCCAGCGATGCCCTTGGGATTGCTCAGGAGGAGAGGGAGTGTTGATAGAAAGCCCCCGCCGATGGACCAGGTGCCGCTGGGGATGTCGCCTGAGATGATGATTGCAATGGCAGCGAGACCTATCGCCAATCCGGCGTCCATGTTGTAAGCTTTGCCGAGACCATCGACAGTCTGCTGAATCGTCGCCTTGCCGTTGCGTGGAAGGAAGCCATGGTTGGCGGCGGCGTTGAGACCTGGGCATTGTCCACGAAGGTCGCTGGCCCCGGGTGATCGGAATGGATTTGGGCCTCCGTCCGTCACATCGACATACTGGTCTTGTGCATTAAATTGAGGATTTGGATGGCCGACTCCGGTGTTCAGACGGCCGGTGGATGCTGCACGCTTGAGGAGAGCATCTTGTTGCATGACCGTGGGCCATGCTGCAGCAGAGACAGCCAGAGCTGCGAGGGTTGCGGTGGTCTTGACCATGTTGAAGGAGATAAGTCTCGAAAGAAAAGATAAGATTGGCGTGGTGTCTAGTCTTGTGTATCGTCAACAACGACTGCTCAAGTAGTTTATATCTTCATCTCCTCCTTCTACTTTCGACGTATGCCGCAAGAAGCAAAGAACTATACCGGTCAAGAAAGGAAGTTCGCATTTTCGTAAAACCTCTTGATCACTCTATCAAGCACTGTCATGACATTCGAGTCAGTCATGAATGGTCGACAGATGCAGTGCCAACTTGGCAACGGCAATTCTGCTCGATCTCGTACAGCAGATTCTACCGCTCCTCCGCTCGTAACTTCGTAAGGATGTTTTACGGCGCGGCCAAGCATTCTTCAAGAATCGTGGCTTGATGCTAAGGGAAGCTGAGGAGTTGGGATAGCCGTCGCTACCAGTCTTGTGGGTTGTGTCTCCCTCCGTGCAATGAGGAGAAAAGGCCAACGCCCACTTCTGGGGCCTTGGGAGTACTCAGGGAAGACCGAGTCATAGAGACCTCTATCATAGAAAATTCTTTTCGCTTTCCTCGACGAAAAGCGTGCATTTGATTCTCGTCGTGCTCCTAAAGCAGCACGGACCGAGCACTCATGAGCCGTAGCTAAGCATCTTAGCCTACATCAGCCGAGTCCTGGCTCTATCATTCCCAAACACCGGAGCATGTCGTCGATGGTCAGCAGTATGCAAGGCGTCGACGGTGTTTGAAGCGATACCAAATTACGGCCTTGCCTTCGATAACGCCATCGATCTCTCGACGTTGTTCAGGTAAACGTGTTGTCGATCTTTGCCGTTTTGGTTCGGCTCATAAGTTCGCTCAGCCATGTGCCACATCGTGCATGTATAGTAAAGCTATGCTAGCTGGATTGGATCGAAGCCGAAACGGCAAAGTAGGCGATCCTTTCCTTGGGTTATGTATAGAGGAGTATCCACTGCTATTTGCATAAAATGTGCAGCGGTAGAAGCGGCGATCTTTTACCATGCCCAGACAAACAAGAGTAGGTCTTGGGGTACTTCATGGGTATCGCAGTACTGGTTGATTTCCATCTTTCTGTGTATGTACCTGATCATATTCTATCAGCCTGCCGTCATTGCCGAGTATCCTCTCGACCATGTTTCTACCTTGGTGGCTCGCTCCACGATGTTGCCTTGAGCCTGGGCATCGACATCGACAGAAAACAGGAGACTGAACTTCCGCTCAGTAAAGGCGGACATTGCCTTCTTTTCTGGAGGTCACGAAGAAAGTCACGAGCCCAAATCCCTAACATATTTGAGCTATCAAACTCTTCATACTGTGCTTATTCTAGAAAGACGGATCATTCGTACCCAAAAGCTTGTTTTTGAACAAAGTCCGCTCCAAGAAGCTCGAACAGCACTGCCAAATATCTCCGCGGGCTACAAGTTCACACGGCGCACATGAAAAATGCTGCTATGAAGACAGGCTGTAGAGATTAAGAGAATGACTGGGCGTCGTGGACTAAAGTGATCATTTCATTCCCATGAGACGCCGCGCTTGAAGGATCTAGGAGTGCGCCTGTAGCCCTGAATGACGATGACGTGATCGCCGACTCCCCGTATCCTCATTGCGCGCTTGAACTGTCTCCTTCCGACATTGTATCTGGGTATCCTCACTTCTTCTTCTGCTTCCCCTCGAGGTCCAAGTCCTACGTCTCCTCGCTCTCTTCGCCATCCTTTCCTCCCTCCTCACCATCACCTCCGCCCTGCTGAGCTTTCTCAACTTCCCCACCACCATCCGCCCTGGGGAAGGGATACTCTCCGTCATCTTTCTGACCTGCTTCAGGCGCTGGTGGTGTGAGAGGCGAGTAGCTCACCCGCGGGTCTTGCGAATACCTCATCTTGAACAGTCCCTCGATTGCGTCCAGCTCCAGCTGGGTGTAGTTATGTGGCTCTGGCACAATCGACTTCCACTTTGTCTTTTTCGTAGATGGAGTTGAGGTTCCCGCGGTGGGAGCGCTCTGACTTGTGGTTGCTTGAGCGGCTTTGGTCTCGACGACTTCACCATCTACTGCAGCATCTTTGCCCTGATCCGACGCTTTGTCAATGCTCTCATTGCTGGGAGGCGTCGCGGTCGAAGCGCCGCCCTCGATCGCATCGAACAGGATCTGAGAGGCCTCGCGAATGGTGGTCTCATCTTCGGAGTTGCCCTGCTTGGCGCTGTCGGTCTTGTTGCTGGATGAAGAAGACATGATGATGTGGAGACTGTACGCAATTAGCTCGAGTCCATCAGCGGCGGCGCAGGAACAACTCACCAGTGCTTGGTATTCGTGAGAGTCTGTGCTGTCGTGGAACCGGCGTCAATGCAGAGGGGTCCGTTGGTATGACTTGCGGGAGTTTCAAGTCGAGTCCGAATTGGCTGAAGTTGTCTGAGTTGGAAGATTCGCAGATTTTGGTGCTCGTCATATGTCGCATGGACGAAGCGGTTGCGGGGATTAACTCACGCTAGTCCCTTGGCAGCCGCTGCACAGACCAAGCGAGTGAATAACTCCAAAGCATGCACAAGAGCAACGCCACCAAAGTTTCCCTTCAGCTTATGGTGCTCAAAACCAACAATACTGCTTGGTGTCTTCTTTTCCACCTTGCCTGTGGTGATGTTTCAGTAGATAAGTCCCTTGGCTCCATGAATATATAGACGAAAAGATTGATGAGCATATACGGGGGATCCATCGCGCGGTGTCGCGATAGTGTCAGGCAAGAAGGAAAAGGCTGTGGATTGGCCATTAGCCACGCCGAAGAACATGTTCTCCTGTTATAAAGCGGTGCCAAAGGGGACAAGAGTTGAAGGAACTGCAGATAGTGATTTAGTCAGTCCTTTGAAGCATGTCTTACCGTAGACCGAAACATCCCGAACATCATCACAACGAAGTCGTTGTTACCATCCCTGCGGTGTCTCGCAGCAGCTGCATCTGAAAGAGGTATCCATAGGCTGCAGCAGTTTCGATGGACCCGGCCATGCTACGTGCGTCTACATCCTGTCTTGCGTCGGCATATCACATTTTATTGGAGTGACACAGTTCGGCAACGTGCGCAATACTGGCTGAAAGACCGAAGTTGCCAGCATGGCACATGAGGGCTCGATTTCTCGAGCCATGACGGTGCAGTGGGTTTGAGAGGCTGGGCTGCTTCTTTGGTGACTGCTTGTTGTCGCCGCCCTGGCTCGCGTAGGCGGTCGGTTGGATGCGGTTGCTGTTGAGGACAAGCAATTCCACGTAGGTCTCTATTGCTGTGCCGTTTGGGAAGGCAGCCTCAGCGTCTAGGGCTTGGGATCGGTCAAGTCGTTGACCAACTTATAGAACTCGCCAGATGAGTGGCCCTCAGGCACCGGAATTGGGACGTTCTAGGGGATGAAGACCTGAATTGCAGCCAATCCTTGTCTTCCGAGTTCCACTGGTGGTACCGTCCTGATAGTAGCTTCGCCTTTGCGTGAGGGACCTGGACGGCGGCTCTACTGTGACGAGTAATCAAGTACAACGAACCTGGGCCTTGGCGCCATTGGCAGGTCTCCCAAAGCTCCTGCTCGTTTCAATGTATTACTGCAGCCCTCCATCGATGGTTTGTTGCTGCCCTCGCTGCCGCGGTTGCGCAGCCTCTTGATTCGACGACTTGGGAGCGGCGCACTGTGGAAAGAGTTCCATTTACCATGGACGGATAATGGGTTTTCCTGCACTCGAATGAGGACTTGGTCCTTCATATCGCGGTAGCGCGTGGTGATGTCGAACTGATCCCGAACATGGCCAGAGCTGCTATTGATACTCGTCCGCGAAGGCGCCTCTGTTCTCCAAGTCTTCCAAGTCTGCACAATGTTCCCGCCTTTACCCCTTCCCCAATCTCGCCGACAAGTATACCTCTCGTCTTACCCTTGAAGTATTTACCGCCTCTTTCTTCTCTTGCTCATCGAATACCAAAAGCGTGCTCAAGGTCTGGTGACTTGGTGGCATGCGCCGAACGTACTGCGCGCGTTGTGGTGATGTCGATTAGCCATACCGCGTATGCTTGTTGTTTTGGTGTTCTGGCAATGCGACGAAGGCGAGCTGGCGGTATGAATCGTTTTTTGGCGTGCATCGAGACAGGGAGGGTCGCGATGCTTCTTGAGGCGGGAGTCGTATTGAGGCGCAAGGCATGTTGAGGCGTGATGGGTGTTGAAGTGGTGTCGGATGCTGCTGAAGTGGCTCGAGGAAAGTGCGTCGCCATCATGCCAACAGCAGTCCTGGATCGATCGCGCGACGAGTGAGATGATCATCAACAGCGCTCCTTGTTCCGCCTGTCATCTAAAGTGAGTGAAATCGGTGGAGTCGCGTTCTGACGGAGGTGGCAGTGTTGTTGATGAGGTGATGCGCGTTAGCTTAGTGATGATGTCGAATGACGCTGACGATGTATTTCCTCAGTTGAGGTGTTTGCGGTGTTCGAACTTACGACTTTCCAACACCACTGCGCGCTCAAATCAAAAACGATCGAAAAAGAATGGAAACGATCGATCTTCTTTTACTCTTACATACAAGCTCCATCACATCAACGCTCATGAATCCAAAAAAAACCTCACCATCGATTCCCATCGACATTCCGAGTTCGAACCCCCTCCACCCCCTCCAAAAATTTGACAAAACAATTGCGCCCCCGGACGGGCGCCCTTGAAACCCCGTGCCACGGGGTTTTTTGTCGAATATGCCATGCCTTGCCTGCCGCCTGCCGCTGCCCAAATTAGTGATTAGTGTATGACGTACCTTATGTGACCAGAATCCTACCACTCCACCAGTCCGGCTGGTGGAGGGTGAAGGACATAGATTCGTTTTGATATTTAAAGGTTAGAATTTGGGTGGCCGGGATTCGGCCGGTGGTGGGGAGGTGAGGTCATGAGATATCTTGCGCTCGACGGGTGTGGTTGGTGTGAGGCAAGATGGCGATGGTGTGTGAGAGACAGTGAGAGTAGACGCGAAGGCATGTTGGATACACAAGGCAGTTGTATTTCATCATGCCCTTCCTTTCCATTATCTCCATCGTCGTAAGTATCTCATTGGGTACGTAGCGTGGATATTGCGCTGGGCCGGCGAAGGTCTCACCATCGAGGCCTTCCCTTCGTCCTCGAGGTCCTCGCCAAGCCAGTACATACATCCTCCACGCCAACATCAGCCTGTACACCACGATCACGACCGATATCAAACGACGCGTGAAGTCAGAGACAGATGCATTGAATTAACACCACGTTTCTCCAGCACCTTACAGTGTATATGCAACGACAAGGGCATACTACTCCCGGTACAGGCGATGTTTGTGGCGACGGACGTCTCCTCGCAGCATTCATTTGTACGCGAGCCTACTCGCTCAATCAATGGAGAGAGCACTGCTGTTGGACATGTACGCGGGTTGTCCCCGGTGACGTCGCCCGGGAATATCGCCTACCAAGATGCCTTGCGCTGCTTCATATTCTTTCGTCTTCCACATCACCACCGATTCTGCAGCTGGCACGGCGTCCAGCAACGCACCAGAAGCTGAGTCCATTTGGAACATACGGACGCGCAAGGGCAGTGTTATAGCACTAGAGCACTTGCTAAATGCGATCTATATCCATGCTAGCATGAAGTTGGCTTGCAATCCACTCCTATTGTTCAAATCAGGATATTACTCCCATTCCATGTCTCCAGCCCTCCCACCCTCTTCACTTCCTACCACGCCTCCTTCGCGAAGCTCTTGCATCCATCAAGATCGCGTCCACGCCGCCATCATCACCCATTACGCCTCTTCACGGATGGAACGTCGCGCCTCACCCCAAACATCAGCCAGCTCCAGTCGCTAAGGCAGTGGTGGATGAAGTCTAAAACGTGATCTAAGAATAAGAGCATGGATGAAGATGGAAGTAGCATTGCCAATTCTCGTGTCGGGAACGGATATTGAGTACCGTATATAGGACTTTACATGTCGAATTCGAGAGCTCAAGATGGTTCTTTTGTTGCCTTCACACATTCGGCGTGTCAGATCCGGCGTTAACAACACCGACTTGGTCGTGACAAAGAAATATCCGCACGACGAGGAAACGACAACTACGAAGGCAAGAAACCGTTGTTGTTTATACATGGTATTATTGGGACAAGTTGCCATTGCAATACCCGTTCTCTATCACTAGCACGGAAATGCGGTCCATGAAGAGCTGGAAAGGAGGAGGTGAGCACGATGATACGATTTGAAAGTCGCTTTAGAGCTCTGATCTGCTCTAGCAGTCTTACACTAGTCTCAAAGCAAGCCATCCCTCTACGCTGCGGTAAATCCTCGAAAACAAGCGAAAACGCGCGCCCTTCTGCAGAGCCTCCACCCTCGCCGTCATCCAACTTGTTCCCACCTCTGCGAGTCTTGCGCCTCTCGCAGGATGTCGTCCACGCTCTGGCTCTTGACCTTAAGGCACTCGCCTGCCCAGGTGGAGTATGAACTGCCTGCCCAGAAGCACCTCACTGCCACCTGAAACATCCTGTCGACCGAGACACCCTGCAACTCATGGATGATGTGCTGTAGGATGGGTCGCAACTCGCTGCCGTTTGGCGCCTGTGCTGCATTGAACGCGGTCTCCAATCCCTGGAATGCGTTGCGTGGATCATTGCCAGCCGCAGCCACGCTGGGCTGGATGCAGATGGACTCCAGGTGTGGGCAGAAAGCGTTCTCGCGGCGGGTGTCAGTGAGATCCTTGATGAGCTGGATCGTCGCCCGGAAGGTTGCGTGTTGCTGGCTCTGCATGAATTGCGTAGGTGCTGTATCCTGCATTGCTATTGGAATAACGAGATGTCGCACCCGCTTCAGGTATCTGCACAGCTGCGGCACTGGGCGATGTGGGTCGGGACTTGTGACCAGCGCGGCATCAGTAGAGTTGACGATTATGGTGGCTTTCTTCAACAGCGCCTCTTCCATGATCGGGGCGAGTTTGCGAACTGGATCCGATCCTCCGAGGATGCCTCTTGCTGCAATGGCGACCAGATCATCGACTTCTCCACGGTACTTGATCGGACCATGGCGCTCAGCGGCCAGATCGAGAACCATCTCGGTCAGTTCCTCTGGGATTCCGGCGAGTTGGTCGACTACATCTGCGAGCGATTTCTGCTCGCGAAGCTTCTCGATCCATTCAATCTCGCGGCGCATCTCATCTGACGGTAATGTTAGCTGTTGCACCCAAGAATGTCGCGATTGTCTATACCTATGCGTTGCTGCAGCTGTTCTGGTGTCGCGTCCAGACACTGTCCGATGTTCAGGCCGCTCATTTTGGTGTGAGTGGCGGAGTCTTGAAGCGTGCGTCGTTTGTCGAGGTTGAGGATCGCGTGAGGTTGTGGAAGGTGTGCTTCTTCTTCGGCGCGGAGGTGGGCGAGGGGGTTGCGGAGAATGACGTTCGAGCGTCGAGGTAGAGGTTGGTGTGAGGCGGCGGAAATAGCTCGGTATGTCGGGTCTGAAGAGAGCAAGCGAAGCTGCGGTGTAGAAAAGAGATTTGAAATGCAGAGGCCCGGCGCTCGGACGCCTTCGATTCAAGGTTCCGGCTTGGCGGATCACATGCAAAGACGTTTGAGCATTCGATTACCGTGGGAAGGAGCGTAGCATGGACCCGAGGTGCTGTTGGGGTTTATTGGCAAGCTAGTATACAATTCTCGCAGAGGGAAGCAACGGTCCTGGCGATACAGTCCCGCCAGCCCCGTACTGCCACCTGCTTTGCTTTCATATCAAGAGTTCTGAGATGTATTCGGCTCAGAAAGTGGCGAGCTCCAGGCCCTTACTTGCCTCCTGCAAAATGCCATCTACAATTTTGCCCTTGACAGCGATCTCCTTTCCATCCCAACTGGAGTACGAACTCCCTGACCAATACCGGCGAGCTCGCAGTTGAAGCGTCCGCTCGACAGAGCCCTCAGAAACGATCGTCTGCATGACTTTGATGATATACTCCAGCACGTAACGCAAGTCGCTGCCGTCAGGAAGGCGACTGTAGTCAAACGCTTGAAGTGGTTTCGTGTTGGTATCTTCCAGTCCGATTTGAGGGTTGTCGCCTAGTGTAGCGATGCTGATTTGGACGCGGAGGGACTTGAGCTGAGGTGAAGACTCGCGTCTGATCTCGGTCATGAGTTGGATGGCGTTGACGGCTTCCCAGAGGGCGCGTCGCTGCTGCTGTGTGGCAAAACCGGCATGGGAGACCGCGCTTGAGGCCTGAAGCGACACTTGCATAACCACTCGACGTGCCTTTTGCAGACGACTTCGTAGAATTGGGGCTCTGTCCTGTGTCTCTAGAACACGAAGGAGTTGAGCTGGCGACACGACGAGAGCGCAAGTTCTCATCAGAGCGTCTTGCATGTCGCCGCGGAAGCTCTGCGCCTGTGCTGAAGGGCCCACGAGCTGGTTCGCGACTTTGACAACATCATCGACCGTGTCTCCAGTAATCTTGATCGGTCCGTAGCCCTCAGCCAAGACATCGAACATCGAGTCCTTGATCTCCTGTGGCAACGATGGGATAGCAGTGAGAGCAGCAGGCCGAGTCGCTTGCTCCCACCGGGTCTGGCGGATAGCGCGAACCCATGCCAGCTTGCGTTCGAGCTCCTCTGTAAGAATGTTAGCGGATCGTATCTTCCGGTGTTGTTATGGTTATAATGGACCTTGATGTCGCTCAAGCCACTTGTCTGTGGCGTTGAGGGTGGCGTCGATGTACTGCTCGGTGTCCATGTTCACGCGTTTCGATGAGTGAAGTTGCTGGTGTTGGGGGCGGAGCCGAGCGATGATGCGATACGAGAGCGATGCGTTGCTGAAGGTGATGATGTCTTGAACTTGGCAGCAGCAGGGGCCTTGCTCTGAGGTTGAAATCCAGCGGCGAGTGTTTGCAAACACGCTAGTGGAGCGCTCGGCTGGTCGGATCCGCATGTGACTGGGCTTGGCGTTTTGGCATCATCTTCCCCCTTCCGTCCAGCACACCTTGAAACACGACACGCCATCTCCAAGTCGAGAACTTCTCAATACAGCACACTCGACATAAGCCTGCCTCTCTTTTCAAGACCACCTGTTGTCAAGATGGCACCCGCGACAAGAAGACACAAGGCGATGCCGAGGGAGGTCGCCTCGATCATGATGGAGTACGACGCCATCAATGCCAGAGCCACCGACTACGACGAGCGCGCCAATCGTGTCGGCTACCACGTCAACCTCATCAACTTCGAGGCACGTTGGCGCCACCCCAAGAATCCTCACCTCCAAGACCTCGCTCGCCAGGCCTTCCTGAACGCAAGACCGCACGACGTCGAACCAACCATCCTCTACCAACATCAGCCCTTCGCTCACCCGTACGGTCCCCCTCTTCGCTCTCCCCGCGTGTCGTTCACGCCGAGTTTCAGCTACGTCACCCACATCGACTTCCACATGCCACGCACCACGCGCGTGGCGCACGACCTCATCATCGACAAGATCTTCGCCGTTTGTCCACAGCTCAAGACCCTGCACGTCGTTGTCCGTGGCTTGGATGAGGCTGGAGACAGCTGGGATGCGCTCGAGGAAGTCGTCGACTTGATGCACTCCATCGAAATTGCCCTCAGCAAAAACACCACGGTTCGAGTGAAGACGCTGGACTTCTGCCCTGAGTTTGTTGGAATCTCAGAGACCCTCATGCCATACAACAGCGCAAACCCGCGTCGCGTCCGGATTGGCAAATGGGACTTGCGCAGCTACTTCGAACAGGTCCAACCTCTGCAAATGCTGATCAATGAGTTCACTCTCAAGCATGGTCACTATCTCGTTACCGCCATGTACTACATGGCTCTCCTGAAAGAGTTTCGCGGATATCAGGTGGACGGCTTCAAGTGGGCCTTCGATCAGGGCCAGGCGGTACCGGGATTCCTGGCCAGGGCAGCGTTGGCGCATCCTAAGCAGAAGACGATATTCGAGCCAGAGATGCGGCAGGCATTGAAGGAGGTGCTGGACCAGAAGGCGGTGAATCGGCTCCATTGGCCCACGCGGCATTGATGGTGGGTGCGGCATCCGACAGCATGGTGGGTGTGGAACTTCCAGGCCTTGAAGAGTATAGCTAACATGATCAGTGTATACGGTGTTCTCTGTTTCTTGGCGTATCGACTCCAGTGATGGCATGATAGGGGAACGAGTGGTGTAAGTTGCACTTTCCTTAACAGCAGGCAAGAGCTAATGTGCTTAAGTACTAGGATTGTTTTGCTTGCTACAACTACGCAGTTTCGTTTGATCAGTGACTGGTTAGAGAGCTTTTTGTGTTTGAGGTCTTTTAAGGAACGAGACAGGGTGCAATATGGTCTCGGTAGGTTTGCTTTGTCACTCTGCTAGAAGACTGAATGAAAGAAATGGAAACTACACCATCACTGCCCACCATTAATAGCACAAAGAACACCTCAAGACGCAAAGAGAAGAACCATCGATCTTATCTAACCGCTGTCATACTGCAGTAATCTAAGCTGTTCGATGCAGATACGCTACACCACGCCTCTACCCTCCGAGTCAGTCAATATGACCCACGCCGCATCCAGCACACGCAGTACTATATCAGCAGAACTCGCTCAGCGTCTTTCCATCTTCAGCGACAGTCGTAACCACTTACTCCCTCGCTTCGATGACAACGCCATTCTCAGAGAACGCCTCGCGCTTGTCCTTTGGGATGGTATATGCGTCTGGTGAGCTCCAGCCTGGTTCACGCTTCTCCTTGGGGATGGTGTATGCATCGGGTGAGTTCCAGCCTGGTTCACGCTTGGGAATGGTGTATGCGTCGGGTGAGCTCCAGCCCGGCTCACGCTTCTCCTTGGGGATAGTGTATGCGTCGGCAGAATTCCAGCCTGGCTCACGCTTCGGAATGGTGTACGCGTCAGGGGAGTTCCAACCTGGCTCGCGCTGCTCGAGGTCCCCTCGGCGCCAGTTCCCACCTCGACCGCCACCGCCTGCTTGGATCTCTGCTCGGCGCCAGTTACCGCCACGACCGCCACCGCCTGCTTGAATCTCTGCTCGACGCCAGTTACCGCCACGACCGCCACCTCCGGCAGCGTCTAAATTTATATCAGTCCACGTTCGTAATAGGTCTTTTGACTAACATACCTGGTTCAGCTACTGGAGCTGCATGAGCAGCAGCGGCCAAGAGGGCTGTGATTGTGAGTTGTGTGAAATGCATGTTGTTGAACTTTGCTCAACTTTTGATTCTTCGAAGCAAAGAAGAGAGCTAGCAGTCAGTGAGGATTGAGCGGTAAGTATGTATCCTCTCGTGGAATCTCTCCAGCTGACAAGAACCCTCAGGCGTCCCATTCGAACAAGGCAGGTCACAGCCCTCCCAGCTATCACGCGATCCGCCTCCCCCTCCAGACACGACGATAGTGAAGTTACATAGCATGAGCAACATGCAGTTCACAAATACGGCCTACGAGTTCCTCCTCCTTCATTGGGTATACCGCAATTGCGACCTGCCACTTCAAGCTAGCTTGACACAGCTCTAAAGCTCTTGGCTGCAATAGTGCGTTCTTCTTGGGTGGCCTTATGCGTTAAAAGCCTTGTTGACTTACCGCGTTGGGTTAGGATCTGGAGCTTGTGGGCGATTAGTCGTCAGTCGGGGTGTTGATGTCTTGGTTGCCCGACAATGGGTGTGCATATGCCAAGTTTTAGTGTATGCAGGGTGGATGGGAGGGTTTGGAGAGTTTTCAGGCGAGCCATGGCAGCTTTCAGCTAATGTTCCCTTGCTTTCTTGCGACCATCCTCAACTCCGAAAACGAGCACTCAGCCAACGATTGATCAAGGACAACCCTCAGAAGCCATGGGAGGCGAGAAGACAGAGCGATACTCCAGCGACAATGAGTCGACAGAGGCATTGCTCCCCGAGGGGAAGACAAAGCCAAGCATTCCTACCAGAAGGCAACTAAACTGGACCGTACCGCTCGTACTGAACGTCTTGTTCTTCATCTCCTTCGGCATGCTAGTCGCCTCCATTCGACAGAAAACCTCCCTTCAAAGTGCGATAGAAGCAACATCAATCTACACACCCGTCTTCGACGACACAGACATCCACGTTACAACAACGCAGCTCAACGGCAGCCTGCATCCGGGACCTCAGCCTGGACCATGGTACGGTCTCCCCACCAACCCCATCGCAGAAGCAGCCTGGAACGAATTCGAACACATCCGAACAATCCCTCTCACCAAAGCCCAAGTCCTCGCCATGGGCAAAGACCCCTCTCTCGTCGCCAAATTCGAAGACTCCTTCTGGGGCATGGGCGAAGAAACCTACGTCGGCGCCCTCGACTTCTTCCACCAAATTCACTGTCTCAACATGCTGCGCAAAGCAGCTTTCTCCGGCAACGCCGGACTCGCGGGGAGCAAAGCGCAGGAAGTCGTGCATCTCCAGCATTGTACGGATATGTTGATGCAGCATATGCTTTGTACGGCGGATGCGGGCATGATTACTTATCAGTGGAGGGAGGGGAATGAGTATCCTTTTCCGGATTTTAGTGTTCAGAGGGAGTGTAGAGATTGGAGGCAGCTTGTTGAGTGGAGGGATGGGCATGCTGTGGATTTGGAGAGGTATAAGGAGTATAGGAAGCCGGAGGGGGTTGAGGTGGTGCCTTGGGGGGAGGAGGAGGGGAAGTTCATGAGGTGGATTGATGAGGTTGGGGAGAAGCACGAGCACTGAGAAACAATGCCAGACATGGGCGTTGACCGCAGTCGATTTCCCACTTACGCAAACCCGGCTGTGGTCATCATGGTCTCGCAGCATCGCCTGAAAGGAAATCCCGGGCCAGCCGATCTTACGCAAAGTTGGTGGATTGTCGACGACCACTCAAGGCTATGGCTTCGGGGCTCACAACGTAGCCCACAGCCGTCTTTTCAATCTGCCATGGCAACATTTGAAGGCCAACGACAATATGGCAAGGATGGGGTACCGCGGCGGAACTGAGCTTGAAGCAGGCGGCAAGTTCCAAAGTGCTCGAACCAATACCTCGACAACAAGCCGACATTGGCGAGAGTTCACCATGCGGAGAGACGGACCGATGTAGCGATGGAGGCTCACTTCACCATCGACTGGCCCAATAGCGGCAGATCTCTCGTTCGCTGCCACATTTACGCTGATCTGCAACAACCGCCTTTACTCGGATTCATCCCCCGATTGCGGGATATTACACCTTCCATCTGGATCAAGGGAGAGTACGCAAAGGTCGACTTCATCAAGTTTTGATGCCGTCGTATTACCACAACATCCTTGCCGGGCGGAGATACAGCAGTGGAAAGCTTACTGAAGAGAAGAGAAGGACAAAGGTTTTGAGCGGAGGGGAGTCTTGGAAGGATGGCAGCTTGAGGCCTTGTGGATGCAGTTCGCGCGAGGGAGGATGGGAGGGAGTATAATGGGCCGTGGATATCGTTGCAGGAGAGTGTGAAGGTGATGGAGCTTATTGGTAGGGTGTATGAGAAGGCGGGATTACCGAAACAAGGTTTTTGATCCAGTTCCAGGTCTCCAGTACAGACGGCTCCCAATTTGAATCTGCCGTAGTGATGTGCTATATTGGCTGATCAGCCATTGAAGACGGGGTCTAGGTTCATGGAATGCGGATCAAGAAGCACCGCTTACGTCGAGTAGCAGCACACGAGGGAAATGGGAACTGCAGAACGGCTGGGGAGGTAAATACAGAGAATGCAGACGATTCCACCGTGGGAGAATTGACATCTCAATGCATCGCGAACTCGAAGAACAACACAAGATCTGGCCAGCAGCGTCTCCAAAATATCCTCAGCATCAATCCCAACCCTCCCAACCTCACCGCCCATCCGCAAACCTCCTAACCCTCTCCTCCCTCCCCCTCACAACCTCCGGATCCCGATTCCACTCTTCCTGCTCCTTCACCGAATTCTTCCCATGCTCCGTATGCCGTGCCACCCTGTTCAAAAAATCAATCGCATAAAACCCCGTCATGGCCGCCTCCGCATACGGCATCTTCCCCGAAGCTTGATTCCTTCCATTCCGCAGCGCCCCGATCGCCACGCCGACCGTCGCGGCGAGCGCCACGCGTTTGCCTTTTTGGCCGGTCCACGGCCCGGGTTCCATGCGGCAGCGCACGACTTCGACGCCGCCCGCCCAGGCGCCTGCTTTGAGCGCTTTCATGGCTGTGTAGCCTTCGGAGGGGCGGTTGGGGTCGTCTTGGGGGCGGGTGTTGGGGTCCGGGCCTTTGTTGGTTTTGGTTTCGCTGTGAGAGCGGGAGCGCGAGCGGGATTTGGATCTGGAGTGGTCGTCGGTGCGGCTGCGGCGGTCTTGTCGTTTGGATTTGCGGCTGCGGTCGGAGTGTCGGCTTCTGCTGGAGCTGGTGCTTCGGCTACGGCGGTCTGGACGGCGAGACTTGCGGTCGTCGTGGCCGTTTACTGGGAGAGGGTGCTCTGGTGATGGCTGATCGTCGTCTGCGTACCGTTGCTTGCCATGATACTCGGTGACTGGGAAGCGGCTTGGTTCGTAGCGGTGATCTTCCCAGGAATCTTCAGTGCCGTTTCGGCGACGACGTCGGACTCGCTCGTAGACTTCTGAGTAGCGTCTATCTCTCGGATCGCGGTCTGAGCTGCCCGAGCCGTATGATCCTGAGTTTTCGTTGTTGTAGTATAGAGCGTCTTGGTAGGGAACGTAATCCCTCTTCTTCTGAGCACCGTTTAGAGCAGCAGCATCCGAGCGAGGAGACCCATCACGAGGCGGTGGGCTTCGAAGTTGTGGAAGTTGCTGCTTCTCTCGATGCTGATACTCGCCATTATCGTAGTTGCGGTGGTTCATGCTTGGACGTACTCCTGTAGATACGGTCAAAAACCATCAAAGTCGCTGCAAGTGTGAAGATGTCGTCGAGTCGAGCGAGGGACAACTCTATTCTTGAAGTCCACAACAAAAGTTGAGGCGCTCGTGCCTATTTCCAAGTCCTTCATCGAGATCCGGAGGGATCAGGCTGGTCGTTCTATTTGAGCCGCGCATGGTTTTTTCCATTGCACAAAGTCACGCCACATTCTGGCGGTGAGGCTTTCTCTTCGCCCGACCTTTGTGTCGGAAGAACACGTCCTTGAACTCGGTCTTACATCCTCAAAGATATAACCGGAGCGAACCGCTCGGTCTGCATAAGTCCAGATCCAGGCAATGCGACCATGAAGACCTGCTTCGCTCCGCCCTGCGAGGCTGCGCCGCACGACCCCACGGGGAATCCCTCCCGCATGCGCCAGGATCATGTTTGCAGCCTTGACATATATCAAACCTGTTAATCGAGTTTCAGAAATACGGGTTCCTCGGCCATCACGGCCCGAGCGCTGATATACGAAAGGTACCCCTGTCCGGCTTCCCGGAGTGAAACCAACGTCACGCGGCTTCTGTGGCGTGACAGCCAGGTGTGAAGATTCTTGGCTGGGGAAGCAGGTTTGGGAGGATCGGGAGTTTTGGGAGTTCTGGGCTTTGAGTGAGGCGTTGTGAAACTTGATCGATGAATACATCGATGCCAAGGTGAGTGATGTCGGATTGCAAGGCCTTGAGACTGTGACAGACTGGGAATGCAGCATTTTGTTTCAATAGGCGTATTATTGCCATCGATCACATTCATGAACTAGATCCTGCTGACAACTCGGACAACAAAACAGTGCCGGTGTTGAGAACTCAAGGTTTGAACGTCGACTCCTTCAGAAACTGCTGCACGGCTGGACGACTGGTACAGCGTTCCCACCAAGCCTTCACAGCCGGCCTGTTCTCAATCAAGTCTCCATACCCACACAAGGATACCCTCTGAAGAAGTGGAATGTAATATATGTCGATCAGACCAAACTCCTCCCCACCAAAATACCCCTGTTTCTGCAGAAGCCCACTCGCAACATCTAGATACGCACCCAACTCCTTCTCAGCGTTTGCAACAACAGCTTCGTCAGTCGGGATACCGATGAACTTCTTGGCGAACTTCTCGAAGCCGATTTTGCCAGCGGGCTCGCCGAAGTAAATCGTCTCGAAGCATTCGGCTTGTTCGAAGAGTGCTGTGGCTTCGAGGTTGGAAGCTGGTGGGATCAGGGGGAAGGAGTACTTCCGAGCGAGGTATTTGCAGATTGGTCGACTTTCGGCGAGAGTAAAGCCGTCTGGGAAGGTTATGGCCGGGACTTTGCCCATAGGGTGGCGGGCGATGTGTTCGGGCGACTGTGGTAGATGGGTTAGCTGAGTTGAGGCACTGGTACCAGTTCTTTCCCTCAGGTTGCGTTTGAAGGGAGTGAGGTGTCGAATATCGTTAAGCTGGAGAATACTGATATGGAGGGACAAACCTTGTGCTCTCCAGTCCGCAGATCGATTGGAACGAATTCATAGTCGGTGAAGCCTCCTTCGAGTAACGTCAACAGAACTCGTTCAGTGTTGGTCGAGCCATGGTGTCCATATAACTTGAAGGCTGGCATGGTGAAGTTGCGTCTGAAGTTCGAGATTGACTTGAAGTAATTGGGAAAGAGTCTGTACATCGACTGTGAGAACCAGCGATCTGGGCCTCCTTATATGGACTGAACAACTTATGCATTTCGGATGGCTGCATCATGCATCGGCCGAGGCTGACATAAGGATGAAGCTGCCGTGTCTCCTTTCGAACACCGGAGATAGCTCTGATTCGTGGGTTCGGTTTTGGAACGTAAAGGGGTTAGCGTGAGGTGAGCGACTTCAGCTCTACTTCAACGCCATCCTCTTGCTTCGACTCTCACATTCGCCTGTTCGCTTTTCTGCCTGGTTGAGGCGTTCTCATATGTGAGTCATGGACGAGAGTATTGTTGTTCGGGGTCAGAAAAGGACCGAGAGAAGGGCAAAGTCCAAGACTGGTTGTGGGACGTGCAAGTCAGTGCACCGGGTCCAGACTTCCATCATCTGGTGTTACCTGTTGCTGACAACGTATAGGATCCGGCGAATCAAATGTGACGAGTCTAAACCGAGTTGCAACAAATGTGTGAGCACTGGCCGGAAGTGTGATGGATACGAGTCTCCGTTCAGATCTTTCATCCCGGAGCTCGGCAGCAGAGGCACTGGACAGCAGGATGACATAGAGCAAGCTAATGTTGGTACCAGAGCGGTCTTGCCAGCAGAAGTCGAGATTCTCAGTCGGCTCTTCTCGACGAAAACTATGTTCGACGTGAACTTAGGCTGCGAAGAAGAATCGAAGCAGGTGCTCCACGCAAGTCTGACCCAAGCCCCGTTGAGAAGTGCGATCGCATCTCTCAAGGTATTGCGAGAGGATCTGGAGTCGTCGCTAAGCAATTCTCCATCATCTCCATGGCGACCCGAGACCAACCACGAGGGCCTCCAACAATACAGCAAAGCTATGACAGGTCTTGCAAAGAGTCTGTCGTTACCGGATAGGACACGAGTACCTTCCACTTTGCTTTGTTGCGAGACCTTTATAAGCATTGAACAAGTTCGAGGCGATCATGTAGCGATGGCGCAGCACATCATCCGAGGAGTTGAGATCATGCGAGAGTATGGTGCCAGACCGTGCCTCACCCACGCCGGGAAGCTGGTGCCTGCGCATCGCGGACCGCTTCCACTTATTGATGTCTTTGCCGTCAAGCTCTTTGCGGCGCCATGTCGCTTCAAAGAGCAGCCAGCAGTAGTGGGTGCACATGGTGGGACTGCTGCGACCTGTGATGATCAAAGACTCGACCCCGAGAACCAGAAGCAACTGAAGAATCTCGCAACTAATACCCTGGTCTTCCTCAATGAGGTCCGTCATGTTCAGTCCGTCGAAGACGCCACTCAGCTCGTATCAAAGAAAGCCAACCTGCTGAAGTCCTTGAATGATTGGCTCCTCGATCTCAACCAAATCCAACGACAAGGCGAGCCAATTGACAAGGAGCCTCTTGCAGTGTTGTTCGAGCGTGTTTTCCACCAACTGCTGAGGATTTTTACATTGAATGCATTGGACTCATCCCAGAGCCAGGACGTGCAGATTGCTGCAGAGAAGAGGCAGCTTCTGGAGCTGGCTGGCATTGTAAGCTCGAGAGTGCAGGCGTACAATGCAGGTTGGAGCGCGGGTTCTGTTTTCGGCGGAGAGAGGCAGACTGTTGGCGTGTAGGTGTTCCGAGTGACTTGTCGTGGTGGATTGGCGGTGAGTCTGATCAGAGACTCTGTCGACATCTTGGTTGTGAGAAAGGCCCCCACGGTTGTCTGCCTCTGCTGTCGCCGACCATGGCCTCGTGCAGGTGCATGTCTTCTGGCGGGTTGGTAGTCGAATCTCGCGCGATATGATCCAGTATCAGCCACAACAGTTGTGTTCTGCGCTCTTTCTGACATGCTTGACCGCTCGTTCATGAGCGGTATGTCGAAAGTCAAGCCTCTCACGCTCGTGGTTCTGTCCTGACACTATCTCTTGTACGAAGACAACATCTCCAGCAGCTCAACCCCTTTCTCACGGCGGCTTCACTCTGCCCTCCTCTTCAACAGGTCATAACCGCAATGGACCTTCAACCTAATAGAACAGAAGTCTTGTTGTCCGTGCAGTGGCCCGCGCACGAAGGTCACCTCAACCCAAGCCCGACCTCACCACCTCCCTGACACCTCAGGTACACCTCGAATTCGGCATCACCCGTTGGTCCAAGCTCCCACAACATCAAAACAGTTCTCTCCTCCCGCTGAACTTCCTCTTCCCTTCCCTCCTCAGCTCGGTGTAGAGATGTATCCTTGACCTTGCCTTTACCAGCGCCTTGGGTACCGCTCAACAAGACACCAACCCATCCACGCCGTCCCACCGCCTCCATGGCGGCGCGGGGGTGTCTTGTTGAAGAGTGAAATCATGCGACAGGGAAACATCGTTCGTTTCAGTCTCCCATCGTCGCTGCCTCTGCTTGTCTCGGGGTTGCCGCACATTGCATCTATGGCGAGCCGAGTTTGCTGAGAGGCTACATTTCTTTGCATAGTAAGATAGCTTTTGTATTGAATGGCTTGATTCGTGTTCACTGTCGTGTTGTTTCATTACTATCCGTCCACTTGTCGCGCCCATGAGGCCAAGGTGACTCGCTGTGCACGAAGCATACAGTCTCACACTGCTGCTCGCCGCCGCTGAGTCGACGGCGCGTCCTCTCGTTGATCCGCCGGCAGGTCGGTCAAGACATCGTGACGACCCGAGTACCTTCGATCGCCGCGCCTTTTCACGCGAAGAACCTCGCACCGTTGACTGCCACGACACCAGAACCGGCTTTGGATAGACAAGACCGCGTCGCCTTCCTCGTCACTCTTCTTCCCTCTCCAACACCCACGACAGCAGCGGCATCGTAACATCAAAAGAGCCCTTGAGCACGACCGCCACCAACATCTCACCCATCAGCCCTCCTGCGCATGAGAATTGAAAGTTCATCAGCGAGAAGACGGCCCACCCTCTCAGAAAGTATTGCTTCGAGTGCGGGACATCGACTTGCATGTGCTGCAAGGACCACATCGTTCGTCTCGTCCCACACAAATACGACGGCAATGCTCTTGTGGATGAGAATGACTTCAAGGGCTTGACCAAGGGCAACAAAGACCATCCCCGAGGATCCAGGGCCTACCATGGACCTAGCCAATGTTCCGTTGCCATGGTCCGACAACGTAGCCCATAGCACCGAACTCGCCACTCCAGTGCCGCCACCAGCGGCCACCGTTCTGTTGTTGGTCGATGGCCCAAAATACCAACACCATTGCTCAGGAATTAAAGGCCTACTGCTACCGCGTTTACGTCTTGAGGTCGCCTTTCTTACGACACACCGCCCGGTACACCAGCCAGAGGATCCTCTTCACCCTACGTTTTTAATCTCTCCCCAGCTGAACGTATGTATCTTCCAGCACTTGAAGCACGATCGAGATTTATTTATTGCACAGCCGTACCCAAACGAACTCTACGCCTTCATTGATTTCTCCCTCGTGAGTTTCCTTAAGACAATAACCTGGAGGTCTGCCAGATCTAGAGCTAAACCTGCCCACAGATCACCCACGACGAGATGCACTCGCAATCTAAGTAGTGGCTTGCTCCAGGCGTTAAGAAGCAAGAGAGACTTCGCCGCGCCAACTTCACCACCATCCGAGAGCGGAAGTGCAAAGCCGCGCGATGGCACAAGTCGGTGGCTCGATAATTGCTGCACCAGCCCCTGTTCCACAGGGTTTCGTTTGTGGACTTGAACACTGAACACGCAGCTGAGTGTGACATGCTCCACAGCCGCACCCAACCGGACTCTACACGAGTTCGACGAAGTCTTTCCCTGCGCGATACCACGATCTCGCTACATCCAACCACTCGAAGCCGCGCTTGCTCGAAGCATACACTGCGCCTGGCCATCGGGCTGATTGACCGTCGCCCAATTCTCGAGTCCCTCCACGTCCAATCCCATTCTTGCGCCTTACATCGCGGTATCGATAACCTTGAGTCCTTCCATACCGGCAACACATGAGAGCGCGAGAGCTTCGGACCTCTCTACGTCACCATTGGCATCAATGTCCTCCAACGCAAGGCGAATTGAACACCCACACCGCGCGAAGGCGCAAGAGAAGAGACGAGACCTGCACATTCGGTAACGCGAAGGAGGGAAACATTCGGCCCAAACAGAAAGAGGTTGGAGAGCGCAACCGACTCGATGGCGAGCACAAGCCGCAGGCACAGCAGATGTGGTCTGCTATGCGCATGCTCGAAGGGTGGAAGACGGAGGTTGATACGAAGCCAGATGATGTGGAGGGTCGAGTCCATGGCACTCGAAGCCAGGAACTTCGAGCGAAGCATAGCGAAACGCATGACTCGGAAGGCTACGAGGAGCAAATGCCGGCTCCCGGCAATGATTTATTCGGGGCGCGGAACGTGGAGAACACCAGGCAAGATGGGTTTGAAGGTCTTCCCAGAGGCGAAGAGCTGAAGACGATGGTGTCCCGGCTTCGCCCGAAGCACTACTTCTGCTTCTGGTGCAAGAACCGCTGGTTGGAGAACGAGATATCTCAGGAAACGTCAAATCTTGCCGATGTCGGAAGTCGGATGGCAGTGATGGAATTGCGTGACGAGACAATTGGATAGCAAGAAGAGACGACCGATTGCAATGATGAACTTGCGACATCACCTTTGCAACATCTCATGTGGACTCCTACCATGTGCTGTCTCCCGAGCTATCTCCCATTTAAGGATCAGTCTTTCGATCGGAACAAGCGATGAAGATCTCTCTCTTCGATTTGCAGGGGTCGGCAAGAAAATTGAGATTGAAACAGAACTTCGGCATGTAACATCGATATGTCACTTCAACTACAGGATATCTGGAAGGAGGTCAGCGAGCCAAGCGACAATACCATGTCTCGGAATGTGATCTTTCGGTACGCTTGGCGGTTTGCTGAATCCATGGTACACTCGTACCGGCATACCAACGGGTCCGGCTTCCCAGCCTCGTGGCAGCTCCACAACTTTGTTGCGACTTCATGCTTTCCCACTAAGGACTGCTGCTGATTTTCACATACACGTACCGGAGATCATGTCATCTGGGTTTCTTGCACTATGTCAGCGCCATCGATCAGGTTCTCGCATTCTACGACGTTAGAACCAAATACTACGCCTGTCACCCAAAGCCGACGCTCGCCACGAATCTCTGGCTCAGCCGTTACAACCACCAGCCCACCTGCAGCAACACCTCTCACGGAACTCCGAAGACTTCACGCGACAATCGAACAGAACCCGCCACATACAAAGCACCATCTCGATCCAACACAATGTCTAGAACATATAAACGTCCCATCCAACCCACCTCCAACGGCCACTCACCACCGCAATCAAACTCACCATGTTTTTCCCACCAACCTTCCTAACGCTCATTCTAACGCTCTCCATCACTTCCCTGGGCGCACCGTTGGAGAGTCGAGACTTCGACTACGTCGCCAGCGCTCTGAAAGCGCACAACGTCCACAGACAGAACCATTCCGCGAGCGATCTAGTCTGGGACGACACCCTCGCGAACGCAGCGCAGGAATGGGCACAAGTGTGCACGTTCGCGCATAACACGTACTTCACCGCCACCCCATCCTCCCCCAGTCAACAACTAACCCTCCCTCCCAGCACAATCGGCGGCGGCGGCTACGGCCAAAACATCGCCCTCGGCAACTCCGACACCTGCATCTCCATCTCCATCTCCGACCAGTGGTACAACAACGAACTCGGCTGGTACGCTTCCCTCTACGGCGAAGCGCAGCCTTCCATGACGGACTTCGAGCACTGGGGCCATTTCAGCCAGGTCGTGTGGAAGGGGACTACGAAGGTCGGGTGTGCGACGGTGAATTGTCCTGATGGGGTGATGGGGTGGCCGAGTACGCCGTGGATTACGGTTTGTGACTATGGGGGGCCTGGTGAGTTTTGGTTTTCGGTTGGGGTTGATGGATTGGGTATGGGTGCTGATGAAGGGTGTGTTGTAGGGAATTATGCGGGCGAGTATGCGGGGAATGTGGGTGAGCCGATGGGGATGGCGACGGTTGTTGGTGGGGAGGGGATGTGATGGATGTTTGAAGTGGTTGATGACTTTGAGACGACCCTGATGAGAAGTACGGTTATGGTAGCTTGATGGACGACTTCACGAGGCGGTGTTTTGATATCCGAGCGAACTTATTGCAAAATTTATTGATCAGACATGTTGAACAAGCTTAATTGTGCTCCAAGACAGCTAACGAACGACTCTGTATAAAAGGAGTGACTCTTCAAACACCGAGTGTAACCTAGCTCCATTCGCCTTGTCCGTCTCGCCCACGTCAAGTAGAGAGGAGCTTTCCACGGGAGGCTGAGCGACTCAACGACACTATCGCTCCTCGTCCCCCGTCCTCACTCCCAGGGCCCTAGTAGGAAGGACAATTAAACCCCCCCCTCCACAGTCGGATACTGATTCTCCAACGCCGAATTCAAATCCCCACCCTCATCCACCGGCGCATTAAAATACAACTGCGTATTCCCGTTGGCGTCCGCCTCGCACTGCCAGTTGGTGATGCCGTTGGCCGTGTTGCCGCTCAGCTCGTTGTAGACGCTGTCGCAGCCGGCGCCGTCTGCCCAGGTGATGCCGATGTTGACGCCGTAGGAGGCGAAGGCGCCGTGGTCGGTTGCGACGCAGGATTGCGTGTTGGGGGCAACTTGGGCTGTTGCGTAGCTGAGGGCGGTGGCGAGGAGGGTTAGGGTGGTGAGGGTTGGATGCATTTTGGTGGTGTGATGGGGTGTGGCGGAGAATCGTTGAGTTGGAAGAGGAGTGGATTGTTGGGAGTGATGTTGAAGTGTAGAAGGTCTGATTGTGCGTCTTCTTGGAGATGGCAGTTGATTGGTGAGACATTCAGAGGTATTATATACCGTAGCTCTGGTCATGGCCCATGGGAGACGATCCTGCAACACGCAAATTAGTGCTCACGCGATGAATCAACCATTCCAAATTGTATGAGGCTCAGTGATCTGGTTTTTGCTGCTTACCGCGCCTTGTATGGGACGTCTGTCATATCGTTCAGCCGCTACCAGTCATACCAACACAGCCAACGCAGTAGATCAACACATGGAGCTGAATGAGGTTACTTGTCGTATTTACCTCTCTCTACGGCAACGTTCAAGTGCCGCAAACAAGCTGTAGAAGGCTCTCCAAGGCCGTAAGTACTTTTCATTACCTTTGGCACGCTTCTACATACATTCGTGGACGGGAAGTAAGCCTGCAGGCGCGATTGTTCCGACGTCGAATCATCGCGGAGTGTACGTTGTGTCATTCCCATATCACTGGTATTCCCTTCTCACTGTCCGTGCCAGATCCTCCGGCGAGGCTGTGATCCTCACAGACTAAGCTCCACGGAGCCTCCGCCCCTGAGTTGGTCAAACGTCATGAGCATCAGCTTTTCGATCCTGCTCGTGTCCCAATTGCATACTTATGGAATCAGATGTCATCTGCAGTTTTGAGGTCGTATGTCGCCTTCAATTGTAAGCGTTTTCAATTTTAGCGAACTTGCGATTGAGCAGGGCTAGGATGCTGCGAGCAAGCAATACGATCGTCGGGCTTGGAGTCGAAGTGAACATTGGTGTATTGTGCCTGAGCAAGAGGACCTTTTGCACTCCATTCGGGGGCGAGAGAACGTATAGTGTGAAGTGAGTATGGTCTTTGTTCAAACTATACATCATAGCATCATTATTGAGGCCGTTTAGTATCTCTTCGATGCCGCTTCGACTTTCCTCGGTTAGACTGCCTACGAGCCTCGCTGCGGAACAACCATTCTCGAGCAATGATGTCCATGCTGGTGCCAGCTGATGCGTTCACACCTCTGCCAGATGGGGGATTTTGCACTCGATTACAGCTGGCCATCAGCAGCGTCGACCCAAACCACCGCCACGACTCCATTTAGAATCTGACGTAGAATTTGGAGACCCTAGTATCCTCGAAGCGAGCTTCTTAGTCAGTCATGAGTCCTCTTCGCGGCAATCCTTTGTACAGCCCAGCAAGTAGGGTCATGTTGCATTTACGTTGATTCATGGACGGTCGTGCGCTTGCGACCCCTACAAGCAACTGTGACCTGGCACTTTGGAGTTGAGAATTCGAACTACCCTAGGCTATGAAGGGAATTCTATATGTAGGCTGCAAACAATCTTCGCCGTGGGTTACGGTAGCCGTGATCTCTCATGAAGCAGAACAGAACTGCTGCATATGAAACGAGACATGTGTCCGTTCGTGGTCTCTGCAAAAGGCAGCACCTCTCTACGGGCCATCGTTCTGGTGCGAGCCGAGAGCACTGCTTTGCTGTCCAAGTTCTTAGTGATATCCGGAAAGAGGGCAAAAGTGTCAGTTTGGCAGCTGCGGTCGTGCGCCGAAGTCCTCCAGTAATGAGCCCCACGGAGCTTCCGCGGACTCTCAAGTCAGGCGCTGGAATAATCCTGCCACGCAAATCCAGTCGTAAGAGTCTGCCTACAAGAGTTCCAATTTGCAAATAAGTAAGTCTCTTGCTGACTAAACGACTTTAGCGAAATAGTTGCCGAGTCCTTGTGACCATTGGTGTTGGTTTTCAAAACTGGGACTTCAATTCTTGATCATTCTTGGTGAACCTCGAGTAGCAGACAGGTGCACACAGTCAGTGGTACGGCTGAATGAGGCTGAGAAGAGGTATGCCTACAAGCGTGGGTCATATATTTGAACTGCAAGATGAGAGTAGACTGTGACTGAAATATCGAGAAAGAGCCCTGAAAGAGCCTGGGATACTAAGATCAGGCGCCCAGGACGCTCCCTGAAATGTGTCCCATTGCACGAACGATCACGTTCCATCACTCCAAACCCATATCATGGCCCACCAGCAGGACCATTATCATCCCAATACCCCTGCCCATCCGACCTGCAGGCAGTCCCATAGACGCAATAATAGCTCGCATTATCCCCCGAGTTCGGCGACTTCAACACAAACGGGGTCTGATCAATCGTCCCACCACAGTTGGGTCCAGTCTGGGTATTCATGACGGTGTACGCGGTATAAGCAACCTTGCTCCACACACAGACGGTCTGGCCTGAGCCTGCGTTGCCTGTGGTCATGGCAGTCAGCACCTCGCAGCAGGGCTCGCTGGAACACAGCACGTACACGTATAAGTATCACCAGTGGTATACGACTCTCCGACCGCGAAGCCACCGGTGATCCACTCGTCGATGATGACGCCCGGGTTGACGGACCACATCAGTGTGTGCGAGTTCAGGTGGCTGACGGAGCAGCCAGTGCCTCCGGAGCCGCAGTCCAGGTTCTCGGTTACTTGGATGTTGAAGTAGTTCTGGTGAGGGTCGCCGTCGCCGACGCTGACGGTGTGTTTGAAGCAGCCGGTTACTGGGTTGATGCTGACTGGGGTGGAGTTGTTGGTCGCTGGGAGGGCGGTGGCTTGATGGAGGGTTGCGAGGCCGGCGAGGGCGATCAGGTGGGATTTGCTGGTGGATTGGTTAGGTCTGCACGAGGAATGCCTGGGCAATCTACTCACAACATGATGGAGAGAGGGTATGCAGGAGAATGTTGCTGTGTTGGTGGGTGTTCTGTCCTCCTCTCTGGGAGACCTTCTTATATGTTGCTCTCCACGCTGAATCAAGACACGTTCGTGCATCCTCGATGGCGGTTTGATGTTATCTTGCTACAGCTGAGCAAGATGTTACTCCTAGTGCTGTCTCATCGTGGCCGGCATTAGTTCACTCCTTCTGCTGAAAGGAGTCGAAGGCAATAGTTGAAATCCTTCCTGGAGCGATAGAGTCTCGTTACCCAACATCTACAATTGTGGTGCGGCCGCTAAGGTTAGAATGGTCCATTCACAGCTGCTGGCGGGTTCTTGCAAGTGTGTATCAGGATCTCTTCGAACATGAGTCGTAGCTCAACACCACGCGATGGATCCTTCTTACAAATGGTTTGTCGTCGTCCACCTCTAGTGGTGCTACTGTTACTGCCTGATTGAATGGCCTAAAAGGCGCATGTGGCACAGCTGTAGGCCGTACAACTGCTCCGGAGTCTTCAGGCTGCTGATGTTTGGTCAGCGAATAGTCCGGATTCACAGTCTTCAGTATTAGATGTTTTCCCAATCAATGTCTCCGCTGTTCTGGAGCGTTGCCGTCTGACAGCTGTATCCAGATCAAAGACCACGCATATCCTCGTCAAAAATACCGCAACAGCCCTTGATGTCGTATACGCGTATGTGCACATCTTTAATCCTTCCATGTGGTTGGTAATATTTGTCTTTCGGCGGAGCCCGATGGCTCCCACGCAGCTGCAAGATGGCGCCAAAGTAACTTTGCTTCGTTCCACTAGCGGTGTTGCACCAACGCATACGATACCGAATGTGGCCAGCTATGAGCTTTTTCAAACGGAGCTGGGATGGTTCTGGGTAGCAAAATGTTCTCGGGAATGCAGAAGTTTCCATTCTCTTATCTGAGGTCTCTCCATCTCACGACAACACCCCAATCCCTCCGTGCTGCTTCCGTTGCCACAGCCAGGCTCTTTCTCATGGGGATCTCCAGGCGTTTCTGCCATCTCAGACCTCAACACCATCACCAACCTCCAGCACTCGACGCCAACGGTCCACCAACAACCGTCTCGAAGACGGCATCGCACGCACGAGTAGGCGGATAGCATCCCAAGTCATGCTTACACAATGAGCCTCCCCCATTCTGCTGAACACCCTCGCACAGCTCCACGTTGTCCTGCTTGATCCGGATGTGGGTGTGGACGCGGTCCGAAGTCATGCGAACATTGAATCTCTCCCAGCACTCCTTGATGTAGTCCTTGTGTGCTCGATAGACATCGCCGAGGGTCAGACCAGTATCGCTGTCGATGGTCTTGGCGTGTGAGAACCTGTAGTTGCCCGGGACGCCGTTCGTCTTGATGGTCAAGGTCTTGATGGGTGGGTCGGTGAGTAGCGCCTCTTGCCACGAGGCGTATGGCTCGTCGACGGCAGAGAAGTAGAGACGGACGTCGATGACAACGTGAGAGTTGGACCATTCGACCTCGTCGAATATGCTCCTGCTGGCGGCATGAGAGCCGCTGACCCATGCACAGATGGCGTGTCCTGGCTTGGCTCTTCCTTGGTTGAAGATGTCGGCGCGCTCGACATGCAGAGCCCGTGTGAGCTGGAGGCCTGGGGTACTGTACGTGATGTTTGGTGGTCCTCCATGGGGAATGGGTGCGGGATCGAGGGCGGGCTGGGAGGCTTTGACACCGTTGGCCTTCTTGATGTCGTCGGAGCTCTTGATGAGGTCGCGCCACATGGTGTTGACCCGGCGCATGGTGAAGAGGTCGTTGGTTGGAAGGCGGATGAGGATTGGCTCTAGGAGCTCGTAGGTGGTGCCGACTTTCGTGCTGGCCTTCTCCTTGGGCGGCTCTTGTTGGCCTTGGTGGTTGGTGGTGGGGGAAGTCATCTTGCTGGTATCTCTCTGCTTGTTGCTGGGACAGAGGGAGGAGATGGTGCGACGGTGGCGTGGTCGGTGTGATTTCGATGGGGATGGCAAGCTTGATGTTGGGATTTTTCAAGCGGAGCAGAAGGGCAGGACGGCAAACGCACGGGCCACGCACTCTTGAGCTGCCAAATGCGGCAGGAGCAAAGTTGAAAGTAAAGTTGAAAGTGAGGCGAAAATGAAAGAAAAGTGAAGATGAGGGTCATGCTAGGCGTGAAGTTGAGGGTAAAGTTGATGGTAAAGTTAGAAGTAAAAACAAAGTGTAATAAAGGTGAGCAATAGTGAAGTTGGGAGTAAAAGCAACGGTGAAGTAGAGGGTAAATCCTATAGTAAAGTGAGGAGTGAAAGCAACAGTGAAGTATGAAGTGAAGACTCACAGTATACCCTTTACTCCCTAGTTTACGTTCCACTTCACCATCCACCTCACTGTCTGTTTCACTTCCAGCCTTTAGATTAAGACCATTTGTGCTGTACTGTCTTCGCTTCTGATTCTGGCCTTTTCATCGATGTGCCTTCATAGGCTTAGCGTTAAAGGGCAGTCTGAGACAACCCCTCGACTTCTCCTGACTTCACTGTCGCCATCCCGAACATGAACAACATCTGCCATCACTGTTATCATCGTAATCATCCCCATCAGCCCATACAATCCCTTTGGGGTTATACAAGCCCAACGTCCTCTTAGATATGTCACGCTCCAGCACTTGTCGAGTTGCCCGAAAGAACACCCTGGCTCAACATACGCTCGACTCGCCGATGAGACATTCAAGACCGACGGACATGATTGCATTGTGAAGAAGCCACAGGGATGCAGTCTATGGGCTCTGCAGTGCATGTTTCCTGAAGGCAGAGTACCAAAGGAGATTGTGGCTCATTTTGTGCAGCGTCTGCTGGGATGTGTGAACTGGCTTTTCTGCGACTGTGATATTATACATACTGGTTTGACAGTTCCTCTCAACCTCCCAATTCCGAGCTGACACCAAACAGAAATCACTGCTCAAAATGTTTTGATGGAGACGACGGACGATGCTCCCTTTCGCCGGATCGAAGACGCCGAGGCCGCCGAGCCCACTATTCCTGTCGAAGTTAACGGCTATCCAGTATATGCTTCTCGAGGAAGGGATACTCCTTTGCTCGAACTGACGCTTGATCCTATCCTGACCGGTTTTGGCTCATCTCGGTCAACCACGACCACCAACGACGACTGGTGGATGCCCGACACACACCGTGCACCGGAGATTCTGATGGGACTACCCTGGGACGCTCAGGTTGACGTCTGGTCCATCGGAGTGATGGTGAGCTTTGACAAGCCTTGCGATATCAAAGAAGCTGACGGTGCTCTTTTGGCAGGCGCTCGAGCTCCTTGAAGGTAGAAACTTCTTCACGCCCGTCGACACAGTCCACAATCAATACGTACTTCCCCTTGCTCTTAGCCAATATATCAGCTACATGGGACTTCCACCCAGATGGATGATCGAGCAGAGCATGAACCCCGTCATCAAGTCGTTCGTCGACGATAGGGGTAAGTCGTCCTACGCTGATGGTCGAGACGATGACATCTAATGGACTTCTTACAGGACATTGGGTTGCGGAACCTCCAATCCCACAAGCATCACTGGAAGACTTCGTCACCGCTATACCGCCAGGTGAAGAGAAGAACAGGTTCTTGAGATTCATGCGGAAGATCCTCGTTTGGGACCCAGCTCAGAGAGTTCAATCTGCTGAGCTGTTTTCGGACGATTGGCTGATGCCGGAATAGGCATGTGTACTTCAGCGTAGAATTAGACTCGAGTGTGAACTGGCAGACCCATTGATGCTGGGAGTGTCTTTTGAAGGCTTTGCCAAGGGCAGAAAGAAAGGCAGAAAGAGCAGAGCAGAGCGACGAGGTTCACGATTCTCGTAAAGATTCGTGTCCGAGCATCAGCCAGAGAAACCGCATTACAAGCTCTTTACCACTCTAGCCCCTGAGCTTCCATGCAAAATCATTCAAACCACCACTCCAGTGTGGGATGCTGTTGTCCACGATCGCCGTTCAGTGGAAAATTCTTATCCTCTTCCTTTCCCTACTCACTGACATCTCTAACACCCGCATCCAAGATCCGACGACCTGTACATCCAGAGCCATTGGTGCACGTGGAATGCATTGGAATCTAGCAGTTTGCCATCCTTCTACTCTGAAACCACCCATGATCGCTGGCAGCGGCGGCGATTGCGCTAAGCTTGCGTACTACCATGGGTCAATGTTCAGAGCCCTGGTGTAGAAGCCCATGTGCAAGGCACTCAAATATCTCGAAATCGTCGTGTCTGTCGTGCATTCATGGTCTCTCCTGATCTTAGGATGTGAAACCCAATTCATAAGCAGCAGCCACGTCGGCTGAACAGCTTTGCGTTGATTTCGTTGGTCTTGCGCATCGATTCGTGTACATTGACGCTGAGATCAGAGCCCGCATGTTGACAGGGACATCCGTCGACTCTGCTGTGTTGTCCCCTGGCGTTAGGCTGTTGCGCCGCGCCGACCGCCACGGCCTTGACGCATCTTGGTGGTGCTGTAATTCGTGACAGTCTGACGGCCGCTGCCTTCGTTGATCGAGTTGTACTGCGTACCAGACCCATGCACCAGGTACTTGCCGTTCTGAGCGGAAGTCGCCTCGCCTATGCTCGTCGTCTGGCTGCGAGCGGTGCCATTGGACGGAACAGACTCCGGCGTGCCTGCGGGTGGCAGTGACAGCAAAGACTCGTGCATCTGCACCAGAAGGCGCCTAGCTTCGGCGAAGGTGCTAAAGACTCCGCGGTCCGAAGGCCGAGACGCACCGCTCGACACTGCTTGTCGCATCGTCTCGTGCAGGCTCCTTGCGCACGCTTCGATTCGCATCAAGACCACCCATGTCGATGGCTCTTCTGGCGCGTTGAGCCAGCACGTGGAGATAGCGTGATAGAAGTGAGGCAAGGCTTGGTTGATGCGGCAGAGCTCTTTGGGGAGCCAAGCACAGTTCTGGCACAGCTCATCGATGCTGCTGAAAACATCGCCAATGGACTGCAGTGAGTAGATCCAGTTGGCCTGCGCCATGATTGCGACGCCGCCCTTGGATTGTCTGTCATTGGTCAGCTGGCCATCTCCACCCGTGCGGATCGACGCATTTTGATCGCGTACCTCTGATGGGCGAAAGCTTGTCGTCGCTGCAGATCACAGGTGGAGGTGTCAGATCACAGGTGGAGATGTCAGATCACAGGTGGAGGTGTCAGATCACAGGTGGAGGTGTCAGATCACAGGTGGAGGTGTCAGATCACAGGCTGCTGTGCTGCCGCGCAAGAGGCAAGGAGAGTTTTGGGCGATGAGACAAACGTATGGGCCCGATATTATAACCCTGCCAGCAACGCAGCACTCGTTCTCGGCCCTGGCATCATTGCCGCCCTCGTCGCGGCACGCAAGCGCCCAACGCAAGATACGCAACATCGCAGCACTGACCCAGAATCGGCGTCTGACCAGCGGACCAGACGTGCCAGACTCGGTCGAAAGACCAGTCGCATCGATGTCTCTCGATAATGCACGTTGGATCGCACGTTGGACCGCACGTTGGATCGAGACATCTTACATTGTGGCGTGCGCCTGCTCGCTGCGTCCCGCGCCTGGGCCCGGTTGCCCAATTGCCATGGCCCATTATGCGCGGGCTCTGTCGAAGTTTGGGTCTGGATGTGCAGACACGGCCCCCGACCATTAGGTGAGTCGAACATTGTCGTCGATCCCTACGAATGCTCTCGTGTGACCCCGCATCGTCGTGATACCCCGAGTGCGCGAGTGGACATATATACGAGCATGAGGCCAGCAGCAAAGGCGCTCGCGATGAGCCGGTACCGATTGTGTCGACTCTTATGAGCAGCCGCCTGCCTACGCGCCGACCCTCGCGGATACTTGCAACATCCAGATCACCTTGACACTCGTTCACGAACCTGACCATACAACGCACTACGTTGGGACCCTGATGCCAGAAACGCAGAACAATGACTGACCGAAGCCAATCCGTACTCATCCGCTCCATCACGGCGTCCGCAGATGGGATCGAGAATACTTGCGAGGCTGCCAACGAACTGCCCAACGACCTGGATGTGGTAGCCACCATGCAGCCCCTTCTTAAAGACATATTCGAAAGGTGGACTACACACTCAAGAGCAGCCTCGACATCTCGCTCGGTTGAGGGACATGGGCTGCCGGCGCTGGAACGATGCGAGAAGAACATGCGCAGCCTTTACGTCGTGGTCTGCGAAGCTCTATCACAAGGCACGGGCGCGAACCAGCGAGCCACACGAAACCTGGATCTACAAACGAGATTAGTCGCGGAGCGATGCATCGTCGCTCAACTGTATGAGGATCTGACCAGTCTCAACCAGCAGCATCTCATCCAAGCTGCAGAGAAACTCCGTCTCTTCTTTTATGAAATGCAAAAGCTGGACTCCATGTCGCAAGCAGATCAAACAAAGTACACGAGCAGCGGAGGCGGATCCCAATTCAACAACGTCAACGAGAACCATGGCACGATGAACGTCACAAACAACTCCAACAACAACAGCAAGGGTCAAGTGTACTTTGGACAGCACCAAGTCTTCAACAGAGAGTGATGTCTGCTGCGTCGTCTAAATGCCCTTCCCACCATCAATGACCAGATTCTGCCCGGTCACGAAAGCCCCCTCATCACTACTCAAATACAGCGCATAATTCGCCACATCCTACACATCGTCAGCACACATCTCCCCCCAACCTACAAAATCAACAAGCCAACTCACCTCCGGATCCGTCAACCCCGCCAACGGCACCGCCTCCACAAACGTCTTCACATTCTCCGGCGTATGCGGCACCCCCACAAACTGCTCAAACAGCCCCGTCCCGCTCAACAACGGCGCCAAAGCATTCACACGGATCCCATCAGGGCCATACTCCGCCGCCAGCCCCCTCGTAGCGTTCGTCACGGCGGCCTTGCTGGCGTTGTACCAGACCAGGCCCGGGCGCGGGCGTTCGGAGCCGATGGACGAGATGTTGATGATGGAGCCGCCGCCGGCGCGCCTGAGGGAGGGGATCACGGCGGGGATGGAGTGGAAGATGGATTTGACGTTGATGGTGAAGACGCGGTCGAAGTCCGGGGTGGTTACGTCGAGGGTGGGTTTGTTTTTGTAGGCCCAGCCGGCGTTGTTGATGAGGATGTCAAGGCGGCCCCATCTGGGGGGAATGTTAGTGTTGGGTTTGTTTGGAGGGTGAGTGGAGGTGGAAAATGTACTTGTTCTCGACTTCGCCCACGGCCCTCTTCCACTCGCCTTCGCTTGTGACATCGAATTTCATGACGTGCGTGGAGTCCTGTGGCCACAGTCAATTGTCAGATGCATGTTAACAACGATGCCCGAGTTTCAAGTCCTTCCAACTGAAGGCATAGCACACGACTCACCGACTTCCCAATCTTCTCCGCAGTCTCCCTCGCCCCATCCTCATTAACATCGCTAACAAGGACTTTACAGCCTTCGTTCGCAAAGCGAGTGGCGATCGCACGGCCGAAGCCTGAGCCGGCTCCTGCAGAGATCAGTCAGAATTCCTTGCAATTGTTGTGAGCAGCAGCCACGGAACATCGCCAAGGACTGAGATGAAGGGATAGTCGACGAAGTGTTGCTGTGGGCGAGAAGCGTACCTGTGACGAGAGCGACTTTGTTCGCAAGGCGACCGACTGTTGACATGGTGGCGAAGAAGTCCCAGCTGTCCAAAAGCTCGACAGGCTGAGGTTGTGCACTTTCTTCGAAATACAATCAATATCCTGCAGCAGTCTCGATATGTTGCTTTTCTTCCCGCTCAATCCAAATCTCAGGTCTCGACTGTTCGATTCGTTGAAAGACTTCTCGGCTGTTATGTGATTTGGTATCTGCAGGCGTGGTTTGATGAGGTCGAGGAGAATGAGAAGTACGATTGTCTTCGAGAACCACCAATGTCCAAAGCCCAACCAAGAGGTGATGTCGTCGTTGTGGGTACGAAGGTACATCCAACCTCGGCAATGCAAGCCACGATTCGATCAACGCTCACATTTCTTGCAGTGGTGGTTTTCTCTTCTTCTACTTCTGAAAAAGCCGAATGGGAAATCTTTGGGCTTCATTCTCACATGACTTCAATGCAGTCTGAATTTGTGAAGGATGAAGCAGTATAGGGGGCGTGTAGGTATATTCGATTGAACACAGCGCCGGGAATAAGCTGGGGATTAGTTGAGTTGGGTTGATCTGTGGTCAGGCGATGTGACAGGCTTGAATTGGCATAGATGAGAAGGATGGAATAATAGAGAGGAGAGGTCGCATAATGTCCAGCTCAACCAGTATGAGACGTGTGTGAGGATGGAGATTGATATACAGAAACAGCCTGCAGGTCTCGAAGGAGGCCCAAAAGCGGCAGAATAAAAGGATTGTAGCAGAGGAAAGACGACTCCATCGGGACATTCTAGTCTTTTTGGACTTCGAGAGTTATTCTTCTCACGTTTCTGCCCTGATCGATTAGGTATTGTTCAGAGGTCCAAAGATCCAGATGGAGGAGATTATTTCGTCGTGGACAGAGATACGGATCGCAGGGAAAGGAGTCTCGATCGCAGCTGTTGAGAAAGACATGCAGTACTGCAGACATGCATGTGATGAGTTTCGTGGTGCAAATGGGGTTGGGTCTGTCTGCGGAACATCGAGTCTGTGGTCTTCGTCCGAGCACATGATCACCACTCGTGCGCTATGGGGATTTTCTTGTGAGTCGGCTTGCCCCAGCGAGTGTTTCGAAGGCCTTGTGACATTGTTCCTGTTGAGGTCGAATACCTTGGCAGGTAAGGTCAGTAATCACGACAAATAGATCAGCTCCAAACCATTGACAACGCATCAACATATACTAGCATCTTCCCAGACCTCAAAACTTTCAACAAGGCTCAGCAGCGGTCTCTTCACCAGCAGCTGACTTTTGTTTCCACCTCGCACAACACGAAGGGCCACGCAATCTTCAACCTCGCACAACAGCTGCCGTGAGCTGAAAGGTGGTACAGCATATGTACGCCAAGCTCAGACTGCATGCAGGCCACGTTGTCTGGCGTACGCAATTGCAGACACAGAGGCTGGCTGTGATGAGATCAGAAGAACCAAGTTTTCTGTAGAGGCACAGTTGACGTCTGGGATTGGGGCATGAAACGAATCAGTTCAGACTCGGAGATTTCTGCAGGACCCGAAAGCCCGGTGAGATGGGGTTGGTTTGAGCGAGTCGTCGAGGATGCCGAATACAGGTCTCGAGGTAATGTTGAAGTCGAAGATAGATCTATGTTGGCCCCGAGAGATCAACACTGCAGTGCGGCTCTGCGTTGCTATCAATACTCCTCAGGCCAGCCTTACAGAAAATGAGGCCATCGGTCGCAGCTTCAGGCGGACAAGGTAAATGTGGAGGCTCCGCCTCATACCAGCATCATCCTGCCGCCGAAGCAGATGATGCAGAAGACTGTGGTTTGGCGTTTCAGCTTCCTGCTCCCCGCACCAGAGTCCGAGAAAGGCGTCACAAGTGGTGAAGGCTGTTGTTGGTGACTGTGCCTCAGGACGTAGAGAGTGGAAGTGGATGGGGAGAGGTCGGGATTGTGTTGGAGGAGCCGAACAAGCTGGAGATCCGCCTTGGCAGCGACAGTGTCCGGGGTTTTTCGCCATTACTGCAATACTTTCCAGTACGAAGTCCAAAGACTGGATCGGGGAGAAGATGGGGTTCAAGTATGAACAAATACCCACATTTCCTGCTCTCGTTGACCTCATCGACGCTACTCTTTTCGGACTACGGCGATGCGAAATGCCAAGAGCGGAGAAGGGGGAAAGCTTTCGGACAAGACGTTGGAGAACCGCAACCCAAAATAACCACAGCCTTTCCCTATTCCCCCTCCTTCACCTACTTTTCGCCTGCCATCAGCCTCCTGCACCTGCTTCTGGGACCCGGACGATCCTCCACACTCTCCTGCAGTGCGTTCCCTGGTCGTGTTGTACCGGCATGACGCGTATTCTCCGACGCCGTCATGCTGCAAGACAATGACACTCCTCTCCCAAGGCGCAGCCGTGACATGGCAGGAAGATTGTACAGCAGCACGCTGAGACAGTGTAAGAGGAGTATATGAGTCGTTGTCCGCCCTTTTCTCTCCCCTCTCTCCTGTCACCCCTTTCTCTCGTATCCCCCTCCAGCAATTTTACCATCTTCACCATGAAGCAGGTCTTCGCAGCCACCGCCCTCCTCACCACCCTCGCCGCCGCCAGCCCGCAATGGGGCAACCCCAACGGCAACAACAACAACAACAACGGCGGCAATTGGGGTAACGGAGGCCCCTTCGCCGCCTTCCCCTCGTGCGTCTCGTCCTGCCGCGACCAGAACCAGGACTGGTCCAACGCCGACTCGGTCTGCGACAACAACGACGCCATCAACAACCTCAACAACTGCGTCAACGGCTCGCAGTGCAGCGATCAAGAGAAGAATGATGTCCGCCAAGCCATCGCTCAGCTGTGCGCCAACGCCGGCGCCACCATCACCGCCGCGCCCTTCGCCAGCTACAGCGTGACGAGCGGTAAGTGGGACAACACAAACATACCCCAGCAGTGGAGCTCGTGGGCGAGTGCGAACAGCATCTCCAACTGGCCGACTGCGACGTCGGAATGGCAGTCGTGGGCGAGCGCAAACAACCTCCCCACCGCAACAGGCAATTGGAATGCATGGGCATCATCACACAACGGCGGCTGGGGAGGAGCTGGGAGGCCAGGCCCATGGGCAACAGGTGGAGACTGGTCCAGCGCGGCCGGCGAGTTCTCGTCGTGGACCGCCGCCAACACCATCACCGCCCTGCCCACCGCCGCCTCGCAGTGGTCCACCTTCACCTCCGCATACCCTCTCCCCTCGGGACTGTCTTCTTTCGGCGACTGGGCCAGTGCTAACGGCTTCCCAGGCGGCTCCGCGTGGCCTACCCAATGGACCACCAACTCCGCCTGGGCTTCGGCCGTGAGCGCTTGGGGCGGCGACGCAAACGGTGGACCCGGTGGCCCCGGTGGACCCATCGGCTGGCATGGCGGTGCAGGTCCTTTCGGTGGTGGTGGTCCTGGTGGAAACGGCTGGGGTCCCGGTGCTTGGGGCAGCAGCGGTGCGTGGACGAGTGGGCCTTGGACGAGCTGGTGGGGAACAAATGGGTGTCCAGCGAGCACTTGGAGTGGTGAGTCAAGACGATACCTTCCATACGAAAGACGATTCACTAACATTGATCTACAGGCTGGACTGACGGACCCTGGTCTACCTCCGCCCCATGGACAACCTGGTCCGGCTGCGTCGCCTCCACAACCGCCTCGCAAGTCTTCACGCAGACTACCGTCTCCAACGGCAACAGTATCACCGCCGTCTCGACTTCCTTCGGCGTGCGCGTCGCTGAGCAGACGAATGACCTGTCTACCTCAACGGTCAGCACGACGAACTCGGACTCGGGCGCTATGCCAACCAACATGGCCTTCGCTGGCTCCGCGGCTGGTATGATTGGTGTCGTTGCTGGAGCTTTGCTGTTGTAGGAGGTGTGAGTGTTGGTGAGGTGGAGTGAGTGTGTTGAGAGGGAGTGTGGAGGAAGGTAATCATGAGTTCTGATCGATTGATTGATTTACGCTGAATGATAGGAATACCCCCTTTCCTTGATATGAAAATGGAGTTTTTCGATCTTCTATTGACTCCTCGTTCTTTCGTCTGCCTCGATTCATTATGGTGCTTATATTCCTTCGATCGTGGACACGCTCATTAATCACCTTAGACACTCGCCACTTTGGATCATCGCCGCTGCTTCGAGGCTTGGATAATACTTTTTCACGGTCGTCTAGATGCTGTCGCCGAAGTTGGATTGCACTTTGAACTACTCCCACTTGCAGACCAAGCTCTCCCAGTTACTCGAAGTTTAAGGCCCCGGCAGAAGGTCCACATGCAAGGCCATGGGTACCTTTATCAGCACAAATTTTGCCGTCGCTCAAGGATGAAACATCTCCCATGCACTTCAGATCCCGCGATATACTCTCCTATGGCGTTCGCTGTAGTGTAGACAAAGAGGTGTGGGATCGGGTAAGAGTCGTCTACAGTGCAAATCTATGGGCACTTAACTAGCACATGATTTCTCGTCGCTCTGGGATGAAGCATGTGGAATGCACTTCGGATCTGACGATGCTCCCTCTATGGCGTTCGTGATTGCGTGGATAAAGAGGAGTACGATTCAGTAAGACTTCTTTTGTCTTAACAGAAGACCTGGTTACATGAGCTTCTTTGTTCTCATTGCAGCAACCTCAGAGCTGTTGCATGAGGTTTCCGTTGGTATGCCTCCCTCCAGCTTGCAATCAACGCCTCTACCCGCTGGAGCAAGCAGCTCGTTGGGTATTAGATAGTGGCTTCTCTCGTCATGGCGTATCCGTTGCTACCAAGTTCTAATGGATATCCTTCGTATGCTTTTGATAAAACAATTCTATATACTCCTCTGGAGACATCGTATACTCACTAGCAGATACCACGACCTCGACCACTCGACAATAGTCTCAGCTTGTTGAGGAGATCGGCTACGACGACAGGCTCCAACTCAGGGCCCTTCTCTCAGACCCTAGCCAGCGCGACCTGTACATTGACGCAATAACAACATGCTATCTATCACAATAGCTGCACCGGCTCTATTGTTCCCTCCACCCCCAAGGAACGGACTTCAGCAGCCGCTGGGTGAAGACTGCCCCACGAATCACCTGCTGCTCTGGAAGATTCACTCGTTCTAAATTTCACATGCCACCCCCTTCACTCATCCTCCTACTGCTATATTTCTACCTCGAGTCCTAAAGTTACTACTTCTTCTCTACGCAACCTCTCCAAACCACCCATCGACTCTCATCATGGCCTAAACCGACAGTCAACATTGCTGGGATCTGAGGATCATTGCGTTTGGGATGAGTAATGGCACGTATGCTGGTGTGCCACCTTTGCGCAGGCCGTTTGGTGGGGAGGCGAGGGTGTTATGGGAGGAGATTGTGCGGCATTTTGGTGAGGGGAGGTATAGGGGTGTCATTGCGGATGCGCCTGTCGTTGGTGGTGGAGTGCCTCAACCATCACACATTCTTCAGCAACTTCACGTATCTCAGCCAAGTCGACGGCGGACGCTGAAGCTTTCTCACGCGGCGCAGAGGCAGCGACGACGAGCACGACACCAGGTGGAGGCTGGCCTTCCTCGAACAACACCACCTCTGGTAGTACAACCACCACAAGAAGCTCAAGCCTCACATCGGTGCATGGTCAAACCACATGGCGTGGTACAACGAAGACATGACGGCCCACAAACACACACTGGGCCTGCTAGCGAACCTGCCCAAGCTCCTCCACCTCTCGCGTTCCGGCAGCTATACGGACATCAAGCCCATATCTTCGCGCCTCGGCAGCCACACAATTAGAAGAGATTCGTGCGGTCTTCTCAAGAGGCGGCAAACCTGCACGTGAACCTATCGCGTCGCCAGCAAAGGTCAGTCGAGCAAGGTTTCACAAGACCGCCGCTGTATTCGCCTAGTTTTCGCAGGTATGGGCCACTTGCGATGGCGTATGGAGAGAGACCGAGGGTTGTGGTTGGGTTCAACGATGGTGGTGACGATGGTGGTGGCGCTGCTGCGGATGGGGGAGGAAGGAGACGAAAGTGATAGTACGAGTAGGGGCACGAGTGGGATTAGTCGCTGGGCGAGTTTGTCGAGTTGTAGCAATTGAATGACTTCAGCGGCTGATAAGAGGGGACCTGATTACAGACCTGATGTAGAGAAAAAGGATGGAGAGAGTCACGGTAAGATCTTCTCGGCAGCAACGAATACTGCACAACATAGTGTTGAAAGTATAGTATAGAGCGGTGACTGGAGACAAGATACAATCCATGAAATTGGCTCCATGAGAAAATGCAGCCATCACCCTCCGCGAACTCGCCTCCACATTCATCTCCCCTTGGCATCACATGCGAGTAATGCGAGGCTCACTACAGAGCCCTTGGAGCAACTGCGGCTAACGTTTGAGGGTAGTATGCTCCATAGGGGCAGCTCCATTCACGATAACAGTACTGTCCTACACTACAGCTCGCGGAGTTGATTCCTCAAGCCGCTTATTTATTATTCTGAAACAAAGCTATAACCTGACCAGTAGGCTAATTAGCATTAAGAGTATTTGCTGCTTCGCTTACACTAACTCAACGGCAACTGTTTAGGCAGCTCCACTTAGATAATTAGCAGCTAGCGTTACACGAGCAGTCTTTTACTTCCTCGACGCTTAATTTTAGCGTACTCGATACTAGCAGCCCTCGAATAGTTACTAGTTACTGATCCTTCGGCGTAGAAGATATCTAGAAAACGCCGCGCAAGAAGTGAGGCGTGTCAACCCCCAACATCGTCAGCGAAGACTGCAAGCATCCACAATTTCTGCGAAATGGAGATCGAGGAAAAGCAAGTCTCGGTGTCTGCGCATGCTGACGGTCCCTCCACACCCAGCTGTAGCATGAGCTAGTAAGCCCGTTGGTGCTGGTTACACTTTCACAGCCGGCTAGACCAACACCCAGTGACTTCAACAGGCTCCTAAGCTTTGCGAATCGACCCTGCACCTGCGCGACAGGCCTTCCGCACGATGAAGCCAGCTGTGGGCCTCGGGCTCGGACGTAAACAAGCTATACGTCTGATCATGGCTCTTCAACGCCTGCGCTCAGACTATGATCGACCGGCAGATTCTTGCTGCTGCGATTATCCGGCCTGTGTTCTACATGGTCGCTGTTTATTGTTCGATGATGCCGGTTCTGTTCAGGGTGGGGCTGCACAGGGTCTACAGAGGTCTCCCACTCGACGCTTGCACGCAAAGAACTCCAAACAGCGGCGACGGCACGAGCCACACCGTGGACATCTCGGACGGGGACATCTTGGTGGTTCATTACCATTTGGCGGTTCGAGGACGGGGGCGCCATGTGGTGGGAATGGCCCGGCTGGAGGTCGGAGCATGTTGTCTTGAGCGGCACCTCGCTGGTCGAGAGCAACGCCTCGTCGGTCGAGCGATCGCGCACGTTGGTCGTGTTCTAGGGCGCGGCCATTCATTTGACCCTCTTGGCGTCCTAGGTTTCTCTCGCGGGCGCGCGCGGCTTCCTCACGTCCTCCGACGTCTCTTTCTCGGTCTGCTACGGCCCCCTCGCGCTGTGCAACTTGGTCTGCCCTTTCGTTGATGGCATCTTCTGGGTTCGATCCTTGCTCGGCGCCATCTTGCTCATGCCAAAACAGAAGCTCCACCTCATCGTTCGCCCTCAGATTAGCGGGCCACATCCAAGGATGAATCTCAATCCCGTCCGGTCCGACCATGGTAAACTCTTCTCGATCGATATACGGACCGAGGCGCTCACGCCGCATGCCATGTCTAATCAGATTCCTGGCAGCCTGCGAGGTGATTCTGATGAGGTCTTGCGCCGGGGGGTATATGGTCTTTGCTCAGACTTACAGCCCATGCCTGGCATCTGGCGAGGGGAAGCGAGAACACCCTAGCTTGGTATCGAATACCGATCATATTAGAGCATCGTGCGCGCCCTCGTTCGCTCGAACACGCAACCCGGCAAGGGTGCGGACTGGGCACGACTTCAATGCGCACAGGAGGTGCATGGCCGGGCTGTGGTAGATGCGCAGGGAACATGTACGCGCCTGGACCTGGGCGCACTCGACTGCTTTGAGGTTTTGGGGTTCACGCGCTTCATGAAGCTACTGCAGGACATGCGCAGCCCTCACCGGTCTATTCGGGAGCGAGGATGGCTTCTGCTCATGCTCGGGGACGGTCCAGTGCCTTCTGGCACCCGGGCCTTGTCGCGACATTAGCACCACGTCCAGAGCCTCACCTGGCATTATAAACGTCGCGAGTAGGTCGATGGCGCGGTATGTTACAAGAGCATTGCTGGTGGCGGAGCGGCAAGCCATGACTCCGGTCGAGCTGCTGCCATGGCGCCTGCGAGCACACCGTCGCAGAGAAGATGGAGATGAGCTTGGATCAAGATGCAGCGGCTGGTGGCTCGGATCGACGAGAGCGCCTCGTGCCCTGCCTCCCGCGACGGGGATGCAAGCCGCGTGGGATGTCATGCGTCTCTGCGTTCACGAGAGCCAATGCCCGCCCACCCACCCATGCTCTTTGCGTCCTCAACGCGCCACTCATAGCGAGCGGAGTGACGTGCATACGAGAGCATTGCGCGCGCTTGCGTGCAGCATTGAGCCTTGAGTGCGTTGACGCCGTCGCAAACCCGCAGACGTGGCACGTCCTGATTGATGGAATCAGGCGTGCAGGCAGGGTGAACGCCGAGCGCCACCCGCACAACAAGCAGTGCACAAGAGCGCAGGCATGCGCAGACCAAACCATCTCCAGGCAACGACAGCCCAGTGTGGAACGGGCCGCTCCATGCCGCTCGCTCCGACGATAGCCGCGGATCGAGCGCAGCCAGCTCCATGGACCGGTACCCGCTGGCGCCGCACCCACTCAGCTCTCCGCCTCCGCTGGTGGCCATGCTTCTGGAGCCCGCTCCGGCCACTTGGCGCGTGTTCCGCTTCTGGGTCTACGATCGTGATGCCGTGTATGCGTCTGCGTTCAGCAACAACGATGGCCGAGGTGCCCGCAACCGAGCCACGGGACACCGCCGTCACGCTCATTATGCCGGAGGACACCACTGCCGCGCCCGGTCTGCGCAGTCCCTGTCTGGAAAGGGAGCGTCAGGCAAGTCAGGGAGGCCTGCGGGAGGAGCCAGCGCCGGGGGAGTGCTCCCAACATATACGACCGAAAAACCTCGCTTACCTTAGCACCCGTTGTCCACGGATCATTTGTGGCCGCCATGCGCTTGACGCTGGCGATCCCTTGAGAGTGATATGGCCCGGGCAGGTTGTCAAGCATCACCTGCTTCCCCTTTCCCTTCCGCCGGGCGGCCGGGCCGCCTCTGCCCATCTAGTGGGGGTGTGGGGGTGCAGGGCTGTGTCGAAAGCAGCCTGAGGCCAAAGTCCGTGCACCATCAAAGCCTCGCTGCTGCCTAGGCAGTGAAGACTAGTGTGTCCTTCTGATCGTGAGTATTTAACGCGGCCGGGACCTTAACGACAGTCTCCACATCACAGTGCCATTTTGATGAACATGGCCCCCAAATTACTGCCACAAGCTTGCTTCGAACCCCACAAGTACTTCCTGGGCACTGTCAACCACCGTACCAATCAGTGCATTGCCCCGGCGAACCATGGCCGCCAATGTTCCCAGATTATAAGCAAAGAAGATGCTGCCCAAGTCACAGAGCTGACCATGGAGGCCATTGCCAGCACAGATGCCAGCACAGATCGTATGCAGAGGTTGCAGCTTCTCCAGAGACTTGCCCTTCTCCGCTGTTGTAGTCGCTGGCATCGACAAAAGCTCGACGAAAATCGCCAGATCCTGCAAGAAGTTGTTGCGAGATACGAACAAGTCATCGAAGACAGTCCATGCGAAGTACCTCTGGAATCCTCCCCTGGGAATCCCACACGGGCACCCAGAACACCCTCATCAGTCCGAGGTCACGGCTACGCACTCCGACCGAGGAAAGTCGATTTGAACTCGGACGCAAACAAGACAGATGATATCGAACGGCCGGCCGACCTGCTAGTTCCATACTCCTCCTGCCGCTTTGGTGACGTGGAAAGTCTCCTGGTGAAAAGCATCTCCGACCCCTATGACGGCTACGGCTTCGTGTACGCCTTCGTCTGGCCCAATGCTCCTGGCTTTGTCAAGCTAGGGTCGTGCAAATCTTCGGTGAATGGCCGACTCGCTCGATGGCGGAAATGCCATCCTAATGCGAAGTTAGCGCACTGCATTGCCGTGCCATATCGTAAACGCGCTGAACAGCTGATGCATCGGCAGATGAGCCGACAGAGACACCGCATGGTATCATGTGGACGATGTGCTAGCACGCATCTGGAATGGTTCAAAATGCCCACGGATGAAGTCAAAACTATCATGAACTCTTGGAAGGAGCTGCTGGATACATGGTCGCTCTACCATGAGAACGGTACAGTCGCGCCGGTGTGGCATCAAAGGCTTGGTCGTACAAGGCGCAGTATTACTGCGAGACGACTTCTGGGGATCTGTAATGCCGAGTCGAAGGCATGTCACAAGGAGGAGCCAAGACAGTGCGTCCCCAAGCAACGGAATATGTGCACGGTGGCTACAGAGGGGATCACTCCGATGGCTTCACCTCCCGAAGAATCGACCGTGGTCCGCATGTTGCTAGTGTGGGCTGAGGACTGGGACCTGATTACCATCTATCTGGGGGATTTTTGGTGCACGGTATAATCTTACGGAGCCCAATCGGTCGTCCGGAACACAAATCTGGTGCTACGTGTATATGTTCTGCAGTATATTGCTGACGATCAACGAACAGGGTTCCGAAGGTAGAGGTAGTTAGGATCGAGGACCCCCTCTTCAGCATCTGTCAGCTCATGGTGCAACATTCACGAGTCGGATCACCTTGATAGTTATATATATCAGCTGCTTGCACTGCCACTTGTGGAGATCGTAGATTGCTGCTAGACTCGTTAGAACTATGTTCTTGGCCACATCATAACTGTCAAGATCTAGCTGTTGCTTCATATATGATCTTCCTCGGCTGTCAAGATGTATTAGGTTCTGACTTAGGCTGTCCAACTCCACCTTCCTTCGTAGACGCGGCCAATAATACTTCGGTCGAGGTCGTCCGAAGTGCTCAACTACCGATCGGCAGTAAGCTCTTTCTCCGAGTGATGGCGTAGTCACGAGACATTCGAGAGGACATAAGTTGCATAAGACTGGACGTTATGAGAATACGCAGACGCAGAGTGCTGTAAGCGATCGCGGTATGCGAAAGATGGCTTTCTGACAGTGGCTACGACGCTGCTAGGCAATGCGACAGACTAAGGCCCATGTAGACTTCAGTCGAAAACTCACTCCGACACTCGAAATACCTTGTATTGCAGCGAAGACGAGGTTCGAGCCACAGTGAACCGGTGCGGTCCTGTCCACATCATCTACACTTCATCGATAGTAAGCTTCTTCCCTTTCGCGGATTCTCAACTACTAAACATTCGATCGAGCACCGCTGATGGTGACCTGTTCTAAGCAGCAGGCTCGGGCATGGTGATTGACCATGTGATGGTGTACTAGAAATGTGTCTGGCACGCCATCACATGGTGTCCAATGTTGAAGACGAGTAAGGTGCATAGGTATATATGAGTGGGGAAATAGTAACAAAGACCGCAGACTAGAACTCAGACAAGTTCTTTTTCGAATATGGACTCATCGGCTCCCGTTTTTGACGCCTTGAATCCACATTATAGCTTCCTCTGCACGTCGCTCTAATCGCTCACTCCAAGACGATCCATAAACGTATTCAGCTGCGCGACCGTCTCGTCTGTATCCCTTCGTCAGTCCCAATCCCTCACAACCTGCACATCTTTCAATGAACTTACCTGGCGCCTCCTCAATAATAAAATGTCCCTTCTTATCGCCCACGCTTTTCACAGTAAGGTTCGCACTCGGATCGGTGTAGTTGCTCCAGACTTGTTGCACGTCGAACTGCGCGCCGAGGTTGTATTCGCTGTAGAGGATGTGTGTGGGGAGTTTGACTTTGATGCCGGCGTTCTGGTCGGCGACTTGTTCGTCGTAGTCGGTGAAGGCGCCTGGGGAAGATAAAGAAGTTAGCATATTTTTTTGAGCGAGAGCGGTGTTGGGAGTCTGTTTACCTGCTTGGTAGTCGAAGACGGATGCGTTGGTTACGGAGAGTTGGTTGAAGAAGTTGATGTAGATTTCCCAGGCTGTCGGCTGCGGTCAGGATCGCTGTCTTTCGTTCAGGGTATATCCACGTACCTTGTCCTCTCTTGAAGATTTCAATGCCTTGTGTATTTTCTCCTTGGCCGTATTCGAGAATCTGTCGTACCCAGTTGCCGCCTCCGTAGGTCATGATTACATCTGTTGCAAATTCTCCTGCGGGTGTGTTAACATGCTTGGAGTTGATACGTGTCTTTGGGAAGTACATGCCTTTGGGCAAAAACGCCCAGTGGAAATATCCTTGGGCGTAGACTGGGTTCGAGAAGGACGCATACTCGGCGATGAAAGGAACGATGTCTGCTGCGAAGAAACCCAGACCGGTGATCCCTGGAAAGTTGTTGTCGACCGCCGCGCGGTGCTATATGAGACCATGTCAGTGTTGAGTGCGAGCAAGGAGTTCCAAACGCACCATAGTCCGCGCTCCACGGTCGTGTCCTGCGTATATGACATTGACGTTCCCGTATACTTTGTTGACGGCCTGCAGAATGGATTGAGCGTATGTGCGTTTGTCGTACGCGCAGCCTGTCGAGTTGCAACAGGCCGTGCTGAGCCCATAGCCGGGCTGATCAGCAACGAATACAGGCACACGCGTGGACACGATTGGAGTGACATCGCGCCAGATGTAGCTGCTCTCTGGATAGCCGTGGGTCAAGATCAGAATCGGCCTGCTCGCAGTCCCAGTGAGGTTGCCCCAGACGGATGGGTTGGTGTAGTGCACGCTCAGATTCGCACCGCAGTCGGTCTGGACGAAGCCATGGGTGAGCCGGGTGTCGTTTCCATTGTAGCCGAGAAGTCGGTAGTCGGCGAGAGTGATGTTGAAAGCTGCGTTTGATGTCGGTTGTGACACGTTGCCGTTAACGAGTTCGTAGGCATCGGTTAGGGAGACAGCAGCAAGCAACGCTGCCAACACGCGGGTGCGATACATGGTCATCAAAGAGTACGCTGGTCGGCCATCGTCAAGTCAACGTCAAGCGGCATGGAGGAAATATAAACGCAGCCTGCCCGCAGCCACGCTAGCTCAGACCATCATCCAGCTACTGCAGAGCTTGACTCAGCGAGACAGATAAGTCAGCCGGAAGCCTTTACTCAGCACCAGGCGCGAAGCCCGAATCGTGAGTGCAAGCCGGCGACCATTCCCGACCGGGGCGACTCGGGCGGTGACGACTACGAGCGGCCCGAGATATTTCCTGTTCCTCTGGCACTATCAACCGTCCACCCCAACTCAATTACTACTCCAAATGCCGCCGCGAAGTGTCGAGCGACCCATCACCACATGTCGTGGCTGCAGGTACCGCGACGACGTCATGGCTTCTAGGGCCCGAAGATCTGATGAGGAGACAGGCGGTTGAAGGCGAGATGTGATCGAGCGAGGCCCCGGTGCCAGAGGTGTCAGGACTCAGGCATCGCAGTGAGTAAGCGAAAGCGTACCGCAGGGTGAATGAAAGTGCTGACTGGCGAGACATAGTGCGTATATGAAGATCAGACACGCCCGGCGTTCCAGTTTGTCGGTGAGTCTTTGAAGTAGGAGATGTTGTCCAGAGACATCATTAACCGATCATCCAGATGAAAGTCCGATCACGCCTGAACGTACTCCTCAAGATGCACAGCATGAACCTCCAACCGGAGAGGCTCCAGCCTTCATCGCCGTCTCCTCAGACCGCCTTGCAGCTATCGAAGCTCGTGTCCACGGACTGAGCCAAACTGCCAGAGAGCTGAACGCCAGCAGGAGTGTAGCAGTATCAACACCGGGAGCTTCTAGGGCTGACTTTGGTGACGTCCAGCCTTCGAAGTCTTCCGAAGGCCATCTCTCTCCACAGCCTGGAGGTGGTGTGCGTTATGTTGAGCGAACATTTTGGATGTCCTTTTGTAGCGACATTGCCGAGCTCGATGGTCTTCTCGCCAGTCAAGCACGCTATTCTGCCGTGCCCGAGGAAGATGACGAAGATGAGGATGATGAGGACGATGAAGATGATGCGAATGATACCGACGACCTCGAGCGTGAAGGACCAGAAGACACGACTAGACCGATATCACCATGGAAGGATTCGTTACCATCAAGATCAGGAGGACCATATTCCAGCGTAATGAGCTACATTGCTGCGCCGCCGCCCGCCTGGTCTTTCAAGCAGCAAGCCACTACACGAGCAGTACCCCTCAACAACGACTTCTACCGGCGGCTTCCTCCGAAAGCAGTGTGCGATGCTCTCTGGACCGCCTATTTTGAAGGATATCACCCAATCGCACCCCTTGTCCACATGCCGAGCATCACTGAGAAGTATAACCAGTTCTGGAGGACGGCAGGCAGCGACGAGAGTAGGAGCGAAAGGTCCATGCCCTTCGTCTCTTTGATGATGGCGATCCTGTACGCTGGATCAGTCGCCTGTCCGCAAATAGTAGCCGGCCTCGAAGATGATACTGGACCGGAAGGATTCTCTACTAATCTACATCAACTAGCTATGAAAGCTGTGCGGTTGTCCAACTTTCCAAGAACGCCCAACCTAGAGTCCTTCACAGCATACATCATCTGCCAGGCGACGTGGATGAGGGAGGAAGAACCACTCGTTTGCGTCGCTTTTGTCGGGCTGGCTCTTCGGGTGGCTCATATGCTTGGACTGCACAAAGATCCCTCCAACTTCCCTTCAATCGAGCCCACTGAAGCAGAGACAAGACGGCGAGTCTGGTGGCACCTCGTCCACATTGACGTGAGTTTAGCGATTGCTGCCGGATTGCCGCCTTTGGTGGACTTGGACGCTTCAGACGTGAGTGGCATCTCTGAACTGCGAGACGAGCTGATTGGGAGCCCCGAGGGTGCGAAGTACGAACTGGGCATACAGCGAGACACAAGTGGCGGGGCAGCAATGGAGGACCCAATGATCTCCTCGTCTGCCAGAGCTCCAATTTCAACTATAGGCATTCTGGTCGCTGGTAAGCTCAGGTACTCTGGTAAGTCGCCATTAGTCAATTAACCCAATCGAGAGCTGAGAACGGTCCAGTTACCGTCCGCAACATCATCATTCGACTCTACAAAGAAGGTCCGCGTTCCGTTCAAGATGTCGAGGCTATCCAAGTAGCGATACGCTCCCTCAACGACGACCTCACTGATCGCGTTGCAAGGATACCGAAGCCAGCTCCCTATCACGACAGCAACGCTCCGGCTGATCTCTTCTATGACAACAACCCCGCCTTGAACGACTGGGCCACATTGCTGCTCTCAGCCTTTTCAGATCAAATCTACTGCCTCCTTTGCCACCCAATCCTCGAACCGCCATTCACATTGATATGGCCAGATCTGTACCCACTGTCAGATACCCGCACTTTCATTCGGAATGCCACTGACACATCACACAGAGCTATCCAAAAGACCCAATCCTTCCTCACCAAAAGCGCCCAGCTAGCATGCATCTCCACCTTCTCCAAGTTCCAATGGAGCCGACCAGGGTAGGCGATCCCCATTTCCTCGTGACCCAACATATCTCTGACGATCCTCCCAGGAATCACCAGCCCCTCCACGCCATCACCGTCCTCCTCGTCGACCTCCTCCGCAACCCACACAGTCCCCTCTCGCCTTCCTCCCGCCGCATCGTCGACGTAACCTTCGCCCTCTGCGGCCCCTCCGGCGGTGTCGTCGCCAGCTCCACTTCTCGAACCGCGACCGTCGCCCGACCCCTCACCGAAGGCGGGCGCGAAGCCTGGGAGGCCCTTTCTCGACTAAGAAGGAAGGCTTGGGGGAGGTGCGGTTGGGACGCGGATGAGGTGTGGACAAGAGAGAGGGCGATTGAATACTGCGAGAGTCTAGAGCGGGGAGGTGAGACTGAGGTGGTGGGTTTGGGGAGTGAGGTGCGAGGATTTGAGGGAGTTGATATGGATTTGGATTGGGCGGATTTGGATGCAATGTTGCAGTATTAGGTTTGTGATGCATCCATTCCTACAATTGAGCATCGTCTTCCCAAGAAATTCCAGATCATCATATCCGACTTCACCCCTGCAATCGAACAACCCCAATCCTACACCGGCCTCGCCCTATCCGCCCTCAAATCCTCAAACCCCGTCTCAACCTCCTCCCCCGCCACCAACCTCACAAACCTCGCCGTCTCCCGCGGAAACCTCAAAAATGGACTATGACCACTCCTACTCACCTGCGTATACAGAATCTCAATCCCCTTCTCCCTGAAACCCTGAATCGTCCCAATCTGCCTCTCCCACGGGAGCGCATTGTCCTCACTACACAGCAGATAGCTCAGCGGGATACCCTTCATGGCGGCCACCTGGTCCGGGATGGGCGAGGTCGTGCAGGCGTAGGATTGTGGCCGGAGGAGGTGGATGGCTTTGGCGGCTTCGTTGTGATCGAGGTCGTTGTACAGGATGTGCACGGCGCCGGGGCCCGCGAAGGGGAGGGTGGATTCGCCGTCGTCGGAGATGAGGTATTGCGGGGCGAGTTTGCCGCCCATCATTTCGACCATGGAGATGCCGACGGGGCAGATGAAGCCGGAGATTATGATGAGGGAGACGACGCTCGTGGCGAGGGAGGCGGCGCTGCGGGCGGGTGGGGAGAGGTCTGTCAGGGCGGCGCTGCCGACGATGGAGCTATAGGAGTGGGTAACGAGGAGGACGTTGTTCGTTTCGAGCTGTTCCAGAATTGCTGCTCGCACGGCGTCGACGTCGTCTTGCATGTTTGCGAGGCGGTTGTCGATGTATTCCGTGCTGTTGCCCGGGAGGTCGACGCCGATGACGGTGTAGCCGGCGGTCTCGAGTTCTTTAGTCACGTGGGAGAAGTGTGCTGGGACGTGCTGAGGTTTTGTGAGATGGTGGCGAAGATATTGATGGCTTTGTCAGTACTTACCCAAGTCCCGGGCACGGCGACAATGGTAGGTTTCGCCATCTCAGCCTCGTTAAGTGGCGGGAGACGACAGATGTGGTCTTAAAAAAACATGCAAGCTCAACCACAGCAGCCGACTCTCTATATAATACTCCCTCTCACCTCATCAGCCCTCCCTCGACTAACACTACGCTCCTCCCGCCACAGCAGCTTCCATTTCTGCACATGAAATCGGAGACTCGGAGCTGAGCTGCCCTACACAAGCTAGCAAATGTTGAAACTGGAAAGGATCGAGCTGAGCATGTCCTCGTAGCCGATAGTTAGCCGATGGAATGATGTGCCTTTATTGGACGTTGGTCTCCTTGGAAGCGAGCGAGATCTCGCAGCGCTCGGACAGGGGTTCTGAAGGAGTCAGCTATGCGATCCTCCGCGTGGTTCTATTGCGTACAGAGTGGGGGCAAATATACACGGCTGACGGCGTCCTAACTCCCCGAATACAACTTTGCAAGGCTCGGCCACGTGGGCTTCGTGTCTTGCATGAGACTTGGTTTTATTTATATGCTGCATCCTTCTCATGGGATCAAACACCAATGCTACAGATCGTTTCCCTCTGGAAAGCGTACAAGACACATGGCGGATGACCTTCATTAACGTTCTGTGAAATCGATCATGGTCAATCCAGTCTTTGCTAGTCTAGCCACCTCCTGCTTTCCACATTGCAGATTCGGGGTGGTCCGTGGTTTGAAAGAGCAGACTGAACACTGATTAAGGCTATCTCTACGACCCCTTATTCTACTGCCCTTCCGTCCACAGTCTCGTCGTCGTTCAAAGCTAATGTTGATTGGACTGTACAATGTTCTTCATTGGCGAGGTCAAGAACAATCTGGGCACACAGCTGTCACCTAATCAGGTGTTTACTGAGTTTGAGGTGGGACTGCCGCTGCGACCCTGTACTCAGACGGAGCCGGTGCGTTGGACGGAGAAGATTGGGTGTTTTGCTGAGCCGTTGACTGAGGGACGAGAGTGGGTCGTGGAAGAATGGGGCAGACAAATAAGTTGCCTCTTGACTTTCCACACTGATCATAACAATTTCAACTTCACAGCCCCAACCTCATCCGTCTCCAACCTCGCAAGCATCAACCCCGCCGCCTTCTCCATCGTCACTCTCCTCAACATCCTCCCATCCGCTTGCCCATCAGGCAGTCCATGAAACAGAGTCGCCAGACTGGAAGACTTCCATACCAGTTTGTCCTTGCCTGATGACAACCACATCGTCGCCCCGAGCAGCGCGGCGGCGAGAAGGGTCATGGTGATGGAGTAGATGAGCCAAGGCCAAACGACGTGAACATAGACGACTGTCTGAGTAACTGTACCTGTGATATTCGTCGATGCATAGCTAGACCGCATTTGGTTCGTCACGCTGGTCGCAATGTTATCGAACGTATCCAGAATACTCCCGTTACTGGCGTAGTATATCGCCACGCCCTTGAGGTATTCATTGTTCCCCTGTACAGGGCCCGTCTGAAAGAATTCCTGGAAATACTCTGTCGGCAGCATCTCCTGGAAGACATCAAGGTTCGTGACATCTGAGTCGTTGTGGTAGACGACGTTGACCAGCATCGAATTGAGAAGATTTCGAAAGATCTCGGAGAAGTCGCCGTCGATTTGGTAGGTGTTATCGGTGGCGTTGAGGAGCATGATTTCGTAGGACGTGAGGTTGGAAGTATCTGGTTGGATTGCGCCGTAGGCTCCGCCGTCCGAAACAAGCGGTGCGCTGAAGTCGGGGGCATCGTGAAGGGAACCATTGTAAAACGCTGTACTGCCGTAGTATCTGGCGCACCAGGTCAGTCGGCTGCGTAAAGTCTCTGGCATGATACTTTGCGGTGCGTTGGGATCGTCGCTTGTGTATGAGTCTTGGAAGTATAGAATGTCGAACATTGGATCCCGCGTGTCCAATGATTGATCTTGCGAGATATTCATTTGCGTGGATGAGCGGTAGATGCCGTCGCCTTTGGTGGCCCATAGAGTCCAGCCTATCAGTAGACCCGGTTGATCGAAGATAGAGTAATTTGGGTCTACTTGCGGATTGCCGTAGCTGCCATCCACGGCGGTGTAATTGCACAGGTGATATGTCGAGTTCTTGCTGACATCGGAGCCTTTGTTCTCGCACGTTACGTTGACGACCGAGCTGATGTTCTGGTACTCATTGCACAGACCCAACGAAGAGAAGCCTGGCCAGGTGCATGACCCCGACGGGCAAGTAAACATCGCATCTGGTGCCTTTCGAATGATCGCCGAGTCTATCGCCGCCGTGAGCTGCTGTACCTCGTTCGCTTTCAACACTGTATTGTGTATCAGATACTTGGTCCAAACTCGGTCATCTGTGACAACACATACCTATTCCGTTGGCGCTGCCTGCAAATGCAGAGGGGTCGAAAGCTTGGGTTGCGCCTATAAGTGCTGTGACATTTGTCGTCGGAGCTTGTTTCGTGGGATACCGAATGACCTGTTGTGTGAAAGGCTCGAGTGCGAGCGCGAGTACAGTGAGTATAGCACCCATTGATGCAACCGCACTCTGCCGACTGTCAGTCGTCCATTCGCCACGCCTGCGAAACAGTCGATTCTTACGTGTCGATTGACCTTCCAAAGCAACTTCAAAGATCCCAATGGGCCTCGACTTGCATCATCGAATACTTGCAAATCTGAAAGTCGCTGTATGCGGGCCTGAAAGTACAGCCATTTCAGCTGCGACAAGACCTCTGCAACAGGCAGTAGCAAGCTGGCTTTAGTAAAGGTCGCGATGATGGATATCACGGTGTTGGGTGTGATGTTGGCTTTTGCAATCTTCCAGCTCTTGTACTCCTGGTTGTCGAGTGCCACCAGGAAAGCTATATTTGCGCCCAAGCAGGCGAGGCTGACCATGATTGATAGCATTTCCATCCACCACAGCTTGAACGGGTTCTTCTCGGCTGCATCTCGCCATTGCTGCTTCGGTTCGTATTGCTCGAGGGAGGGCTCGTAGGCGGTGCTGTCGCTTAGAACGATCCGTGACCGAGGTATGGAACGGTCATGATCAACATAGTTCTGCGTTGCAGATGGAGATAGCAACGAGCTTGAAGGCGATTGAGCATGTTGACGATCAGCCATGTTCGAAAGGCAGACCGCATCCGCCAGCGAATGTGTACAACAACGGAGGACAGAAAGGCTTTCGAAGAACATGAACTAAGGTTGAGGTACTTTGAACATCGATCTACCTTCAGATCTTGCCCAAATGATGTGCCGCTGTGCAATGTCTTGGCCTCGAGGCTTGCATGTTGCACGACGCCACTTCATTGGCATTGGGCCTAGATGCTGTTGACCTAAACTCTTTCGGGAGCGCTTCAGGTGGCATTGTATTTCGACATCTCGGTCATTATTAGGCCTAAGAAGACGTGCTAAGTTCGAATATATTGAGGAAGAGACAAGTCTCTCATGAATGACTTTCTGAGTCGTGGGGCTGTCATGTCGTGGTGCACCTGGAAAGGAAAGCGCACAGCCTTACTGTCACACTTAATTTTAGCGACGGCGCTTGATATAGGTACTGAAGGACGAAGCCAGCCAAGACGGCAGGGTCAAGAGTTATTGCATTTCACCACCACTGCTATCTGCGCAGTTCCGTGTTGTCCTCCACGACACCAACTTTTTCACAACACTCAACATGTCCACAACCTCCATCATCAGCACAATCGCGCAAACAGAAGTCTTCACAATCGCAGGCGACACCAGCAGCGAAGATTGGGACACATACGTCGTCACATACACGAATCTCGGCCCTCTCACAACGACTTTCACGCCTCCAAGCTCCAATTGTTACTCTTGGCAACCAGCAAACATACGGCTTTGGTCCAACAGTTCCATCGTCAGTCTGCCTTGCAGCGTCTACAACGGCAACTTGACCTCCTCGTCGCTTAGCTGTGAGCCCTCCGGACTATCCTGGTCATCTCTCTTGTTTGCGAAGTCTTCGGAGATCAGTTCTGATACTGCTGTCTGGGCTTCGCTTTTGTCGCCGGGTTTGTACTGTCCGCATGGTTATACGACTGGGACTTCGGCTGCGCTGGCCCAGTCTGATTTGGAGACGATCTCTTCGTATACGCTGAGGGTTCCTGGGACTCATGTTCAGTGCTGCTTGAGGTATGCTTTTAAAGTCACGAAGAATCAGAACATGGTCTGACGTTTTGCAGAGGATATACTTGGGATCAAAGTCTTGACGCGTGCGCATCAACGATCACCACCGCTACATCGACCGATCTATGCGATTATTACTGCACCAACCCTTGCGTCAATTATCGGCCCTCCAGCTATGCGAATGGATCGATGAGCTGTGCGCTGACCAGTACGTGTGGGAAACCTCAACCGTTTACCTGGAGTCCACAGGACACAGGTCAGATACCCGTCGTCTATCGAAATGCCGTGTACATGATCCACCACAAGCACGATTTCCCGGGGCACGGTAATCTATCAACTCCGGCCACGATTGCGATCAGCGTCGTCATCCCGGTGGTGGTTATCGCCGCCCTTATTGGCATGTGCTTCTTCATAATGAAGAAACTGCGGCAAACAAAAACCATGAGCTTTAGCAAGGGCTCGTATGCGGACGTGCGGATGCAGAGTTTGAATGGCGCAACTTCGCAACTGGCAGAGGATCCGATATCTCTGATTCCGAAGCATGAAATGCCGAAGCGGAGGTGGCATTGGGTGTAGAAGGACGTCAATGAGCGCTGTCTTTTGTCAAATCCAGGAACATGGACTCGTAGATCCAGTCCCGAGCTATCCTGTGGCAACTAGAGCAACCCGGTGTATTCCATTGGGTGATCGATCCCTCCGATACGTTCAAGGAGAACTTGGATCATCCGACCGAGTATGGGGCGCCCGAACAGTTCATGTCTTAGTTATCCGCAAGGTGAGCCGTGTCTTTGGGCGGATTTTCTTCATCCCGGCATTGCTATTCAGAATTCAGGAGAGCACTTGTTCGAGCCGGTTATGAAATGGTCGGGATTCTAAATACGCATGTATACTGCTTTTGTGATGAAAATTTCGGGACTACGGACGTCACCAGGGGCTACAGACGTCGTCTTGAGAGCTGGTTTGTGAAGAGTTGCGTGCTCGATAATCGCTGGGCATGTGGCAGATGTACAATTGTTGCAGCTATATGAGCCCCTAAATTTTAAATTGATATTATTTCAAATCGTGCAGAGCATACGAGACACATGTCACCAAGTTCCACCGATATCCATGTAGCCACTCTTGCTTGTGCAGGTTGTGCAGCCGCCCGTCACTCAACAGCGTCTTCCTCCCCGACCAGTCTAGCACTGCGTTCTTTCCACTCCGCACCCGGTCAAACATATACCATAGCTTCCGAAGCTGCCGTGCTCTGCAAAGGAAATGCGCACCTCGCCTAATTGCAGCGAACGACAGTCTTCCAGGATGGTCGCAACTGTGTAGGATATCCGGCAGTCTCAGTTGCAGCTCGAGGCTTGTCGGACTCTTACGGCCCACGAACTCTCCGAAGATGTGATGTCGGACTAAGAAGAGCCGCTCCACTGGCGGCTCGATCTCAGAGTCCGGTGTGAAGTGTCAATCACATGCAGGCTTGGCTGACAGTTTGGTGACTACAGCGTAAGCGTTCATAGAATTCTCTTGCACAATCTTTCTCCATCCACAACGACCAGGTAAAGACTGCAACTCAAGTCAGCCGTGGATCGATTGACAAGGTGAAATGGATCAACGTACTTTCCAAGCGTCTAGTCCGATGGGGCGGCCCGTGATGCGAGACTGTAACCCTCTCCACTGAACGCAGACGTATCCTTGGCTGTTCCCGCATCGTTGACAACAACGTGCCCGCTCTCGGCTGGAGGCTGGGCGTAACCTTCTGGATCTGGAATAGGAATATTGGAGAAGGACTTGATGGCGTCTCGCACAGCATCCTTATCCACATATCCCCCAAGTTGTCTGGTCCTCCAGCCGAGCCCACGATTCTTGCCGTGTATTGGTTTATTGTTAATGGAGACCATGAGCTGAATCGCATCGCCCGTGGCATAGTTGTCAATGGTGGCCACCTCCTCCCGAAGATGCTCCTGCGCTTTCGCACAAATTGCCATGCTTTCTCGCATCGCATTGAGCTCGTCGCGTAATCTTGAAAAGGAGGCACGATCGTTGTCGGAAAGATCAGCTGCTTGGGCTGTGTCTATCAATCGATCGAACAGCTCGCTTTCGCAGCCCGCAATCTTTTCGGCAGTCCGAGCCAAGCTCTCTGCGCATTCTTGCAGACCGTCGCTGTAGATTTTCTCGGGCGCAGTAGCCGTGGTTGTCTCATCCGTTGGCATGGAGCGTTGGGCTCTACGTTGGAGTTGTGCAATGTGGCTGGATAGGTCGGCACAAATCTGCAGGCATTTCTCGGCGCTTAGGCGTTCACCTTGGATGAGTCTAACCTCCTGAGCATCGGCCCCAGAGAGTGTGGCGTTGCTTCCCAGGAGATGGTCCAGTTTCTCGTCCATGCCCTGGAGCCGCTCCCGAAGGTCTTCCTGCGTGGTCTGAATCAGGTCGTGATAAGTTTCCACGCTTTCTGCGGTCTCAGCAGAAGCTTGACTACATAGGGACACCGTGGTCAGCATTGCCATGATCGTGTTCTCCAACGGCGACCAGAACGTACAGATTTGCATCATTGAGAGCGATGGTCATGGTGAGTTTGTAGCTTGAGATCAGACGCCGGAAGCCGTCAATGTCCTCGCCCATGTATCTCAGTTTCGCCCAGTCCCGGAAGCTCGTCCGCGTTGCGGTGGAATGGGCTGAGCACTTGGCCAGTTCGTTGCGGAAGTCAGCGCAGACATTGGTGCACTGTTGCAGAGGTACCTCAAGGCCCGAGATGTGCACCTTGGTCTCCTTGATGTGCTCGCCGAGGGCTCTGAGGACTTCGCAAAGAGCGCTGATTTCCAGTCCGAGATCCCTCACCCGTGAATTGTGGCTTTGGAAGCTCTTGACCGCCTGGTACAAGGACACGGAAGACTCAAAGGCAGTCTGAGCCAATGCCACAATCGCGGCGACGGCGCCGATGGTTTCGGCCATGGCTGGCTGGTTTGAGGAGCGTGAAAGAAAAGATTGGGTACGATTTCACCCCAGCGCATTCTTCGCGCGGAACGTCAAAGTTAAGTACTCTACACCTGCCTGGCTGTCAGCGATCCGCCAGGCAAATCGCGGCCTGCAAAGCTCGACGACCCCCCGTACGGAGCCGCGAGGTGGAGGCTCTTGACTGCGATACCTGATAGGCGGAGATAAAGCCGGCGCTCATGCTGCCATGGTGTCATTGGCCTCTGCAGCCGCCAGCAATTGGGCGTCAACAACAACTGGGCGTCAACCAACAACAACCTCCGAAACAAATGAGCTACCCTCCTATAGAGAGGCAGGCACTGCCGCGCGCCAACAGGCATTGTCGTAGCCTCGATGCATCCGCTTCTCTGCAGTCGTGAGTCGGCATGAGAACGAATGGCATGGGTGCCTGGTACCGCCTCGATCGCGGGTTGGACGTATGCGGCCGCCCGCCGCCTGTTGGGTGCCGGATTCCAGCGTCTGCAGCACCTCGTCAGCTCGAGGGGATGATCTTGATACTCTTACCTGCTCGTTGTGCTGCTTGACCTCACTCCAGGCCCCTGGCCGTCCTCTTCTGCTCTTATATTGCTACGAACCGGGATCATCTGAGTCGCCATGGCGGATCCATTGTCCGCGACCTCTGCTATCGTGGGCCTGGTCCCCATCAGCTTCCAGGCCGCCAAGGCTCTTCGCGACATGATACGGGGCATCAAAAACCATCCAAAGCAGATTCGTAGTCTACTTGAGGAATTGGACGGTCTGGTTGGCGTCCTCGAAGAACTCGAGTACATCTTGCGTACCCCGGGCGAGATGAATCTCAATCTTCTGGAAGCCCCCCTCAAACGATGTGACTGTGCTTGCAAAGAGTTCGCGCGAGCTCTACAGGATTGCAGAGGTCGTAGCAGTGGGGGTGACCGATCCGATTTTGCAGGGTGGCTCAAAATCCAGTGGAGAGGAAGCGATATCAACGAATTCAAGGATACCCTCGCCAGCTACAAGTCCACCATAGCCATCGCTATCGCTGGTGCTAATCTGTGAGTCTGCATCGCTCGAAGTAGACCACCTGCTGATCGGTGCCGAAAGACGCACCACCAAAGTAAATCTTGACGTTATCCGTGAATATCAGGGAATGATTCGCGAAGCCAAAGCGGATCTCAACGAGCATCTCACCAACATCGATGACAAATTACAAGGCGCTTCCCGGGAATCTCCTGATCTGAAGGCACTCGGCAACGACTCAGACATTCAGGCGGAGAGAGACTGTACAATGCGTTGCCTCGAAGTTTGCGCTCAGGTTTCTGGATTCATCGAGGAGAGGCAGCGATCTATTGGTTCCCAGGGAGCGACAAGTGAAGACAACCTCAGCTCCAACACCAACAGTCGGCCGTCTCAACGGGACACTGGCCAAACGCTGCGGAATTGCAACACTAAGGTCAAAGCTCAGCACACGCAGCTCTTGAATCGCCTTCAGCTTCTCAACGCAAGACTGCGCAGCGCCTCTGGAAGTACCATTGATTCGGAAGATCAGGACCAGATGGTTCAAGAGGCGGAGACCATCCGTCAATGTCTGGACATCTGCGAGCAGAGTGCTAAAGACGCAGAGACTGCTCGCGTTAACGTTATTGAGGACGTCACAGGTGCAGAGGACAGCACCCATATCATCGTCTCCACCATCGGAGACCTGATCGCAGCACGCCGGGTTACATCTGGTGCACGCTCCATAATGACTATTGCACAGATGTCAGACGAGACCGTCCAGCACTTATCCACCGTGCATGCTTCACGAATGGCGGAACTGTCCAAATCGCAGGCTGATGCCGGAGCGGGTCGTGATGCGGTTAGATCGGGAGGGCGAGTGCTCGGGCGAGACAACGTGAAGACGCTTTGACTTTTGGGAATCCCATTTACGAGAATGACTTTAGTATGTGTTCCATACTATCATATATCGACTGCCTTGTAAAAGTGGGACGGCGGAACTAAACCAAAGTTCCTCAAGCAACTTAACTGAACAAGTCGAGTGATGCGTTTGATAGCCAGCCGCTTCCTTCTCGTTCATCGTTTACGTTGATGGTTGGGTGAGCTCATTGTCAGTTGATGGGTTACTGCATCGTGCTCGAACTTCGCCGATCCTTAGTAAGGTCAACAAATCGATATTCTGTGACCCGTCTCAACCCAGGGAGCAGCGACTTTTCTCTGTGTAGAAGTTGCTGACCATCTGTGAACGTTGCCTTTATTTCGCCGGCTATACTCTAGGGCGATAATTGAAGGTCTGATCTACCAAACACTATCAAAGCTAGGAAAAGACGCCCCATATCGTAGCATGATAGACTCGAGATCGATGCGCAAATGACTACACACATATGACTAAGGTCACAGGCCTACCGTGACAAGTCGTACCGCAAAGCGGAACTTCAACTTTTCGACTGTGTCTGCGTTTTCGAAAGAGATTTCTCACTGAGATTTCCGAAAGGACATAGATTGTTCTAGCCGGTAAGAGACCCGAGGGTCTAGCAGTTACGTCTGGTGTCCCTCCTCATGCCAAATATATCTTCTCAAGTTTACTAGCCCCTTGCCAGATCTCACCATACATTACTCCGTGAACGTAGCATGGACCGACGATACAGTAATGTTGTCCACTGCGTCGAAGAACCATGGGGACCTCGCATCCTTCCAGTATGGCTAGTCGATCCCCAACACCTGAGTCTTCGGGTACATAGCATATGCGTCCTTTCGTTGTGCGGCTCAAACGCCCAGACACCTGTTGTTGTGGAACCAACATGTTTGCAAGATCGGTTGCGTGCTGCCCATAAGACCTCACCTTCGCCGGGGGTGTGCCATTGCGATGCAATTTGCCGGCGACTAGATGCAGGCTCTTCAAACTCTGCTCGACCACCTTGAACAACTCTTCATCTATTATGCATTGCGAAGCCATTTCCACTTGTCCCACCGGCGACAGGATGCATTCAAGCATATCGGCTACAAGGTAGCGTAATCCATGCAACAGCTTCTTCGGGTCTGCTTTCTCGTTCTGTTGCCAGCCGTCGCAGACTGCGACGCGCAGCGAAGTCGTGACCTCTGACTCGCCAGAGATGGTCTTTTTGCAAGTCTCCAGAATTTCCAGTATCTCAGCCATGTACTCCACCCAAGCCCCGTACATTAGCCCGCCGTTGGTGGGTAGTCTTACAGGCTGCCCACGAACCTTGCCCAAGCTCTCTATGCTGTCAAAGGTATCGCCATCGACTACAAGGAGATCTAGGTCATCCCCCTCAAGGCTCGGAGTCGAACGAGATCGTCCTGATGCCGAAAAAATGTTGCTGAAACAAAAGCCTTTTTCTTTGTTGTAAGCAAGCCTATGTCGTAGTCGGTGACCCAGCCGTGGGACCCAGGACGGCAAGTCACTACCGTCACTTGGAAAGGAGGCAGTATAAAGCAGCGAAGTACCGCGTCCTTCCCTGACCTCGTATCTCGCCAAGTCTATGGAGACGGCAGAAATTGAACGCCTGTAGTTCGGCTCGAGGCTTTTCTCGTTAGCCTCCTGGGAGATGCCGACGAGAGCAAATAAGTAATCTCGTGAGTCCCGAGCTGCAGCCGTGTTGAACATGACCATCAGGTCGAAAATCGGCAATGGTCTGAGAAGGACATCAGTTATGCTTCCTAGTCCTGTAACGCCTGTCGTAACGGTTTGGCAACTCGCGAGCGCCGTGCAATGTTGCACAGCATGCCTTACTTTGGTTGATCCCGTAATTCCCCCAATCATAGATAAGAAATCGGGGGCCTTCGATAGATAGGCAATGGCAACGAAGAAGGCCTGTTGATCAATCTGCATGTCGCCGCAAATGAAGCGTCCGCGTCTTGCAATGACGCTCTCCTGAATCGTCCAAACGCGGTTAAACCATGGATGTCTTAACATTTTCAGAAGATAGTTCCAGGCATGATCGTTATAGTTGAGTGGGTGTGTCTCTTGAATTGCCGTGTAAAAGTCCGTCCCGCATGCGAATGGTTGTCTCAAAACGGCCATTAAAATGCGTTCTAGCCCTTGACTTTCATATGCTCGCCACACCCCCAGGTAAAACATAACCTTGTCGGCTGATCGGTATATTCTCGTCATTAGCCCAACCTGGGCAGATCGTTCATCACGATCTTGCTGGTTGATGCAGATGGCATCCGCCCAAACGATTGAGACGCCTTTTGCTCGAAGCCTCTTCAAAGCGTTGTACAGGTTTGGACGGACGTGAAAGACAGTTTCGCCGATCAGGATATGTTTTTGTGCCGCCTGAGTACCCCAGACGTACGACAAAGCGACGTACTGTGGGACTGAGTCGAGCGATACTTCCACAAGTTGGGTCCGTAGCTGGGCTTGTTTATGTCCAGGTTCTAGATAGATGAGACGGATATTGGACGGTTCGGAGATCGGTGTGTAGCTGAACTCTGTGGACATGGTGGAACAAAATATAGATATCGACCTAGGCATGGAGTAGAGCTAGCTGATTGACAAGACCTGAGAAGGAAATGCGCTCATACCACACTTTATGGTAGGTATTGTCTGCCTGGCATTGGACGAGGCGTTGCTGCTGCGCCTCAGGTGTTTCGACATTCCACTGTAGTCGTCTGCTGGAAAGGAGACCTGTACATTATCCCGGCATCATGCGTTGGATTTGCCTATTGGCCAACGATGCCTTAGGTAAACTCCGGCGTGCTTCAAAGTATCTGTGCTATGGCGCATGCGCCAGCGGAGAGGCCAATGGAAGCCACTCATTCATGTGGCCGTGAGAGAAATATGTGTCTCGAACGGGGGGAAGGCTGTCGCCGACACCACCGCCCAATAGCATTCACGGTGGAGTGTCGAGGGGAAGCATCCGTCCGGCATGGTCGCAGACAATGTCTCGCCGGGCGATGCCATCGAATCGTGATTCTCGGACCAGCCAGAGTGATTCATGCTTACTTGGAGGCAAGGCCTGATCCAATGATATCTTTTCCCTTTTCGACCGCTGGTGCTAAAGGCTGGCACATTGGAGCCGCCCGCCTCCGGAGGCACAAACTGCAGAGCTCACGACACGCTGCAGGCTGCGTCGTCGGGCGATACGCTGGGCAGTGCCGCCCTTTCTGGCGGAGGTCTCGCCGTCGAAGACAGCCTCCAGAGCATCGTGTCGATGAATAGAGGGCGGATCGCCGCACCAAACATCACCGTCACTCCGCTCAAGGCAGTGCACGGGCAAGCTCCTCGAGACAGATCTGCTTCCCCTCCGATCTATCTGGCACCCAATCAGCTCGCAGCGCCTAGCGCCGTCTTCACCGGAGGCTTCAGCACCGCCCCATCCCACGTCGCCCTTCCCTTTTCCTCTCAACTGCAGCGCTTTCGTCTTGACGATGTGGTTCCTCACACAACTTACTCATTGGGTTCCCTTTTCCACAACACTCATCGATTGTTTCCACCAGACTATCTCTCGAATCGCGACGGTCATGTCAGACAGCACAGCGGGCCACGCCAAAGGGAAGGGCGTGAACCTTCAGGACGTGAGCACGGCTGAGGATTCGAGATTGTTCATGGTCTCTCCAACGGGAGATCCGGTCTTTGCGCGGAAGGTCGCTACGGCGGCACGGTCTAATCTCTGCGCTGGTCAAGTGTCGGACGAGACAACGCAGAAGCTCTCTCAAGATTCGGCCCAGATCGCAACGACGTTTGGTACGTCAAGTCGTGCTCCTCTTCCAACCACCTTCGTGGACCGCAATGGCAAAGGACGAGTTGTGGGCCTCAACGACTCGAACAACCAGAGCAGCAAGCAGACGCAGTAGTCACGATCCACCTGTCGTCGGGTGTGGGGCTTCACCGGGCGGAGGCTAAACCTTTGAACAAGATCACCAGAAATGAATGCTTCTTCGCTTGCCGTTCGACGCATCCACATGTCTCCCAAAGCCTCTGGGCATAGACAAGGCTACACACGTCGGCGAATTTTGGTCCTGCTCGATTCTCCTAGGCCACTGTTGACAGTGTTGCTGGCCTCTGGCAACGACCGAGACCTCATTTCCCGAGCATTTGGACAAGGATTTCCTTTCTCTGAGAGATGATTTAGAGGCGTGAATCTTGAAGACGCTTGGCAATACGCTGGACGTGGGCAAACGAAACATACTCGGCGGACACTCATCTCGCTTGTATTTCCTTCCACGAAGTGGACTCTGTACGAAGATGTGGGCAAGATCAATGTACAATCGGAGCCAATTCATTCGCTATTAGTCTAGCAAGACGACACAAAACTTTGAGTTGCGATGCCTGCTCTCCAACCTTTACAAGTCTTTTTCGACGGAGACGCCATGAGAATTTAGGCGTCTATGCCCATGACCCACACCAAGACGCTCGCGCGACTCATGCTTCAACCCGACCTCATTGCAAACCTTGGCGCCACGACTCCTATGTCTAGTTGTTCAAAGAGGAGTCAAGTGTCAAATCGGCCATTCAGCATCTCGCAATGTCATGGCCGCATCTCGAACCTTGTCTAATAGGCATCCAGGCTGTCAAAGCAGTCAAGGCACCTGCGAATGTGTTACCCATGATCTTCAAGAGCTTCTATCCCACATCTGCCCCCTCCACAATTTCGGCGTCGTCCAAAGCCAATAATCCCTCTTAATCATCCTCACAATCCAGCCCGGCATCCACCACCCCATCGCCGCGCCTACAGCCCTCCTCTTCCCCAGCAGCACCATCTGCGTCTCCCTTTCATCCTCTTTGAACTCCTTATCCTGACCTTCGACGCCGAGGAGATCGTCGCGGATGTTGTTGCAGAGGATCGGCACGGCGGAGGTAATGTTGTGGATTGCGGGACGGGCGAAGGTGGAGGCGTCGCCGAGGGCGTATGTGAGGGGGCCAGCGATGGGGACGCGGAGGTGGGGGTCTGTTTTGATGCGGCAGTCCGAGTCGAGTAACTTGGGGTCGAGGTAGGAGGTGTTGGGTCTGGTGCCTGTGGTGGGGATGTACAGGTCTGCGTCGAGGGTCTGGCCGGTCGAGAGGTGGAGTTTTGTTGCAGCGGCACGGGCGGAGGCTGCTCCGGCGTCTTCAGGGGTGGTGGAGAGGACTTTGGTCTTCTTCAGCACTTTCACGCCCAGGATGGTCAGGTCTTTCTCGGCCTGGGCTGCGATCGAAGGACGGAGGACTGGGAGAAGTCTTTCACCGGATGTGATGAGGGTGATCTGAGGCTTCGTCGACCTCGTGGTGTCCAAATGCTCAGCGAGTTCAGCAGCAGTTTCGACACCAGCTGGCCCTCCGCCGGCGATAACCATAGTCTTCGCCTTTGGCAATGCGAGACGAAATTCCTTCCATGCCCGCCGCAGCTCCTCTCCACTCCCATTCAGTCCCAAAAGCGGCGACGGCGTACACGCCCCAGTCGCAATGACCAGCGCATGGAACCCAACATCCACCTCCCCTTCCTCACCCACAACATGAACACATCTCTCCTCAAAGTCGACTCGCAAAGCTTTCCCCTGCAGAAACTCCCAACTTCCAGCAGTGTACATCTCAAAACACTCCCGCACATCCACGAACAGCTTCTTCTGATCGAACGCAGCATCGGAAATCATCGCCCGGAGACACGCAGGTCTGCAAAGGACTTGCTCGGACATAGAGACCAGAACGACGCAGTAGCGATCCTCATCCGGCAGGTTGGGAAGGACATGTTTGAGAAGATAGTGTGCCGTCGAAACACCCGCGTAGGAAGCGCCGAGGATGACGATATTCTTGTGAGCCTTGGTCGCCATCTTGAGTATCTGGAAACGGCACACCCCCGGTTGGCCAAGAGACGAAAATCCAGCGAGGATTTTATACCCCATCGAAACCAGCTGTGAAGTTCGACCGATCCACGAGGCTGCAAACCCGAAACTCCGAAACCGGAAGAACTTCCATGCCGCACAGGCTCGACTGACCCCAGCCGTGGGTTCCACGCAGCTAGGAAAACACTTTCCTGAAATTATACTAGCTGTAGAATGCTCTAGCGAGTCTCATGAATGGCTCCCATATCGTGAGGTGCTATTACCTTCGACTCACCCGGACCCCTAAAGCGTATAACATCCCCGATAAGAGATGAAGCCCAACAAACGATCTCTCACTCGCCCGCGGGAGGGCGTCAAGGATCGCTCATGTTAAGAAGCCGCGAGATGTTGTTCCTTGAACTTCTACACCACCAAGAACGGTAGTGTTTGGAGCAGGCCCGGGGTGGCGATGTTAGCGATCTTGGAAGCCTTCTCGACCAGGGGAGAAAGACCTTGTGCCAAATGAGTATAGGAAGTGCTCGCAGCCCAAAATGAGAGTAAAATGTCAGCTATATTCAAACGAAATCGAGCATGATAGAGCGGTTAAGTGCGTCCAGCGGCCGTCGGCATTCGTCTTCTCAAGGGCATCAGGGATGTTTGTTGGCTTCCTCGAACCGGCAGTCTCCAAAGCGGCTGTCCTGACCTTCAAGGCCGTGAACAGTATTAGCGAATAGCAAAACCGACATACGAATAAAAAGACTAAGGACGTCTGTGACATGGAAGTATAGTGGCAACTCGCACGGTTCGGACTCCGTCCTAAGCAGGACGTGCAGGTGAGTACCCGTCAGAACTGTCATACAGCAGTAGACATCCACGGAGATCAGAAGACAGAACCAGGCAGCGTTCGTCTAAACCTACAAACCACATCAGCAGTAAGTGACCCTCGCCAATGCCGCCAGATCACATTTCGCGTTTCCGCCCACCACCCATAACCTCATCCCACCCTCTCACCATCATCCTGACCCGCCCTGTCATAGTTCTACAACCTCTCCTCCTTCCCGCTCCGCGCCTCCCTCCTTGTCCCAGCATCCTTCAAATCGTCCCTCAAAATCTCCACCCCCCTCTCCCCAATCCCATAAGCCGGCATACACGTATGCCCATTCGGGATCTTGGGGATGATGCTGCAATCTGCGACTCTCAGACCTCGTACACCGCGAACTCGAAGACGCTCATCGACCACCGCGGCAGGGTCGTCTGCCAAGCTCGCTGCGCTCGCCATCTTGCACGTCCCCACGGGGTGATAGCACGTCGTCGCCCCGCGGCAGACGAAAGGGATCCACTCCTCGCGGGTCTTATGCAGATGATGCTGCGTGAGTTCCGAGGGATAAGAGTTGAGGATGAGGTCTCTCGTGGCTTTGCCCTGCATGACGATTTCGTTTCCCAACCTCACGCCCTCGGTTAAGACGAGGAGGTCGAGCGGGTGGGAGAGGTAATTGTGGTCGATGACTGGTGCTGCGAAGGGGTCTGTCGATGAGAGGGTGACGCTTCCGCGGGAGTGGGGAGAGAAGAGCTCCGTGACCATTGCGAAGGCGTTTTTGCCGCTTGCGGGGGGCAGTTCGCGCGGTCCGACGCAGCATTCTGTGTTCCGAAATTCGATGTGGGGTTGGGATTTTGTTTGGCCCATGGGGTCTCGATCGGCCGTTTTGGCTTGTTGCCAGTCCTTGGAGTCTTGAAGTCTGTCATCCAGTCTGGCGTAAGCGAATGCTCCGAAGGGGAAGGTGGACAGGAGGCCGGTTTTCTTCGTCACCCATTCTTCGTAGGTGGCTTTCAGTGCTTCCTCGGGGTAGAGTTTGTTGTCGTAGGTCAGGCCTGGGAGAACTTCGTAGGGGACGAAGACGATGAGGTGGTCTTGGAGGTTTTGGCCTACGCCTGGGAGGTCGACGTGGCAGGGGCTGTTGTGCTTGACCAGTTCGACTTTGGGGCCAATGCCTGAGCGGAGGAGAATGGCGGGTGTGCAGTATGTGCCAGCTGAGAGGATGATTTCGTGGCGGGCGGTGTATGTTTTAGTCTCGCCGTCGGAGGTGATCGCCTCAACGCTGGTGGCTTGAAGACCCGTCTCTGTTCTCGTGAGGTTGACTTTCGAGACTTGGGTCTTGAAGAGGATGGTGAAGTTTGTCTTGTGTTCCCAGCCTCGTGTATACTCCGCGGCAGTAGTGCGAAGCCCATTGTACACAGTCCTGGGTGCGTGGCCACAGCCATGAGCTCGCTCGCCTGTGCTGAACATGTCATGATCCAGTGGAAATCCCTGATCCTGCAGAGACTCCATGATCCGTTCCGAGATGGGCGCCAGATCATGGGGCTCGACATTGACCGGGCCATCAAATCCATGTGCATCCTTTTTGACTTCAAACCAATCCTTCCCCCGGAAATTCTCAGCCTTCTTCATCGCCGCAAACATTTCCTCTCCCGACCAACCCGGTACATCCCAGTCATCGTAGTCCTGCTTCGTGCCGCGAATGCACAGAGTTCCGTTCAAACCGCTGCTGCCGCCGAGGAACCTGCCTCTGGTGAGTGAAATCTCCCGATCAGCAGCGTGAGTTTGCGGCGTGCTGAAGAAGTTCCAATCGTGAGGGCCTCCAAGGAGCTGGAGCATCCCACCTGACATCTGACTGCCCACGACGTCCAGGCAGTTTTCGCCAGCTTCAATCACGAGGACTGAGATGTTTGAGTCTTCTGCGAGGCGAGAGGCGACGACGCAGCCGGATGTGCCGCCTTAGGGGCAGTCAGTGGCAGTACACGTTGCAAGTTCCCTCATATGATACCGCTTACCACCACACACAATATAGTCAAACTCCATCTTTTCCGCCATAGTCAAAAGGTGTCGAGAGTGACAATGAAACAAAAGAGATGACTTACCTTGCTTTATCTGCCATTCGTGACGATGACCTGAAGTCGAGGATATTGCGAGGTACCCATCACCAACGTCCAGTCAGCTTGACGAATACCGCAGCTCGTCAGCTTGAAATAACAAGCTCCGCCAGGATGCCCATTGCAGAAACAGACACGATACCGAGAGTCTGGGAAATTGACCTCTTGAAGCTGCTTCTTTCGTTGGCCGTCAGCATCCGTAGACACATCTCTGATTGCTTATATCCCTCATCTTCCATGTTGTTGGACTCCGCGGAATGCGTCGTCGCTGTTGAGGACGAGGTGAAGTATGTCGGCCTGTGTGGTCCACCGGCTGAGAGGGAAGCCAGGAGCTGGAGTCAGCAATGTACATCTCCAGTCATCCTCAACGCCATGTTCCTCTGCTCTTGGCCAGATACTTGTAGCATTATATCCGACTGCTGCCGTCCTTCTCGTGCGAAAGAAGAGGGTGGTATGGATAGAGTTCTGCGGCGTTTGTTGTGGTCGAAGTCTCCTCCTCTTGGCCTGGACGACACCTGCTGTTCTCCTCTGCCGACCCAACTCCCGTCTCTTTCTGTGCGGCTTCTCCTCAGCCTGATGGTGCTCGGAAGGTCGTTTCGGCTGTCTTCGAGGTACTTTGATGCTGACAGGAGGGAGGTGGTGGTGTGGAAAGGAGAAGCGGAAGCCCTCCTTCGCATCCGAGCCGAAGGATTGAGATGTCCCGAAGTCCCGACCGTTGCAGACTCTGACTCTTCCTCCTCTTTCCCATCAGATCACAGCCATCTGGTATGTATCTCGCCTGCGAAACGGGGTATCAACACATCATTCTCTTGACGAGAATGTCACTCGGCGATCAATCTCTTCCCCCATCCGCATCGACGCATCTCGACCGCAAGCGAGGCATGGCCAGCACGCGGCGAAGAACATGCACAACACGCGCCCACCACGCGAAGAGAACGAATCGAACCCCTCCCACGCAGCGCACATGACCCAAAGCAGCCAGCGCCGCATCAAAACGCCAATCAAATCGACTAATCAATGTTCTTGGCCATGTACGCCAAGTGGCTAGCGACACCACTCCCCCGCCTTGACCTCTGCTGTACCACGCCCGCACGAACGTCTCGGAATCTTTTTTCGGGTCTTCGTTACACGCAGTTTGTCCCTATCGTCGACGCACGCCAGGGAGCGAGATAGAGACGTCGACGAGTGAGGAGTTGGGGAGATGATAACTGCCATCCCGACTACTTCTTCTTGCTCACCCCATCGCTCACCCCACAAACTCTCTCTCCTTCCCCAGACTCTGCTTCCTCCTCCGCAAACACCACCCACCCTTCCCCAGGCGTTCGTCCATCACACTACTGGTGCCATGTCGCCATCCGATTCCATGGACCAGGAGAAGGCTCCCGTGACTGCCACGGCTGCCGAGTATGCCATTGTGCATGATGTCGCCGAGAGAGGTCACAATGCCACCGATCAGTGAGGGACATACAATCAAAGGAAGTGGAAATGTGCTGACTGCGATTCATCAGATATGGCCATGCGCTGGTGCAGTTCGACCCCAAGGCAGAGGCCAAGCTGCGGAGGAAGATTGACTTCATGATCGTGCCCACCGTGGCCCTGCTGTACCTGTTCTGCTTCATCGGCGGGTCTACCCATCACCCATAAGAAGATACCAGCTGACAACCTCCCAGACAGAGCCAACATCGGTACGAGCACCCCCCTTCCCACCCCATCACCCTACTGACATTCCCTCAGGAAACGCCCGCCTAGCCGGCCTCGAAAAGGACCTCCACCTCAAAGGCTACGACTACAACGCCGTTCTCTCCGTCTTCTACATCAGCTACATCATCTTCGAGATCCCCGCCAACATCTTCTGCAAGTGGATTGGCCCGGGCTGGTTCATTCCGTCTACCTCCCTCGGCTTCGGCGTCCTCTCTGTGGCTTGCGCTTTCGTCAAGGATAAAGCCCAGGTCTCTGGTGTGAGGTTTCTGCTTGGGCTCTTTGAGGCGGGAATGCTTCCGGGTATTGCTTACTATATGTCAAGATGGTGAGTACAAGAAAGCGATTGTAGTGCTGTTCTCATGCTAACATTCCGCTAGGTACCGCCGCAGCGAGCTCGCCTTCCGCCTCTCCCTCTACATCGTCATGGCCCCCCTCGCAGGCGCATTCGGTGGCCTCCTCGCTTCCGGCATCCTCTCCCTCGACAGCTTCGGTTCTTTAACCACCTGGCGAATGATCTTCGGCATCGAAGGCGTCATCACCATCGGCCTCTCCCTCATCGCCTTCATCACCCTCACCGACCGCCCCGAAACCGCCCGCTGGCTCACCCCCGCAGAGAAAGAACTCGCCATCGCCCGCGTCAAGTCCGAACGAGTCGGCACGACCATTGTCCTCGACAAGATCGACAACAAGAAACTCATCCTCGGCATCTTCAACCCCGTCACCCTGGCCACCGCCTTCATCTTCCTCCTCGACAACATCACCGTCCAAGGCCTCGCCTTCTTCGCCCCGACCATCGTCAAGACAATCTACCCCAAGCAATCCGTCGTCCACCAACAACTCCGCACCGTGCCACCGTACATCGTCGGCGCCGTCGCCACCGTCCTCATCCCATACCTCTCCACCAAAACCGACAAACGCACCATCTACTTCATCGCCTCCGCCCCGCTGATGATGGTCGGCTACATCATGTTCCTCGCCACCGCCGACGCCTCCACCCGGTACGGAGCGACCTTCATCATCGCAGTAGGGGCCTTCTCCTACGGCGCCCTCTGCAACGCCCAAGTCTCCGCCAACGTCGTCTCCGACACGGCGCGGTCCTCAGCAATCGGCACGAACGTCATGCTGGGCAATATCGGCGGACTCATCAGCACGTGGTCGTTCCTCCCCACCGACGCCCCCAACTATCCCATCGGCAATGGATTGAACCTGGCGACGAGCAGCACGATTCTGATTGTGGGCATCTTGCTCCTCGTGTGGATGAAGTGGGACAATCGCAAGAGGGAGGGTAAGGATGTGGATGCGGAGTTGGCTGGGCTTGAGCAGAGGCAGGTGGAGGATCTGGATTGGAAGCATCCGGCTTTTAGGTGGAGGCCGTAAACAGGAGGGAAAAGAGGCCCGAGCTAGATTTTTGCTCAGAGATTCAGCATAAGAGGGTAATGAACGTCGCAGCGAGCGACCTGCACTAATCCGAAGCCCCCAATGAAACCAATTGCCACCAGCACAGGCCAGTGCCACACCCTTTAAGACCCAGTCCTCCAACTCATGCCCCCGATCTCGTCATCCATCCACCCAAACATACCAAGTCCTATCCCCATCCCCATCCCCATCTCCGCCAAATCATCCCCTTTAAAATATACTCATCTCAAATCCTCATCCCACCCCATTAATCAATCGTACCCAAACACCCGATTCTGAACAGCAATCCTCATATCCCCCGTTGCCAGCAATCCTAACATCCTCCCCCTCCTCCGGCCTATTATAAGACTATAAGAGATGTACTTACTAGGTGGGTCGCGGGGATTCGATAGTCCACGGGGAGAAGAACCCGCCCTCCTCTCAAATCCTCCTCATCTTCCCTCTCCCCTCGCCGGCAGCAATGCTAAAATCGCCCTCGCCCGCCCTATCGTATACGAAACTTTGAGATCTACCTACTCGGCGGATCGTGGGGATATGGTGGGCTGGAAGGGGAAGAAGAAGGGGAAGAAGTAGAGGAGGAGGAGGGCATTTTTGTTCTGAGATGTCTCGGTTTGGAAGGGCGATGGTAGGCGTGGACGAGTTGTTTCCTCACTCCGTCGGTTACTACTCAGATAACTAACTCACGAATAGGAAGATTCTGTTTGGTTGAAGCCATAACTAATGCTGGAGGTGGTGAAAGGGGAAAGAGGTTACGTTTGTCGATACACGAGCAGGCAGTAAATGTCTTCCCCCTTAATATCTATCTATCAGCGCTCATGCATGAATGGCTGGATGGATATGCATCCACGGCTAAGATGCACCACTAAGCCAACGCCACGTTTCGCCGAGCATTTAGTGTCTACATGTACCTATATATACGAATCTTGAGGTTTGGAGATAGCGGTGTTGTGCTGGAGGAGGCTGAGGGAGGTTGATATAAGATATACATTCCAACCTTTCCCCTCCCCTCCATTTCCCGCCCAACAAATCTACCTTGCTCCATCCACCCATCCACCTACACAACATCTCTCTATCTACCACAACCACTACTATAGCGGAAACAATGTCTCACCTCTCTAGTACGTATTTAAATTTAAACCCCACCTACATCTATCTACACTTGAAACCTCTTTCGATTATTCTTTAGTACACTCCAAATCGGTCCTTGGTACACCCCAAAGCACCTTCTGTGTCCGACTGACGTTTCCCATGTCTAGGCGAACAACACGAGCAAAACCGAAGCCTCGGCCGCAGCCTCGTGACCCGCAGAATGGGAGGATAAGAGTTAGAGCGACAAAGCAATAAAAGAGGAGATGAGGGAGGATGAGGGAGGAAAGATGTAGTATTGGAGATTGTGAGGTGCGGATATGTTAGGAGGGTGTATAGAGGACAGGGTCTTAACGATGGGGTTGGGAGATTGTACTAAGCACGGTTTCTTAGGCACAGTGTCTTGACGACGGTGTCTTCGGCATGATGTCTTGACGATGGTGTCTTACGGACATGGCGAGAGGCTGTACTCATAATTCGATCGGTCTTTTCGTTTTACGGAATGCTCGCACATTTTGCGCTGGATTGGTTCAACTAGAGAGATGGTCAATCGTATTTCTAAGGGTTTCAGGAGGAAGCCCTCTCGTTGTACTACATCACTTTTAGAGAATGGAATTTTCCCTTTCCCATTTCTAATCCCGATCTAACGCCATTGTTTTTCCATCCCCTATCCGACGCCCACTCCTAATTGAAAACGCCATCCCAAACATCCCAAACCACATATGGCCCCTCACGAACCACAACCATCACTCGCCATCCGACTTCTCCCTCTCACCCCCCTCCCCCACCGCCAAAACCCCGCCGCCACCACACAGAAACCCGTGGCACACCCCGCCAGCACCATCCCCGCATAACCCCCTCCCAACCCCCTAAACATCCTCTCCCCAAACAGCGGAAACACACCACTCAGCACCGCCCGCAAAAAACTCATCGGACTGATCGCCGACGCCGCGTACGAGGTGTACGTATCGGTGAGGTAGCCCGAAAGGACGTTATCGAACTCGACGACGGCGAAGCCGATGAGCGTGAGGGCCGCGATGGAGATCCAGGGCGTGAGGTGAGAGGTGAGAGGGGGGATGGTGGTGGAGAAGATCCACAACCCCACCGCGAGGACCGGGGCGGCGACGTAGAAGCCGAAGAGTTTGTCTTCGGGCTCGATGGTTGAGGGCGCTTTGCGGCGGAGGAGGAGGATGTCGTAGATTCGTGGGAGGAAGGTTAGGGGGATGCCGAGGGCGAGGGCGAGGGAGACGAGGGAGGTTTGGAGCGGTGTGAAGGTGTAGGGTGGCGAGGTGTAGATTACGGGGAGGGCCGGCGTGAAGAGGTAGATTATGCCGTAGACGGTGGCGCCCATTATGGAGGTTAGGAAGACGATGGGTTCGGTGAGGAAGAGGCGGATTGGGAGGGCCTGGAAGGGAGTTGTTAGTGGGAGGGTTGTGGTGATGAGGGGTGTGGTGGGCTTACGAGATGGACTCGGACAAATGTTTTGAGATCTGGCGTTGAGTCGGCGTCGTCGAGGGAGAGGCCGCTGAAGCTGTTGTTGCGGGCGACGTCTTTGACTTCCTTCTTCAGAAGCTGCGATGGACGAGACTCAGTCATCCAGCAGCACATGAGGGCGATGGCTGCTGTGACGATGGCGGCAATGTAGAAGAGCCATGGCCTGGGAGTGTCTGTTAGCAGGTGGACTGGTGAAGTGAGGCTAGTATTTGGTCTACCATCGCAGATGAGACTCGCTGATAACAGTGGCGATAGTAGGTGCACACGCCAGACCAGCCACAGCAGACGAGATCCAGACATGGACAAGCCATATCCGAGCTTTGGTATCCTATATGGGAGTCACTACTAAGGACCGCAATAGTGGATTGGGATAGGTTGAAAGCACATACCCACATATTCTCAATACTCCCACAAGCCACAACAGCCGGCATAGCCGACAAGAACCCGGACGCAAACCTCATCACAATAACCACAGGTACCGTCGGACAAGCGCCAAGGATAACACAGCAAGCGCTGTAGGCAATCGTTGAAGTCAGATAGATCGATCTGCCACCAAAGGACTCCGCTACTGGTGGAAGTATAAGGCCCCCGATGGCTTGGCCGAGAAGGTAGAGGGTCGTGAAGTAGAAGAGAGCCAGCTCCCTACTGATGCCCAGGTCTTCCATTGCGTACGGTGCGATGGATGAGCCCGTGTTGCTGATGAGGGTCATGATGAACTCCATGAAGCAGATGACTGCTGAGTCGTAGGATTTGCGTAGGAGGGACCATCTTCGCGGGTGGATGCTGGTAATGCTGTCTTGCCTCCAGCGAACGACGCCTTGGCGGTCGATATCGAAACCTTTCTGGAGGAGGGCGAAAGAGATGTCGGCGGGGACGTCAACAGTGTTTCGGTCGCTCGAAGATTGTGATGCTTCTGGGTATATGGCTTCCTTTTGCCAAGGAATCGAATCCGTCGAAGGCGTCGAAGCGACAGACGGGACGCTTTCCAGACCAACTTTGGCCTCATTCATCTTGTGTGTATTCCTTATCTGCTGCCAATGAAGATGGAGAACCAGCCGCGAGGCTTTCAGGTTGACTTCAGGGTGCGGTATGAGGAAGATGTCATAGATAAGAGAGCGCGATTTTATTCGAGGTCTGAGGAAATACAAGTAGCAGCGATGCCTTCAAGAATATTTGCCTACCTTCCTGCCTCCTCACAGGTCCCGCGGGATGGTAGTCTTTGAGGCATTTTGCAATTCCTGGATAACTTTCATGGTGAAGCACGACACCACGTCGAACTGAGGCGATCTGCAGCGTGATGGAAAGCGAATCCCCAACCAAGACCTTCCTCTCCACAGGGCAGCACGGGACTGTGAGAAGTCGACATGGCTTCTCCGGCAGTGGGCGAGGTTGAGACGTGTGTTGAGCACGATCGATGAGGTGAGTTTGGCCAACCAAGTGATGTTGCCAGATGGGTCAAGTGCAGTTGGGGCCAAGCTCGTCAAGCTTTGCTGGGCAGTGAGCTTTCCAGTCGTTACACATCAGCACATACGCAATTGTGGGGGCCAGGGGGCATTCTGTTTGTCACAGTTTGAGATGGGCCACCTCGGGAACCTAGGTCTTTGCCGGATGGAGTCTCACATGCTTGAGTTCAGACCAGGCGTCTTGTGCTGAAAATGTCTTTGTAGAACTTCAAACCGAATAGATCCTCTGAGCACTCGACTGCAAGATAATTGTATAACTTTGCAAGAATCCTTGAGCAGATCAATGATCGACTTGCGCAATAGATACATGCGGGAACGGGTCCATCCCGAGGAGATGTCGTCGGTAAAGTCAATTTTCATTCCAGCGGCGAAAGTCAAAAGATGTCGATTCGGATCCTCGGTAGTCTCACCTTCTCCACAATGACCTATATCTCTGTCTCGGCTGCACTGCCGGCGTGAAGCCAACAATATGGCGTTCGCTCCAATCCAGAATATGGTGTTGTCATGTCGCTGGTTTTGACGTTTTGCTCGCAGAAGTGCCCTTCGCAATCCGTCCTCAACCGATTTGGCTTGTTGAGGTCCATAAGTCTTGCAGTGAATTCCAGCTCGTGATGCTGAGCCGCAGTCTTGGCGGTAGTCTCCATTCCGTGCTGGAGGAGAAGTCGCGTTGTCGCGGCCGTGTGTGAGACGGTACAAGCTTGCGATGGCAGCGTTTGAGCAGCGTTTCGGCACTGGACTTCTCGAGACCGGAGACGGTAGCTCCAGGACATTACTGTATGGAGCTTGCGGTGCTGGTCGCAGCTGTCTTGGGGCAAAGACGATCTAATGCCTCAAGAGTGTGCTCTTCGCGGATCGAGCGACGAGAGGCGTACACTGAGCAGCGCCAATGTCAGGCCATCTCGTGCAGCCAGCCTCAGATTCTCGAAGAACCTCGTGTACCTCGTACGAGAGGCAGTTGTCTGGCGTATTCCCGAGCCAGAATAACCCGTGGTTAGTAGAACGCCGTGTTGGTGTTCATGGTATGCGCCGTGTCTTGCATCCGCGGCTGTAGACATGCCGTGCACCTGACACCTCTTTCCAAGATCTCCCCAGTGTACAGTATGACAACTCCTAGCTCTTTTCTCTCGCTTTTCTCGACGGCAGGTCTCCTGCTCTCCCAGGTCTCGCGGTGAACAAGATCAGCCCATGGGCTTCATCACGCCGGGCGGTCGAGCGGTAGCAGCATAACGCGCGGCGACTGATCCGAGATTCATTCAGGCTGTGCTCATTCAGAAGTCGCCTCCGACGGAGATGGCCGCGTACATATATCAGCTTCATCCCAGCCTTGGCCTGGCATTGCCGCTCGATTGTGTCGTCCCGTCGTCTCGGAGATCGGCATCGCGGCGCCTCCTCGACATCGCTGTCGCGGTGGCTTGCATATCTCGTATATCAGCAGATAATCCATATAAGTCTGCTTGCGCAAACAGTCAACCAAGGTGCTGAAAGAAGAGATAAAGGTGATGTTGAAGGCTGAGCGATCCTGTGTGCGCGTCCCTCGCTCCTTCGTGGCATCTCAGCCCGAACGTTTACCCGGAGATCCCGGTTTAAGCGGAGCTCGGTCCGGTCACTCATTCACTTCCCGACTTCACATGCTGCACTAGTTTGCATGGTATGGGCATTGCTTGAACTTGTCACATTATTTCGACGGCAGGCAGACGAAAATGCAATCGAAACCACATTAGACTTCAACTCTACCACTTTCACTACCCATGAAGGACCTTGCAGCCACATGCTATGCAGCGAAAGGGAGAGGATTGAGCCGGCTCAACCATGTCCTTGATTGCAAATTATTCGAGGGATGGCTCCGCAAGACCGATCTCCAATCATCTAGAGTAAGGAGCACTGAGATAAAAGATAGAATATAGAGAGACATACAGTGACTATCGTTCTTCACTCCCCCCTGAGCATAGTCGCGTCTGGTGAGGCTGTCGAATTCGTGCTTGAAAGGGGTCGGCTGTTGAATTCAAGCGATTATTGTATAGTGTTGTTTTGAAGGCGTTCTGCGAATTTGTGGTTTTCTCGTTCGATTATGCGGGGTGTTCTACGTAGCCTGATTACTGGGGGTGGCGTAGGAGTCGATGGGTATTGCAGCTTTGTGACGATCTTGTAACTCTTCTTGTACTCATTGAATCCTAGTCAAGGTAGTGTGTTGCTTCTCCAGACATCGAAGTGCTCGTAACTACAGAGGTACATCATGCTGAACACTGCGACGCCAATTGCAAGATAATTGGCTTTGTTTGCTGCCTTCCGTCGACGTTGGCGGATGATGACTCGCAATCTCGCTGTCACGCACTTGACACACCTCGTGCTGCTTACTATTGCCTTCTCTTTGCCTATAATTATGGGGATTGACCGCGTATGTATATAAGATCCTCTCTGTTCCTTCTTTCCTCGCCCTTTCATTCTCCAACACTCGAAGCTCCCCATCGACAATTCACGAAACATACTGATCCCCTACACACCTTTTCAAACATCCACAGAACCATCCATCGACACACTTAACCCCTTCAACGACCCACAAATTGCCAAGATGTGCAAAGGCGCTGTGAACAGATTACTCTACGGGGATATCATCATTACCAAAATGACCAAGCCCTGTGGTCCGGACCAGCGTTGCCCTGGGATTTTCAGCAATGGAGAGGAAACAATGATCTCCACGAAGTGTGGGCAGCCAAGTTGCAAAGGACGCATCATTTCGCCTGAGGTGATCTCGGAGCGTCAAGCGCTCGCAGCGGCCCGAGCAGCAGAAGAAGCAGCGGTGGAAGCAGAAATAGAGATGAGACGTCCAACTAGGGGCTAAGGGTAGCAGTAAGGCGAAGACTCAACCCGATCAGAAGGGAGCAAGTCAATCTAGGGGTGTTGCGAAATGGTTCCTAGATGGAGAAAGGGGATTACTTGATCTTGTTGCTCGAGGCTTGATAATGTACCGGAGGTCTTTGGATGAGTGTATCTGGAGTTGGGTGTTGTATTCGTTTGGCTATCCTTGCGGTTCAGTGTATATAGTCTTTTTGATCTTGGGTCATAGTACGTAGCTTTCCCGAGAATGTGATTTGCTTGTTCGGACCTGTGTTCTGTGAGTTGACGGCCCTGTCCGTTGTGACCTCTACAGACTTCGATAGCTCTATTGCCGTAAAGCTGCATATCGCCTCTCTAGGCTCTACCAAGCTGTGTCAGGTTGGTTTCCTCTTCCCCATATGAACTAGCGAGTGGTCACAGCTGGATTGTGAGTGATCGGAGCAATCTCGATGCTGTCCACGAGTCTCGTGTTACTTGCGTTTGCTTTTGATTTGCTTATGGCCGGGTGAGCGTTAAGCACCGTGTATATAGAGCTGCTCAAATCTGCCCTCCCATCACCGCTCTGCACCCAAAAATTGACAGCCGCGACCATATACCGCACCCAAGAGAACCGCCATTTGTTGTGCATACGAGAACCTCACCCAATCTCATATCTGTGGCATAATCCATTAAGCCGGCAACGACCTCAAGAATCTCATTCGACCGAGTCAAAACTTGAACAGCTCCACTTCACCCTCCTTCGAAATTCGAGGATGTGTCTGCGGAAGATCGAGTACTATAGCGACTGCTGTGAAGTGCGTAAGATGGGCGCACCTTGCCCGTCGAGTGCTGCGAATTGTGGAAGAAGAACCAGTGTCCAGGCCTTCGAGACCGACTGGTCATGCTTCCTGCACCTTGTCCGAAGTGTCCGCCGCTGGAGGAAAGAATCAAGGCCAGGCAGGAGCGTCAAGCCAACGCGTAAATATCTCCGAGATGCATATATTGTCGCTCCTGTGGAGGGAAGGGTCAATGATGGAGGTGTTGCGATATTTCGTTGACCGTTGTTGGGTCTGGAGGCATGGGTATTGTTTGAGTTCTGCTGTCTTACTTTCTCTGCAGATCGGGCTATTTTCAGCGGGTAATTGACTATTGGTTTGTTTTGCTGGACACAATGCCTTGCGCCTGGGTACTTGAGCGTGCAAGGCGCTGGCAATTCGTTGATGCTGTATCAGGGAGTGACCAGAGCAATCTCGTCGTCACGCTGTCAATCTATCCCGTGTTACTTGTGTTTGACTCTTGATTTGCCTATCGTCAGGTGGGACACAGGTGGTCAATATATAGATCTTTCATTCTGCACTTGCATCTACGTTCTACATTCCACTACCTGAAGTCCCAACGACATTCATATCAACTCCGAACTCACTCTCTCACAACCAACGTCTCGTCCTATCAGTATCCACACACTTTATCCCCAAGCCTCCATCCACCCAACTTCAAGCCACTCTTCCGTCAACCTCCAATCTACCATTATCCTCCCAAAATGTGCAAGCAGACCACGGCCATCTACAGAGGCTGCCCAGATCGGAGCCACGACAGGAAGCTGGAATTTTTCGAGTGTGAGAGTCCGGCAAACCCAACGTGTACCTGGACCTTGCACCCGATATTCCTACTTGACAAGAAGTGTGAGAAATGCCCGCCAAACGCGCAACTAGTGCTTCCGGCGGACTGGAAGGCGTTGAATCAGGCGTGTCCGACTTGTGGTGGAGGGAAGAAGTGAAAGGGGCTGGTGATGTCTTTTTCACCGGTTTTGAAGTTGTAGGCGTGGGCGTTGTTGGAGTTTTGCTGTCTTATTATTTTCTCGGCATCGGCTTGTTGAGGGCGTGTCATTTGACTGTTTGTTTGTTTTGTTCGATGTGGTGCCTTCGATCTGTGTTGTTAACCATGTAAGTCGCTCGGCGTTCGTTAGTCGTTGGTAGATAGGTCTGGATCACAAAGCCACGTAGTATCTCATGTTGCTCATGTTGCTCATTAAGATCCAATTCAAGACCCATAGCTCACAATTGCACGTAGCAGTGTACATTGGAACGTTTTCGGCGCTGGGAGCACGTTCATATACGGCTGACTTGCTGGTCGGGTGTGTTTTCAGGGCTTCCGCCATTCAGGGGCGAGCCTTGGCGCTTGCTGTGCAGTCATGGGGTACACTTTCCGAGAAATCGCGAGTGTATCTACGTGTGACTTTCCGGTTACTGACCTCAAATGTGTGCACTTGCTCCCTTGATGTTTGTTTTAAGTCGTGTTGCAAACTGCTCGGAAGTGCTCGGAGCTACAGGATGACAGGACGAGACAGGCACTTTGGAGGTATATAAGTCCTCAAATGCCCCCTTCGATCAGCATTCCAAAGATCAGTACCACCTTCGAATCAAGCGGCCAGGCTTTACAACCTACACGCTATCGCATACGCAAGACCTCCATCGACCTTCTATCACTCAATCAATTCAGCACATTTGTCAACAACTTCCTCGCCATTCCCTTTCGCTGGCCGAATACCCAACGACTAAGCCAACGATCTCTCGAGATGTGCCATTTGACTATCGGGGAATACTGGCATTGTGTTGACCACCAAAAGATCATATCCCGCGACCCTTGCAAGGAAATGCCGAAGACCAAGATATGCTCCGACAAGACGTGCCACATCGAGACCCTTCGTGAGCCGTCGTCCGTACCTTCGCCCATATCCTTCTCATCTCCTCGCGTTTCTGCTTTTCCATCCACGCCTCGTAAGACTCGATGGCGACTATTCTTCCAGCGAAGCGGGTCGGTGTCGCGTCAATGGAGATGTGACCTCGCAATGTTCGAGAGGATGTCGAATTCACGACTGGTCGTGACCGCGGCGTGGACATTGGGCGTTTGATGTCGCTGAACAGGGATTGGTGCTGGAGGGCGCTGATACCGGCAGTGAAGTCGCGTTTCAGCGTATCACCAGGATTTCGAGGCTTGTCGTCACGAGGCACGAAGAGGCATAACAGCAGAAGAAGCCGGCGTCGTGCTGCCTTCTCAACAGCAACACCGACACCCCAGACGCGCCTTCCTCGCCAACACGTCTTGCAGACAAACGCGTCGAAGCCATATGTAGAATCTCGAAGACCCTTGCTCTATCCAATAAACGTATAGCGCTTCGACGCTTCAAGATTCTCCACTACGAAGTGAATGGTCAATTTGAACAGGTAACAAAAACATTTCCCTTCTTCTGAAGCAGCGGTGGCGGGGCAGCGGCAGCGACAACAGTGGCGAGTGAGTGAATGGCGAGAGTTCGAACCATGGACTCGGATCTTTTTTTGTACTTTTCGAAACCATATTTTTGTATGTCTATTTACTATTAAAGCTTTGATTTTTGATATATAGTTGCATTCACTTACAAAATAAGTTTGAATCGAGATCTCTAACACTCTTACATCAATTCTAGAGGTATTGCACTCGAACCAGTTCCTTTTTGGTGTGAATTTGGCGTGTTGTATTTACCTTAATCGATTTTGATAGTTTAAACATCCACCCCTGTTAATCAACATCTCCAATGTAATTAAGAGTCTAGATTGGATAGAGATATCGAGTTTCTCTGCTATCCAGACACTGCACCGTTCAAGTGCCGCCTTCAAGTTTCTCGGTAGACCGCCTTAGATCGCAGCAAAATGGTCTCCACATATTCATCCTCCTGTTTCACCTTCCGAAGACCTCTAGAAGCCCCAATATCCTCTACCCAACCACGCGGCCCATCCAGCCAGCCACGCGACAATGACCTGAGTTCCAAAGTATCCCACTGGTCTCCCCTTCCCCATGTATCCCTTCGCCAGAATTCCAAAGTCCGCATGCGCCAACCTCAGTACGCACAGCCCTCCCAACGTCCACGTCAACAACCTCTTTGATCCACCATTGACCTCCACGATGCCAGCGAGAATGAGTGCGAGGGGCACGTTCTCGACGAAGTTCGTCTGGGCGCGCACGGCGGCGAGGAGCGGGTCGGAGGGCGAGGAGGTGGATGGTGGGCTATGGCGGTTTTGGTCGCGAAACGCTGGCGGATAACGCGTGTTTGGAGGAGGAGGTAGTAGGCGGAGAGCGGGAGGGCAAAGGTTGCGGTGACGGGGAGGGTGAGGCCGAGGGCTGGAGGTGTTCATTAGTTGTTGTTACACGACAGGAGTTGGGGAATGCAGGGGTAGGGATGGAGTCTTTCGCCGGATTTGGGGAGTTCTTTGTTCTTTGGACGTACCTGTTGTTGCGGACATTCTGTAGGCACTTACTGGCGACGAGACAGCTCTGCTGGAGCTCGATGTTCTACCTGGACAGTGTTGTCAAGACGAAAAGAGAGACCGTCGTCGCCGGCCGCCGAATTCTCCGGTGACGTCAAAGTCGACCAGGGGCAACCTTGGAGGACAAATCGACTTCACCTCCTGAACAACAGCACCATCAATACAAAGGGTATCACGAGCAGTGTTTGAACCATGTCAAAGGTTTGTTCAACATGATCACGGGAAGACACGAGCCGCTCGGGACGGAGCCTTGCATGACGCACCACTAATATGAGCAGCAGCTGTGGAACAACCGGATTTTGACTGCTCACTCCGCCTTTAGGGCTCTGAAAGTGCGAGGGGCGTAGCCATGAGTAATGCGGCCTGACAATGGCATCACTCTTGAGTTCTGGCTTTTGACTGGGAGCTAGGGATGCATTCAAGACCTTGAACATGCTAGCTAAATTGGGTGGCAGATGTCACTTGGAACTCCCCATCTGATGCTTGTCTTGACGCTGCAGCATTCGGTAGCGAGACGAAATGACATATCATTTTGGAGCCTACATTGGCAAAAGGTGGGTCTTCATGCATACTCAAGGACCATGGGTAGCTGCAACAATCCGGCGGGGAGGCCAGCCAAGCTGTCAAGACGACAAACGCAGCACAGTTGTACAGGAGGTAAGTTTGGTCTCCAGTCTCAATCTGTTTCTTCGTTGCCATAGTTCTTCATCCAGCCGGTCAACAACCATCATGGCGGACGAAGACATGGCCAAGCTGTCACTCCACGACGAAGATGAGAAGAAGATGCCACATCTGCCCAACGAGATCCTCACCAAGATCTTCTCCCATCATCAATTTCCATCTGCCTCCACGATTGGCCGTGACCGCTACGAAGGCCTCAACATCCCCAAAGGCCCTTTGGTTCGCACTGGACCGATCGAAGACTACATTGACAATGACCTCAACACGGGTGCCTCCATCCACAAGCACGGCGAGTACAAAGAGAAGCTTCGCACCTTGTCTGCCATCAGCAATGCCAGCCGTACATTCCACAAAGTCGCCCTGCCGCTTATGTACGCCATCTATCCCGGACAGACGGTCGTCAAGCCCAAGCTCTTCCTGCGCTCGATCAAGAAGAACCCAGAGCTGGCTCCGCTGGTCAAGCAGATGGTGATCGACCCGTGGGATACGTTCAACGGTTCCAAGCAAGTGCGAGACAGCATCGAGCGAGTCGGTTTGCAGAAGGAGCTTCCGAGCATCTTGGATCGTCAGGCTGAGGAGTGGAATGACGAGGCGTACGCCACTCTTCTACTGCTTCGTTGCCCCGACATTGATGCTCTGACTATCACGCTGCCGAGCTTCTACAGTGCTGATGTCGGCCTGTTCGATCTCCTCAAGAAGATTCGCCAAGCTGACTGCGACTCACGCACGAAGAAGAACGGCAACGTCGGCAAGCCAGAGAACGTCTTGGTCGACATGCCGCTCCGCAAGGTGAAGCAGCTCTTTATCCATCATGCCTAGCATCACTACATCCGCAGCCTCAAGGGTGCTCACGCTTTGATGCGTCTATCTTCTGTCGAGTCAGTCACGGCCTACCGTTTCTGGGACGGCGCCACCACGCTCAAAGGCTTGCAGCACCTCCAGTCTCTCACGCTTTGGAGAAACAGTTTCAAGCCGGCAGAGCTCCTCAAAGCCCTCGACACCTGTACTGGCCTGCGCTCTCTCAACATCATGTTCGCTGGCTTCAAGTCCATCCTCGGCAAGCTTCTCCCAGACGACCGCATCGACATGAACGAGCTCGGCAAGATCATCCGCATGAAGCTCACCAACCTCCGCGATCTCCGTCTCGACGACCGTGAACAGGACCCTCCAAAGCCTTACGTCTTACCTTCGCTGAGACGTGGCCCACCCTTGGAGAAGCTCGCCATCAACGAGGCTGCCCTCGGCTGCTACACCGGCCGCCGCATGCCCAGCATCCCACTCGCCGACATGCTCCCCAAATCTCTCCAATCCCTCGCCATCCTCCGCTCGAACCAATGGTGGCACGAAGCCGACCACGGTCCTCGCGGCAACGAGTTCATCGGCGACGATGGAGTGACGTACCGCTTCGACGCCATCCACGACAAGATCGTCGAATTCCTCCGCAGTCGCCATGAGAAGTGTCCCGAGCTGAAGGAGATCTATCTCGATACGCCGGCGAAGTTTGGGAGGAGTGTGAAGGCTTTCGGGTGGAAAATCGAGCGGGTCGTTGAGGCTGAGGTGCTGGAGAGACCGAGTGTTGTTGTGGACATGTTGGTTCCGCCGAAGGAGAAGAGGGAGTGGGAGAAGACGCAGGTTGAGCGGGGAAGGCTGCGATTCTGTTGAGACGTGTGGGATAAGGACGAGTGCGTGCTGGCTGATGTACTTGAGTCCTCGGCCATCAAGCTTGTCAAGGCAGACGAACAAACAGACTAGGTAATGATGATGTGTATTAGAACAGAGAGATATTTGAAGACGGTCATAGAAGCCGGTGTAGCCAACGATGTAGCCGGCGGCGTCGTAAGCAGGGAGTGTGATGTTAGAAGAACAATTAAAATATGTCAAGAACGATCGACGGCAATGATACTATGTCAAAATCATCGCTACATGGATCTCTAGACATTCTATACGCTGCAGAAATAAGGAAGAGACAATTGCTATGCTTAACATCACAATCCGTTGTGAATCAAAAACTATGGGCCAAGTCACAAGCGCCTGGAATTCTCGATGACTACAGGGACGGCTCTAGCAAATACCAGAAGAACACTCTGTCCAACATAGTTGGAAGACATTTTCTGGTGAGACTTTCTATAGGAGAAAGGAGAGGAGGGTCCAGCAACACAGGAAAGGTGCTGAAACCAGCTCACATAGTAAGGTTGGCATACATCGGTGTCCTCGGCCACCCTTTTCTCTGCAGCCAGCTGCCGAATAACGTTTCCGGAACGTTTTGAGTTCCCCAGCTTCCCAAACAGGCAGTTGTGCTTCGACGTCGTGGGCAATGTGCACACCAGCACCGGTAGTGTAAAAACCAGTTCAAAATCGCCAATCCTAATGAAATTCTACCATACCACGCAGAACTCATCATGGCCTCCTCTACAGTCGTCCACTCTCCCACCTTGTACGTCCCCAACGTCCCCGGAACAAGCAACGTCCGCTTCGCCGAGAATCGAATCATCAGCAATGCCAAACACACTGCCGTCTTCGACTATGTGACCACATGGGCCAACCTCCCGAAATGGCTCCCAGTTTCCGAAGTGGCCAAAGTCTGGAAAGGCAACGAAGATGCACCAGCGGAGATGGGCGATGTACTGTACGAGGAGATTAAGGATAAAACTCGTAGTCCGAAAGTGTATACAGTCGTGGTAAGCCCAAACAAATTCTATCAAAGAGCGTGGAGAATAGGTATTGACTTTGCCGTAAGGTCCTCATCCTAGGCCTTCTCTGGGTCGTCTCTGGCATTGACGAAGGCGAGACGGTTGTCAAGAGGACGGTGACATTTTTGACGGCTCCTCCGGACGATGGGAGAACGTTTTTCAGCCGTGTCTTCCAGGATGTCAGGCAATATGGGCCTGACTTGGACTCGACACGGCTTTCTGTGATGCAGCCTGCTGCAATACAGCCTGGGTTGAAGAGGCTGAAGGCTTTGGTGGAAGAAAGATGGGGAACATAAGAGCTAGCACCAGATCGGACCAAAGATACGGCTGCTATCCACTGATCAAGACCATTTTGGACTACATGTAGCGCCGTGAAACTGGTTCTTTTGACTCCAATATCGAGTGAATGGCACCACAGAGACTTCAAACTACGCCTGTTGTACACAAAAAGGTTTCTCAAGTCATCTCATCATCCTCCGCTAGCGTGAAGGGTATTCGCATGCTTGGCAAAGTAGTGGATATATCGGTAATGGAATCTTGGTGCCTAGCGATCCTGTCCCTATGATAGAGTCGGGTCCGTATGTCGTCCTTCATCTGGTTCGTCATCCTTTCGAGCATGGAATTCCCTTCTGCTTGCTCAGGTAAGCCTTGTATCGCTGACTGCAGTGGTGGATACCATTTGCGATATGCATTTCCATGTGGTGGCCTCATCGCAATGGTACGGTCACGTAAGGTCGTCCAGACGGCGCAGCAATAACATGGTGGTTTACTGCATGCTATGTATCTGTCGCCCGCGAAAGTCAGACGTTCTCGAGTGAAGTGCTCCAGTATTTTCATCTCTGCGTGCACCACTGGCTTTAGTCCCTTCTTTGGGGTGCTCTCGACGACCTTGGATCCGACCCGATCGCCTTCGGTACACCGTGCGAATGAGTTGTTGAGCCAGCCTTGGTTGAGATCCGGAAATGCACGTCGTAGGTGATCGATGTATGGTAGATTCTGTCCGCTAGGGAAACATGATGACGCTGGCTTGATTGACGGTACAACGTCCCATTTGACCGTGTCCAAGAAGAGCTGGTATTCTTTCTTCTGTGACGCACGAACAAGGCACTCAACTGCTTTGCACCATGAGCCCAAACGCCCAAGATAATGCCGGACTCTGGACCATTGCTCGCAGGATGGTGAGGGCTCTTTCGCAGACTCCCGGAGGATGGCGTAGTGGGCGTCTTTTCTGAAAGCGTACGCGGCCACTGATAGGCTATAATGGCACGCATGATGTCCCTCAACAAGTGTTTGAAGACTATTCCGGAGTAGTTCCACGGAGTCTACAATGATCAGCGTGGTTCAAGTGAGTAGCATAGTAAGGCTCACGTACCGCCCTCGTCGCACGTCTGCGTTGTTGTCTCATCTAAAGCGATCTCTAGCTGTCGTTTGTAGAACTTCACTTTGCTATAGCTTCGCTTCAGTACTTCAGCCAGGAAGTCCGACTTTGCGTTCGCCAAATCTTTTTGTTTCAGATTGCGTATGCGCTGTAGTTCACCCAAGGTCCATTTCAAGCTCTTCAGTTGTTGCCGTGACTTCGAGTTGCTTGCCAGCCAGATTTTCCGAGTGCCTGAATTGTGGTCGACGGCAAGGGAGACGACAGACTTCCCCCCAGGTTGAGTATCGCAGACCCAGCAGAGGTCGTTGAGGAATCTATGCCAGCCTCGATTAGTATCGCTCGATGCGGCACGGTAGAACGATTGTGCTCGTAGTGCAATGACAAGAACAAGACACGAATAGAACAGCTCCATGGGCGTGATCATCCTGGATGTACAGATGTTGCGATGATTTATGGCATGCGTGGAAAAGTAGGACAAAATTGTTTATTATGTGCACTCGAGCAACAGCCTGTGCCTCCTCGCAGGCGGAGTCACTGAGGTTTTTTGCCACATGAAACTGGCAACTCAGGACTTCTAACCGCTGTCTATTTTTGACTCAAGTTCAGCGGCTCATCATGGCTGATACTATGTTTCCGCTGCGACGAAGAGGAGAGAAAAGCATACTATCACAGCCCCCAAATGCTTGAAGCCAGTCACAGATTCTATTTCTGCTCTTCGTCTCCAAGTCCAAATGTTTCACACGCTCGCTGTGCGGCCTTTTGCGTTGCCTCGTGCATGGTGTTTCCTTTTCCTGAAAACTCCCTGTTCAGTGTTTGAAGAGTCGTCATCCACCGGCGCCCCTTTGCGAGCTTGTCGTTGATCTTGGTCGTGGACCTTTTGATAACGCCACCTTCTTGCTCGATGAACATCGTCAGCTCCCTGTAGTAGTCGACGCCTTTTGCTTCCACTCCCTTATCACGTCCTGGAGTACCAAACGTCCTGAACTCAATGTCCAAGTCGGCCTTGCTCCCAACAAGTTTAACAAAGTTGTCTCCTCCTGCACTCAGCGACTCCAGCAGCATGCTGACCGCAGGATTGTTTGGTTCCGGTGCTCGCATCAAGACATAGCCAAGAGCACACATGAAGGACTCGTAATCATCGCCCGTATTTGTCCTCAGGCCAGGGGGTATAGATGTCTCGAACGCTTGTACCATGCTCCCCAAGGCAGGCGTATACGGCCATTTCCTCGTTGATTCTGCCACCTTGACCTGTATCACGTCAGTACCTCGTCCGAGCCTCGAACCTGTTCATGACTTGCATCAACATCTATGAATGTCTCATCTGGACTTGCATCCCGCAGAATGCTGTATGTGAGAGCGAAATCCATGAACTTCTTTCCCAGCCAGTAATTCTTTGCTGCTTGTCCAGTGGTGAACCGAGTCTGAGACTCCTGGTCCAATTCGTCCAATGAGTCGTATTCGTCTATCGAGCTGAATTCGAGCTCGCTTTCAGCCGTATCGGCCGAGCGTGACATCGTTGTGGTTCTGAATGGTACAACGTTGGGACGAGAAACAGTGAATATGCAGGTGAGGATAGTTTGGACTGCCATAGGCTATATAAGCGGTCTGAGAGACTGAGATGGACTACCACATGATCACAGCGCTAGCCAACATCCAAGGCTAGCGCTTGGATGTGGAGGCGCAAAGGCGCTTAGGTACATTTTAAACCCAAGACGCATTTGAAACAAGTGTGCAGTCCGACACAGAACGAAGGTCTTACACTAAATCTGCTTATTGGCACACAAGGAACTATTATGACGCCAATGCTCCTCCGGGACACACCATTCCAACCATAGGTGGCGAACGCTCAGTGCAACTGGAAATGGCACAGTAAAGTTGATGGAGAGTTTCACAGAACATGAGATTATCTAGTCGAGGAACAAATGAACTCTGTGTGGCTAAAAGTCGCCCTGAACCTGCATGTATTCCTCGAAATCAAATAGCTCTTGAAGTTGGTCATCTTCACTTTGCACTGGCTCACAAATCACGGGACCGACAGTCCTTGCAGACGTTGGCTCATCGTGAATTGCCGAAGAGCCTGTGAGATGCTGGCGATACCAATCGATCAGATTTTTGCAGAGACCAGTATACTCGCGTGCCAGCGGCGCCAAATTTCCAGCTATTGCGTTTTGAAGAAATGCCTTGAAGTCTGGGCTGCTCTCGCTCTTGGGAAGATCCTTTGTCCAGCTGCTCTGCATATTAGTATTGTATCACTCCAATCGGCATGAGCACATACAAACTCTCCACAACTTCGTTCCCTAGCACAAATACTACACCACGACCGAGGTGTTTTCCAAGATTGTTGTATCGACTGCCTTTGGTCAACATTTCGTTGAAGACCTTCACCGGATCATGGTCGCCTGAGACTGATGGCGGCAGATAGATGTGGTAACCGAGCACGCTTGAATGCTCTCTTTGAGAAGCGCCGTGATGATCGAAGACGGCTAGACACAACATGCGCCTGGCAATGCGGGACTACATGTCCATACGCGTTGCTTGCAAGTAGAGCGCTACCATCTGCGCCTCGGGCGACAAGCTGGTCAAGGAGGAGTATGCAGTCGTCGGAGGGAGCCAAAATGATTGTGGATTCCGGCTCCATTCGGACTTCATCGTACGGACATATTCCACTGTTTCCGTGTCCGGACCCTTGTACTTTTCCAATCTTGAATTCGAGGCAGAAGTCTTGCGGAGCTTGGCTTCAATAGTGAATGATGAGCCCTTGAAAAGCTGAGGACGGGATTGTTTCAGCTGCCACAGTTCGTGCATGCGGTGACGAACAACTTCGCGATCCTAGATGAGGGTAAGCAGAGGCTCGACTCATGCCAATCAAGTCGAAGTACAAACCAAGTCATCATCGGCCACCAACATCTCATGGATGGAGTGAGCCATGTTGCGCGTGGACTTCAGCAATGCGAGGACATGCTTTCCTTATAGCATTCGGTTGCACAGAGTGAACCAGGGATATCGAGGCTGAGAGGCTGAGGCTGAGGCAGCATCCGCGCTAAAATTCTGGCCCGGAAAATTAGTGCGGCGCTAGACACGCGCCTGCATGTGCCTCGCCTCCTTGAGATACCGCGCGGTAAGTGCAACATCCCAAGTCGAAAAACGCTAAGTGAGAGCCAATGAATTTGACTCCCTGATCGAGCACATGCGAGGCCTATCAACTTGCCAGGCACCGGGATCCAAGGCCCGCCAGAGACATGTACATACATGGTGGCTCATACTGGGCGCTGCGCCCGGGACGCATATCTAAAGACCATGACGTGGATCAGCTGACGAGTTAAGGCAATGATAAGACCACCGCGTGAACACTGTACAACAAGTCGGCAAGGCGGAGTAAGTCGTGCGCGTGCGTCGTGTTCGCTAGATTCCCTTTGCACGTAGCTGCACTTCTCGCAATATAAATACCCACATCCGCTTCTGCATCAAGATTGATAGAGAGTACTCTCACTTCGATCTATCAGTTAACGCATCGGCTCATCCAAACAAGTTACAGCGCAGCACAAGTCCGGAACCAGCACCTTACTTCCCCTCACTTTCCTCACGATGACCATTCGAGATGCATCCCACCGAGGGATGGGAGATCCCTCGATGCTGGAAAAGATTGATTCCCTGTTTTCTTGTGGTGCCGGCGAGCGCATCAATATCCCACAAATCATCGTCGTGGGCGACCAGTCTTCTGGAAAAAGCAGTGTTTTGTCCGGACTCCTGAGGAAAGACCTCCCGAGAGACAGTGGACTCTGTACTCGCTTTGCTACGAAGATCGTTTTCCGAAGAGCCACTGAAGTTGGTGTCCGCATGTTCATCATCCCTGACGATAACGCATCGCCAGAGCATCGTGCACAGTTGGAAGTCTTCGGGGAGGTCAAGTACGACAGCCTCGATGACTTTGATCTGCAAGAGATTATGAGAGATGTAATTAGTTGTACCGCTATCATGAAATGCGCTGACGTGGACCAGGTACAACTGGCGATTGGTATTGCTGGCCCAAGTGAAGACAACACGACTAAGCCAACTTTCTCTGGGGATGTACTGCAACTCGAAATATCAGGCCCAGAGGAAGAGCACCTCAGCGTGATCGACGTTCCAGGCATCTTTAGAGACCACACTCCCGGCTTGACCACTAGAGACGATATCAAGTTTGTCAAAGACATGGTCTTGAAGTACATGGCCAACCACCGTTCGGTGATGCTGACCGTTGTCACGGCCAATGTCGACGTTGCCACACAAGAGATTTTGCAACTGGCCAACGAAGCTGATCCAGACGGTCACAGGACTCTTGGAGTGTTGACCAAGCCTGACCTAGTCGATCCCGGTGCCGAAAATCGGGTCATTGCCCTTGTGCAAGGAGTCGCTCGTCCAATGAAGCTGGGATGGCACATACTTCGCAATCCAGGACAGCTGGACATTGAAAACCATGCCTACGACCGGCGACGCCAAGAACAAGATTTCTTTCTAAAGTCGCCATGGAACTGCCTGGACGAGGATAGTTGGGGGATTGAGTCCCTCCGCTACCGGTTGAAGGAGGTGTTGTCGGGGCTCGTGAGGAGATCATTCATCGACGTAAGTATATGAATGTCTACAGACATGGTGCACCACTGCTAAATACCAACGAAGGTCAAGACTGATGTGCAAAGAGAATTGGACGTCACCGAGCAGAAGCTCATGGCCCTCGGGCCCGAGAGAAAAAGTCGCACAGCGAAAGCCGCTTTTCTCACAGAGCTCGCCACGAAGTTTCAGCAGCTGGTTGACTCTGGCCTCGCCGCTAACTTCGGGGCCAACCGTCTTTTCGAAGAACACAAAGCACTGAAAGTGGCACCTGCAGTAATCCTCCGTATGGAGCAGTTCAGGAACGACATGCTGCAATGGGGGAACATGTACATGTTCGAAACAACAAAAGATGCCCAAAGCAGCGACCATCAGACGAAGGCTATTGGACGTGGGACGAAAGACCTCAAAGTCAGAAAGCGAGCCAATTGTCACGATGGCTTGAAAGATCTACTTTGTGCTTCTGACGTGATCTCGCGCAGAGACGAGGACAAATCCACAACTGAATGGCTACATCAGCTGCATAAGGACAATCGAGGATTCGAGCTCGGCACTTTTGATCCCGTGATTCTGGCGTCGGCAATGAAGAAGCAGACCACAAATTGGAAGGTCATCAGCCACGGCTTCATCAGCGACATTATCACCATTATCCACAGCTTCATCGGCACAGCGTTGGCAGACCTTTGCCAAAACGATCGGCTCGAGGCTGAGCTATACAACATTGTCTTCGACGAGGCCATGACGAGATACAAGAGAGCCTTCGAACAGCTCAAATTCATCCTCACAGTCGAGCTGGATGGCACACCAATGACACAGGATCCCCACTTTTTGGACCGTTTGGACAAGAGGTAGGTGTAAGGCTAGCCGACTTGCATGACCATCAGCTAACCGTTCCCAGTCACGAGCACAGGTACCAGGAACGCTTTCACGAAAGCGCCATCGACGATACACGATACGGGCTGATCGTGAGACTGGACGAGATGTCGCTCAAACGATCAACGAGCAACGAGCAGCATGTCATCCGCGACATCCACGATATCCTGCACTCCTACTACGACGTGGCCAGGACGAGATTCATCGACAACGTCTGCAAGCAGGCCGCAGACTTTTTCTTGGTCAACGGTCCTGATACGCCGTTGCGGGTGCTGTCACCCGTGTTCGTCAGTCGCCTCACGGACGACAAGCTGGAGCAGATCGCTGGAGAGGAGGCTCAGGTGAGACGGCAGAGGGAGAAGCTTCAGAAGGACATAAACAGTCTCACGGAGGCTATGAGGATCTTGTCTTGAGCTGTACCACAATTCTCTGGGAAGCAATGCCTCGTTTCGTTCAGGATCCAGCGCAGGATGATACCGCCCGGGATGGAGAGACTGGGGGTCTGGCCGAGAAGGAATTTATCTTATAGTTGGACCATTTCGTTCGTGAGTAGCAGTCATAGAGTCTCAGCGTGGCTTTCAACACAGCTCCATGTTAATCCAGCCGAAGATCCCCAAGAACCTTTGTGCAAGGCTGATAATAGAAAGCGACGTCTGGACCGGATCTTCACGGAATATCGTTTTCCCGGCTAAATGCCAAGACGAAATGAAGGAAGCTCCTCAGCTTTGGGACCCTCCTTTCCAGCATCCAGAAGATTGAATACACACGTCAAATCCTGACAATTCATCGAGTAACCCGCACTGGAACGCCAGTGTTTCTGTGCTCTTGAAATGGCTTCGAATGCTTGACACCGCTGAGAAGCCCACGGTCGCAATCTGCCTCGAATACGTTCCATACCTACGTTTACTCTTCGAACGATCCAGCGATTCCGAACACTGCCAAGTATACCCAGTATACACCACTGGAGACGCCTGTAAAGTCCCGGTTGTAGAACGAATGGGGAATCTTGTACGATCTCACGATATTAGGGCGGTGCCAATCGCAGAGAACTTCCCCGAGATGCCTCGAGCGCTGCGGCGTGAAAAGACCCCAAGACGGTAGGTTATTGTATTCCATACATGAAAGGTAAGTCGAACAGAACCGAGAGTCGTATTTGAAGAGCCGGGGGGTTGGAAGAGAAGGAGAGACTGGAAAAAGATCATCTGAAGCCGTGGAGCATCGGGAGAGGAGAAGAAGGCCCAGAATTCAACATATCTGCGGCATGAACAAGCACGAGATGGAATAGCTGGAAGGATAAGGGGATATCAAGAGCAGGACATTCTGTTATGAAGTTGTTCGGGTACCACTACACCGCCCAAATACCCTCATCGTCATCGGCCCTTCAGCCGCTCACTCCGGACGGTCGGCGACTTGCCGAGTGTGCGAGCGACTTCGGCGACCCGAACCTCCCTTAATACCAGCACCCCATCCCGGACATCGTCACGCCCACAACACGACGAATGCACGCAAGATGAGTGCCACCGCCGCGGTCGATGCCCGGCCGAGCATAGCTGCTACCAAAGAGAAGACGGAGAAGGCGCTGATTCGATACCCGTTTTGGCTTGGAGGAGCTGGGAGCTGCACGTCGGCATGTATGCTCCATCCTCTGGATGTTGGTGAGAGGAGGGAGTGGTCTTGGCAGGCGGATACCGGCTGATATGTTCCAGTTAAGGTCAGGCTGCAGACACAGCGGAGGAGTGGAGTCCGGCTGGGGCTTGGGCAGATGTTTGTTCATGTGGTGAAGTCGGATGGTATTCTCGGACTGTACAGCGGAGTACGCATTCACTCGGATTGGACAATGTCGGTGGCAAGCTAATGAATGGCAGCTCACGGCATCCCTACTTCGACAATGCACATACGGCCTCACACGATTCGCTGTATACGGCAAGCTCAAAGAGACCTTCATCGCTGACAACCCCAAGCCCTCGTTCCCCTCCCTCCTGGCGATGGCATCTGTATCCGGACTGGTCGCAGGAATCGCAGGCAATCCAGCCGATCTTTTAAACGTCCGCATGCAAAACGACGGTGCCCTCCCACCCGAACAACGCCGACGCTACAAGCACGTCTTCGACGGCCTCTTCAGAATGATTAGAGAAGAAGGCGTTGGCAGTCTCTTCCGCGGCGTCTGGGCTCACAGCACCCGCGGCATCATCATGACAGCCTCCCAACTCGGCAGCTACGACTTCTTCAAGCAGCAGCTCATGGACAGACTATCAATGACAGACAGCATCCCAACGCATTTCTCGGCATCTCTCATGGCGGGCTTCACAGCTACGACGATTGCCAGCCCGGTTGATGTCATCAAGGTCCGGCTTATGAGCGCTACCACCAAGCAGAGTGCTCTTGCGATCGTGACGAGGATGACGGCGAATGAGGGTTTGAGGTGGATGTTCAAGGGTTGGGTGCCGAGTTTCATGCGACTTGGGCCGCATACGATTTTGACGTTCATCTTCTTCGAACAGTACCGGAAGGCGTACAGGAAGTTCTACGGATATGAGTAGGAAGATGAATGTGCCATTCCGCAGGGTTACATCTCACTTCTTAATTTGGCAAACTGGAAGGACTCGAACTGAGAGACTTTGACGATCGGTAAAGGCTCTCGTGAACTCATCATATCTATCATGTCTGACTTTTCACAGACTGCCACTCTACGTGGTATACCTGAAGTCACCCGGCGACACCGCACTCGCACCACCCAGGCCAACGACATCTCTCAGACCATTCTCGCCAGTAATACTGCCACGAGCGGCCCTCTCATCGAGCTTCCTATTCGCTCGTCTCAGCGTCAGACGCAAACCGTACATCATGATGATTCCCGCCAGGGCGAATCCTCCATTGATCGACATGGCCATGACATATCGAGGTGCCGCGGAGTCGGGGTAGATGTATGGAGTCCAGATCTGTGAAAATGTCAGCCTGGAAACTCTCTGCTATCGGCTTCAAGACTTACCTGAGCGATGTTACCGCATGCGTTGATGAATGCGATCGCGGCGGCACGCTTGATGCGAGGACGTAACAGAGTCTTCTGCGCCCACGCGGCGACGACGGTGTTGGCGCTGTGTCCGCCGACCATCAGAAGGATCATGGCAAAGTATCTGGCGCCTTTTTCGAGGGTCGAGGCGGAGATGATACCCGCGATGATCGATACTACCAACGGCCACATGGAGTGGAACGACGAGTTCCTCGTACGATCGGCAGACCAGTTGTTCAGCACAGATGTTATCAGACAGACCACGTATGGCGGCACCGTCAAAAGCAACGTATCGATCTTGTTGAATCCCAGCGTGGCCACAATGCTCGGCAAGAAGTTCTGCGTCGAAGTCGAGACGAACACGCACTGGTTGATGGCGCAGAAGGCGTACGTCCGCCAGTCGGTGAAGGCCATCTTGAATCCATCGGACCACGACTCCGCGACTTCATCGACTTGACCTGCGTCGCGGATGAGGCGCCATTCGGCCACGGCTCGCTCGTCGGCGGAGAGCCAGCGGGTGTTGGAGGGGAAGTCGGGGATGATGAAGATGGCGCAGAGGGCGATGAAGACGGTGATGGAGCCCTCACTGTATCCGAATCAGTCAGCGTTGTTGGTGATTCGGTTCGGGAGTGGTGACTTACATGATGAAGATCCATCTCCACGCCGGGATCCCCAGAGCGCCGTTTAGACCGCTTTCGATGCCTGCGCTGATCAGACCGGAGATGGCACCTTAAAGTCGTCAGCATGTCGTGCTATCGTCTCAGATCTCGGATACCAACCTCCAACCTGCAAACCACCATACAGAATCGCACACCTCACACCCAGCTCTTCACGCTTGTACCAAGAGCCTAGAAGAAAAAGACTGCCCGGATAGTACGCCGCTTCGACCAAGCCCAACAGAAATCTCACCCCCGTCAACCCGCCCGCGCTCTGTACAGCGCCCGTACACGCACTGAGCGTCCCCCACGCTGCCATGCACGCAGGCAGATACAACGACGGCCGGAGTTTGGTGAGAAATATGTTGGACGGGACTTGCATAAGCACATATCCAACGAAGAGAATCGACAGCGCGAGCGAGTACTGCGTCGAAGTGAGATGCAGATCGGCTTCCAGACCAGCAACTTTCGCAGCAGCGATGTTATTCTATCACGCAGCATCGTCAGCAAACTCTCCAACACCTCGAAGAACGACGAAAAAGGACAATACTGACTCTATCAAGATAATTCAATATATAAATAAACGTCAACATGCCCGTACACCGCACATCCAGCTTCCACTTGAGCTTCTTCTCGATGGAGCGGAACTCTTCCTCGGACATCATCTGTGCGGCCGCGACGCGGAGGTCGTGCACGGCGACATCTTGTTTCGTGAGGTCGTCGATGTCGTCGACCATCGTGGCGTCGAGGGCTTCTTTGTGGGAGGGGTCGCTGGGGAGGGGTTTCAGGGCGATGGGGGTGGCCATTTTGGGCGGTGGTGGTGATGGTGATGGTAGAGAGGCGAGCAAGATGGAGGATGTTGATGGTCTTGGCTACTCGACGGTCTGATCGCGAGTAGATGGAAGGACTCAGACAAAACAGAATCAGCAGAGCAAACTTTCCCGGACAAGGCTTGTATCTTATACAACTTCCACCGGTGCTGTGGGGTGCAGGATTAGAGGGGAAGTTTGGAGAAAGGTTTGCGTGGTGGTGTTTCCCATGGGCACACGGGCACGAGGCAGGTATCCAACATGTGGTTGTCTCGTGGTGCTTTTCGGACAAGTTCCTCGGGTTTCGTCCGGGTTGTGCATTGGACAGACGGGAAGGATTTTGGGGAGGCAGAATGTCGCATGCGGTTTTGATGATGCTGAGAATTGAGCGGGGGGCTGCGGCGAGAGGTCCAGAGACGAGTGTTTTGCCTACGTCGCTGTCGTTGTTGGCAAGAAAGTAGTCTATACCAGTCGACACGGAAAGAGTCTCGGCAACGAAGACGGACATGGATGACTACACACCCTCCAAACCCTCCTGACTGTACATCTACTTCTTCTGGTTCCTGTCTCACACTTACCTCTCTAGGAAGTACCGGCACCTCCGAAAACGCCACACCGTCTACATTGGGCGAGTTTGGAGTCCTTCGTACTAGCGGGAGGATCTGGAGGTCGGATGGATCCGATGGGAGGACGGATGGGGGAAGACGGAGCGGTTTTCGTGGACTTTGGTGGAGGGGCGCTGCTGTGGAGGGACGGATGAGATGGGTTGGGAGGTGGGTGTGGGAATGTGGAGGACGAGGGTCGAGCGTCGTTGGGTTGCTGTGAGGAGGGAGGTGAGTTCTTCCGTGGAGGATCTTGGAGCTGATCTTCTTTGCTGGTCAGCGGGTCTTCGTGGAATATATAATCAGTCTAGTGTTGGCGAGTGCTCTTTCCCCTGTTCTGCGGCCGACAAATCTCGAGTGGTTTGACAGTGTGGCTGTGTGCTTGCTGCACGTTGGCTCTCGAGCAGGCATGCAACTTGTCTGGACGGTTGCGATTTGTCTTGACGTTGGCGGTCATGGCAACGTCCGAGTATTGAGGTTAGCTCTCTGGTTCAATATTCTGAGTGGCCGGTCAAAGTAACAAGATCCGGAGAGTCGACAAGAAGTTCGTGAATGTTGGTGCTAATTTCGACTTTGAGCGCCGAACAAGAGTGCTGTATGTCGTCTCTATGGTGGTCTCGAAGATACGATCACTCTCACAGTTCGAGAATTCGGTACTCGACACACTCAAGCCTTAGTCGATGTAGGAAAGTCTCTTGGAGAAGTCTGGATTGAATTGCACTGCGGCAGGTTTCCCTCCACGGCGAGTGACCCTCCGCGATTCCTTCGCTGTCCAGAGCATTTCACGTAAACGAAACAGCGATGTCGGCAAGACTGAATCTGCTTCATATCAAAAGAACGATCATTCGATCTCCGAAGAGCCTCAGGATCCGGCGTGAGAGTCTACCTTCTCGCAGCCTAAGGAGCGGGTACCTCCGACTGGTGCTTGAAACCACGACGATATGCACCTGTTTGTATGCACCTGTTTGTATGCACCTGTTCGTATGCACCCGTTCGTCTCAAAAGAGTCATTGTCATCATGACGAAGGGAAAAATGGCAGAGAGTCGAGGCTCGCGTTTCATACGACCCGTCGTCATCCCTAGGAAAACGAAACCTTCGAGAAAAGAAACCTTCGAGAAAAGAAACCTTCGTACCAAGTGCTCAGCCTCTTTTCTCGAAGTTGGCGCCACGTGGAAAAGCTCTTGATCGGAAATTCTAGACTTCGCATCCGAATCGTGCCATGAATTCAGGTCTTGATGAGTTTGACTCGGGGTGGAATGATCATGATACGCGGCGCACAAGGCTATCCCCAGACAGACTGACCGGCACCCCGGATTCACACGAGGGACGATTGTCATGCACCCCGGAGATCCGCGCACATCACAGATCACCGCAGGCCGCGTGACGTGACTCGCGACAGCACAGCCTTGATGAGCTTAACTCTTCTCATCACGGAGACGGCCCAACAACCTCAAAGTTCGCACGGAAGTGAGCTGAGCGTGGAACCTTCGGCTTCGGATGTAGGGTTCAACCCGGTAAGTTGTCGTTCCTACAGCCTTGTGCCTGCGTCGGTCGTTGCAGCGGCTTTGGAGAATGCCTGTCGTCCACCTGGCTAGTACTTGATACCCTGGAGGTACAATCTCAAACTAAGACCATGCTTTGGTCTAAAATTGCGAACTGCACTCGCAAGACATCGTATCCTCTGACAGGTTGACGTCAGGCATTTCGTCTGAGTTTTCGAGGAGGAGGCATTATATATGTCGTACTGATCGAAGGCATTTGTTTCTCATCTAGCATCACATCAACGACTGTCCAGAATCAAAAACGACACTCCCACCTAAGCAAAGCATTCGTCACACTTCTACAACCCACCGTCACAAAAACACCAACAATGTGGTCCTCGATCCCAGTCATCTCCCTCATGGCCCTCGCTGGCTCCGTTGTCGCACAGCAAGGCGACATCCTCTACGGCCAACAGTGTTGCTACGACGGCTGGCAGCACTGTCAGGACCAAGGATCGTGGGGCTGCATTCAGATCGACGGCGGTGGCCCGAACTGTGTCAATCAGACGCCTAACTGCGATTGGGCCTGTGTGTCGGGCTATGCGTATCAGAAGGATCGGTAAGTGACAACGAAAGCTTTCTCGAAGTTGAGCCCGCAGTGTTCTCGTTCTGCTTTTGAAGAACTCTCAGCTAAAAATTGCTTCCCAGGTCTACCGATCCCCGTTGCATCTGCCCCGGCTTCCAGGATGCCAATCAGCCACTGGGCTACTGCTAGAAAGTCGACGAAGAAGATGAAGTCCCTTCAGGGCTCCGGCCAGTTGTTTCCCGGGGACCCAGTGGACAATCACACTGCGTGTGGGGAGCTTGGAAGATGTAATATAGCGCACAGTATCTGGATATTACTGCTTCTCCAACACATGTTTCTCACTTGACTCACTGTAGCTTCTTTACATCGAGCTAGCCTGCGAACTGGGCGATTGACATTGTCGAAATCTTTGCAGCAGTGATGCGGACTGCGTCTGGTTGACACCCCGCCTAGTATCCATGGTCATACAGACATCGTGTGAATTACTGAAAGGCGCAGCGATCAGGTACTGCTGAAGAGCATTCGACAAAAAGAAGAATGGGTGCCAACATACGAACACGCCGCCGTTACCAACGAAGTACGAACACGAGGCGCAAACATCCAGTGCACCCGACTTTAAGCAACGTCAGTGTCACGATATCAGAAACTGTGAAACAGACTATACATGCTGGCGTTAGCAAGTCTTTCCTTGATTACGACTTTCGCGTTGATGGTAGCGCCGACAGGCGACTGAGCGTATAGCCGCACCTTTGAAAGCCCGATGCCGAGCAGAGCCTGATTGAGGACCGCTGTACGCTAGAGCCTCACTCGTCTCGATGGCATCGGGGCATCTGTCCAAGACAGGCATAATTCAGCGAATATAAAGCATTGTTGTGTATATGGTCGGCGTTCAAGCCCAGCAACGTGCAGCAGGGATATCCCACGGTCTAACAATCAGTTCCACTTCACTTCGAAAGCGCGCAGATGGCTTCCAATGCTCCGCAGCGATGCTGCTATACCGGTGTCAAACACGAGGGCGAGGCGAAAGGGAGGCTTGAGAAGGTTGGAGGCAGTAAGTAATGCGGCGGTAAAAACAGAAATCGTGGAACTTCTTTGCTGATATAGGAGTGTGCTACTTCTAGTCGAGTCGTACATCGCGGAGCCAGAAAGCAAGCAGACCGATACTGCTGTCCTCCTCTTGACGGACATTCTCGGACACAAGTTCAACAACATCCAGCTCATAGCTGATCGATTCGCCGAGAATGGCTACTTTGTTGTCATGCCCGATCTATTCGTACGACTCATCTGAGCACCAACACCTCTCTCATTCGCTAATCTGCCCCTGACAGGAAGGCGATCCAGTCCCACTGAACTCGATGCACGACGGCGAGGCCATCGGAAAATGGTTCCGAAGCGGCGGCCCAAGTGGTGGGCACACTACCGTACAAGTCGACCCCATCGTCGAAGCCGTCATCAAAGGCATGAAGTCTCATTACAACGTCAAGAAGATCGGGTCCGTAGGATACTGCTTCGGCGCGAAATATGTCGCTCGCTACTCAGCGCCCGGCAAAGGCATCGACGTCGCCGCCTTCGCTCATCCATCTTTCGTCGATGCTGAGGAGCTCAAGGCCATGGCTGCTTCTTTGGCCATCGCCGCTGCGGAGACGGATCACATCTTCCCGCCGGAGAAGAGGCGCGAGTCGGAGGATATCTTGAAGGAGATGAAGACACCGTATCAGATGACGTTGTACTCGGATGTCGAGCATGGGTTTGCGGTCAGGGCAGATTTGAACAAGCCGGAGGTGAAGTTTGCGAAGGAGGCGGCGTTTTTGCAGTGCGTGCAGTGGTTTGATGAGTTTCTGAAGAGCAAGTGAGGGAAAAGTCTGCGTATAACTAGAAGAGTCTTGAGAAGCTCAGAAGCTCTCCACTTGTTCAATCACTGTGCATGACATCACTGTATGCGTAGAGTCGGACATCATATCTGGACTTGAACTCGAAACATGAAACTGCGTTTGTTGAGTACCTGGTCTTACTTTCAACAAGGCCCTGTTACGATTGGTTTCACGCAGCGTGCGATCATTTTGTAGCCCTGACGTATGGTATTATTGTCACAAGCTAATGACGGTGCAAAAGATACGACTTTTCTCGGATCGTTCTGGGATTTGCTTCTGTGATGCCTTGGTCCGGTCTTTATGCTCGTTAGTGGGAGACATCGCTATTCGTCAGGCCAGATGTGGCAGCCGAGTGGCAGACAGATGGCCCTGCCTAGAAACCAAACTCCAAGCGTATACTTCCTAGGTTAACTTCAAATATTGGTTGGAACTGTCTGGTGCCGCAAGCTGAGGTTGAAGGCTAGCATTACAAAAAGCAGCCTGCGATTAATTTGAACCAGGTATGTGTACGTCACAAACCCGAGAGAGATTCTATCTATACACGTATACTCCTACGCTGAAGCCACCCCAGCGTTTTGGCGAGGCACACGTCCAAGTCGTTCTACAGGTGTGCTGTCCTTCTATTATCGAACCAAATCCTCAATCTTTCGGCACGGGAGCGAACTTCGACATCCTTCTCAGTTGAGGCCCGTACTTCATGAAGATTAGCCTGTACCAATCGTTAGTCAACCTCGTTCGAGTTGTAGATCCAGGGCAATTGCTTACGGCATTGGTAGTCCAAGACAAGACAGCGCGCCGAGCACACTGCAGGCAGGGCCGACTCCCATGTTTCTGAACATCGGTCCTGCAGCCAAAGGCAGCCCACAAGCGAGCAGAGATCGGAGGAACGTATTCGCGGATGTGGCGGATGCCGCATACATCGCATAGGTCTTGGATGATCGTTAGCTTGCATTTTGCTCAGGATATTATGGGAGATCTTACGTCTATCAGAAAGTGCATGCACTGCTGGAAGATGATGTTGAAGCCGGCGCCGATGAAACCTAGAAGGACAATGTCAGTATGGACCTCGATGGAGACTGAGATGACTGACCTGCTGCAACGGTTGGAATAGCCCAGTGATACTTCGGCGCAGCTGTCCACCCAAACCAGAACAGCCCAGCCGTGAAGAAGATGCCGCCAATAATCATCGGAGGCAGTCGGGCCTCTGGTGCCGCTCGATCTTTGTTCTTGGCAACAGCCTTCGCGTAGAAGCCTTGATTCGCCAAGTTGATCCCCATAGCTGACAAGATCCCCACGAATAGCCCAAGAAACGGCAAAGTCGAAACTACCGGCCCAAATCCCCTCTCTTCTCTAAACACGATCGGGGAAACTTCGAGCGTCATGTAAAGCAGCCCGTATACGAATGAGGCGTAGAACGCTATGCACGCAACCATTGGCTCCGTAAACAGCATCTGCAATGGCCGACTGAAGTATTTCGTGATCATGTTGCTCGGTCGTATCCGCTCTTGCTCGTGCGGGTGCCAGTATCGATTGTCGCCAGTCTCGGCTCGTAGACGTTTCGCTTTACGTTTGAGGAGTGCGGGCTTGTAGAGCTCAGGGAGGGCGAAGAAAGTGAGCACAACCATGGAGAAGGCGAAGATGGCTGATATGTATTCGGTCCTTGCGATAGCAAGTTAGCGTGGCTTCATTGCCGCTGTTCACAGAGCATTACATCTCCATCCCAGGTGTGGATTGTTCGTGAGGGCGCTGCCAATGACTGGACCAAGTGTCGGCCCTGCAGTGATTATTAGCATCTCTCGTATCCATAATACTACAGGATGAGACTTACCGCCTACTGTCATGACCGCGAAGAATGTGATAGCAATCCCTCGTACCTTCGGCTCGTATATGTCCCCCAGCGACGCGCCGACATTGCTGACAGGGGCAGACCCAAACACTCCAGCTGTGTGGACAAAATCATCAGCCTGTATCCTCACGAAGCTCTGGGTCATCCTCTAGCTGTCACGTACCGAAGAATCGAGTGATTATGATGATCTGCAGATTCCTGCTAACCGCAGTTCCGATCGTAAACAGCCCCATCACAGTGATCGCAGGAAGCATACTCCATTTCCGTCCGTACACCTCTGAGATTGGGGCCCACATGAGAGGACCAACTGCGAAGCCCAGAACGAAGAGCGACACGGTCAGGACTGTGACTTCCTGACTTACACCGAACTTCGCTGCAATGACAGTCTCAGCAGGCGAAATGATCGAACTCGCTAGAGATGCGCAGAGGGCCATGAAGCCAAGCTGGACGGTGATGAATGCTTTGCAGTATGGTGACCAGTTCATTGGGTTCTCCGGGTCGTTATCTTCGAAATCAACAAGGTATGCTGGATCTTGCTCTTTCGAGGCATGTTGATTATGCGTCTCTGGAAGACCCTCGTCCGACTCCTTGTCATCAGGGCGCGTTGTCTGATCGTGATCGTGCTCTCCTGCCTCCTGTTTCTCAAGCGAGTCGTCCATGTCGTCTGATCGTTGGCTCTCCATGACTAGACCAGACCATTGCCTCGGAGACCGGGACCGAGTCGATAAAATCGAGAATGCCCCTGTTGACGACGCCCATAGTATCGTCACGTGGCCGGGCATTCGGCTCACCGCCAATGTCGTTGTGGCTAACCCATAGTGCCGAGAACGTTCAAATCTCGGGTCTCGCTATCCAACTCGGCCGAGCTGAAGCAGCCCTCCATATTAGACCTAACTGAAGGATCCGGCTGATCTTTCAGGCTGCGTTCAAGATTTTGGGAGCCCTGTTTAGGGCTCAGCCTCACCATTGCCAGATGAGTGACATTCTGTGCTGGAGGAAGCTTCAACTCTGACCGCACATATCTACAAGTTAGTCCCAACGGTGCAATGGACGTCCGTGTCGGAAAGCGCCAGGATGCCGACTTGGTAATCGTGATGCGCTCCTCGAAGAACAATTCATCCGAGAAGACTGAACAGGTCGCCGTGGTTCGAACGTTCAATTTCGTTAAAGCGCAGACTTCACGATCTTCACAAACAGTCAAGCACCTCAGACAGCGGTATTAGCGGCAATTCTCAGCACAATGTCCTCGTTGAAGCCCCTGAAGCTCTACCATAAAGGAGCCGTACGTAGAGGACGTACGAAGCTGCGAAACGAACATCACTAATTTCGGCAAGGCCCCAACCCATGGAAAGTTGTCGCCATTCTCGAGGAGCTGGATCTCCCGTATGAGCTTGTCAAAGTCGAGGATATCAAAGGCAAAGAGTACTTGGCCATCAATCCTAATGGTAGAGTGCCTGCACTAGTGGATCCGAATACAAGTGTTACGACGTGGGAGGTACAGAATGTGCAAGAGTGACATATGAGAGTCTTTTGGCTGACAGTGGATAGTCTGGCTCAAAGATCGACCATTTCATCGAGACGTACGACCAAGATCACAAGATCTCATTTGGCACCTCGCCCGAGAAGTTCTTGGCTCGCAATTGGGCGCATTTCCAAATGAGTGGCCAAGGTCCCTACTTCGGGCAGAAGGCTTGGTTCAGCAGGGTAAGTACGATGCCACCCATATGCACAGGTCTTGTCTGATGAAATCGATAGTACCATCCGGAGACAGTGCAATCCGCGATCGATCGCTACGGCAACGAGATCGAACGTATTCTCGGAGTCATCGAGTTGCATCTTGCAACCACTGGACAGCAATATCTGGTCGGCAATAGAGTGTCATACGCAGATCTCATGTTTGTCTCTTGGAATGATCTGCTTCCACTACTCAAGGGTGCGGACTTTGACTACAAGGGGAAATTCCCCAAGACCTTCGAGTGGAATGAGAGACTGGCTACTAGAGAGAGCGTACAGAAGACGAGAGCGGGGAAGAGCAAGGCCATGGCTGCTTAGATATGGGTCAATGTAGTCCTTATGGCAAAGACCGTTAGCGGCAATGTAGCTCACTAAATACTTGCTGTTTGCACTGTGTAACCTTCATATCGGCGTCGGCCTCCTAGTAAATTCAGTGTTGCGATCCGGGTAGACACGATCAAACGAGTTTTCGATTCTGAAACTATGGAGGCCTGCATGTTTGGGACTCACGTCGTCCTACAGGTAGTGGAAGGGGATGCTCTCCCAAATGCTCTTGTAACCAGTGTTGCCGGCACAGTACACGCTCTCGAAAAGAGCAGGACCCATTGAACATGGATCCTCATGCTATGTTGAGCAGGGTTGCCAGTAAGTTTCATTCCAATCTAATGCTAGTTACGAACATACTTGTGTGCCGGCATTGGTACAAATTCTACAGCAAACAGTGTGGGCTGTCTCGAAGAGGCACAGGATCTGACAGGATTTTTTTCGATACTCAAAACCCTCTCTGTAAGACTTGCGTCAGGAACGGGATGAATGCGCGAGGGTGACTATACCTATATTCTGTCAAGGGCGCTCGATTTGCTTTCATGGTATTGCCGTCCTGCGAGAATTTCGAACTCGCACTTTCAAGAGGCCGAGACCGAGGCTTCGAACGTTCAGCCGGGACAATATTTGTCCTCTTACTAAGACTCATTCCTGCAGACGGTTCAAACGTAAATCGAAAAGGAGAGTCAGCTCAGAGTCAGCTTGGTTTTCGCAGTCAGATAAATACGGAAGCGAAGTACATTCAATGCCGCAAGCAAAACAGAACCCCTCCTCACGTTCTTCATGACCGCAGCTTTCGAAACGACCAATATGACGCACATCCTCATCATCGGCATCAAGCCAGGCTGGTTCAGCGAAGCAGGCAAGAAAGGCTACAACATGGGCGAATCCCGATCGCAGTCCCAGGTCGAAGCGAGTGTGAAAAAACTACAGGAGGACTTACGGTCGCTCAAGAACACAACAGTCGAAACCTTACAAGTTCTTCCTGGCGAGGATGGTGACTGGGAGAAGCTGGTGGAGGCGTTGCAGAAGAGGCATTGGGATGGGATATCGTTCGGTGGAGGACTGAGGAGACATCCTGATCTCGGCGACTACTTCACACAAGCGATTCAGATGGCTATGCAAGAGAATCCGGGGGCGAAGTTTCTGTTCCCGTTGGTGCCGGATGAGGTGTATCCTGCTATTAAGGAATATATCCCACAGGCGGTGTAACGTGCGAAGAGAGTTCGCTTCAAAAATGCAGGTGTTGGTTGATATGACGAAGGCGCAATGGCGGTTCAGATGATGCTGATACTGTCATATCGGGACATGAACGAAAGAGATCAAGGAAAGGACGACCGCAAGTCGGAAGCCGTGACAACGACAAGCATTTGGGAGAAGAGTTTGAGTATGTAATGTAGATGTCCTCGAACAACACTTTGTACGACTGAGACGACCCCGTTCTTGTACTTGCGCCTTTACGATGCCGCCCCTATCAACACCATTCACGATTCTGATCAACAATTGCAGCTCATCTTGGGCGAAGATGCACCATCGGTCCATCTCTTAACGCAACAAAGGCATCATAAGTCTGATACTGATCCGGATTCTGCCGTCCAATCCTTCCATCTGCAGCTCCACCCCCAAGATTGTCTTTTGGGTCTTGAATAACCTCATACTTGTACACCAGCTTTGAGATTACCAGCATCATCTCCAGCCACGCCAGGTTCTTTCCAACACAACCACGAGAACCTGCAAGGAATGAACAGAAGCCCTGCTCCTGGATCGCTAGCCTCTCAGGTGAGCTATGCTCAGGCAACCAGCGCTCAGGTCGGAAGGCAAACGGCTCAGGGAACACATCATCGCTGTAGCTAAGGCGATAGCAACTGATGCTGAGCTTTGTCCCTTCCGGGAAGTACTGGCCGTCGATGATCGTGCCTCCCGACAGGACTTGACGTGCTGGATCAGCCCCGACGGGAGGTGCCATGCGGCAGGCTTCTTGAATGAAAGCCTTCAAGTATCGACAAGAGTGGATTTGGCTACCGCCGCGAATCTCATTGTAGGCGTTGAAGGTTGACAAGATCTCGTCCGCCAGCCTCGTCTGGACGTCGGGGTTCTTGGCCAGATAGAATATCATCGCAGACATGACGATCGACGTAGTGTCCGATCCAGCAACAATCAGCAGCTCACATTCGCCGTAGAGCTCGTTCAGATCATAGCCGGTTCCAGTCTCCGGGTCTTTGGCGTCGAAGAGGTAGTAGAAGAAATCTTTCCTGACCTCAGATTCTGGCTTAATCAACGCTCTGTTCTCGTGTTCTACCTTGGTCCTCTTCTCAAGACACGAGGCAACGAACTTCTCCCAGTTGGTGACAGCTGGTGGCGAAACGTAGCCCAGAATCTTATCGAGGCCTCGTGGCTTGGCCCAGACCCACCACTCTGCCAAAGGTGAGAATGCTATCTGAATGAATGTCAGCAACATGTAGCGAGATACAAGCGTCATGCAATCTTACGGGGTGAAACAGCTGAAGAAATGTAGCAAGCACTTCGGGCACATAACGCATCTCACTCCCAGGCTCGATCATTCCAAACGACTGGCCGAAGCACAGGTCTCCCAGAATGTCGAACACAAGGTAATTGATCTCGTGAGCCATGTTGATAGAGGTTGTACCAGTCTTCCCTTGATCTCCCAACAAATCCAACCAGCGATCCACATTGTCATGAATGAAGATTTCAGCTGACTTCAACGCCTTCTCCGAGAACGCCTGGTTCATCACCCGTCGCTTCCTGGCATGCGCCGGAATATCTGTGACATTCCAAGTACTCGTGACCTCAGCAGTCCTTGGCCAGACTCTGTAGTAGTCACTCTTTCGCACGTTGCCTTTCGGTCCAAATATTGATCTGAAAGCCGTGGGAGTGTTGATGAGTACTGCATCAGGCCGATACCGGAAAGTGTCGCCGTATTGTTGTTGCAGACGCCAGAGCCAGATGTGACGATCTTGTTTGAGGGTGTGCCAGTAGGATGGGAACGTGCTGATTCTAGCGAAGAGTGGCCCGGGATATTTGGCGAGTGGATGGAAGTAGAGCCGATAGATAATTGTGGAGACCACATAGGCTAGGATGAGCGAGGACGCCGTGGCTGCCAAGCTGAGGTACGAAAACCAGCCTGAAACAGAATCCATAGCCACGAGGTTCTATGGGATGGGCAGAAAGCAAAGACAAATTCGGAAACTGTCTCGTTTACATATGCCACAATGCAGGCATGTACGTCGCTTGCACAACGCGAAGGCCGAATTTGGAAAGGCAGCCGTCCAATCACGGGCTCGCCATTGGTGTAAGTGAATGCCGCGGTGTCCCCAAGGCACAGGATATCTATTACCCTGCTTAGCTCTTGTCAATCAGATGGAGATGTCCTGATTTATTGAGATAGTTCTGATCCTATTTGTTCATGACCACTCCAGCGATAGCAATATTCTGGAGAAACAACTGCAAACTTCCATCAGAGACGAGGTAACGAGCGCTGAAGACCATTCGCTTCAAACAATGTTCAAGACTCCTCGCTCGATAGGTCTAGAAAAAGCTACACAAAACCGACGAGTACAGATCACATGAAATTCCAACCGCGAGCCAAACAGCAACTACCTACATCCTCAAACTCTGCCCCCAGCGAACCTCTAAATCTTCAATGTATGATTTCCGCCACCAACTTCTAACCGGTGCGTCCGTTGGGGCAGACTTTGTTCGACCAAGCCTGCTGAAAATTATGGGCCAAGCAGTTGATGACATCCTGTCCAACAGGCCCAATCGCCTGACTGACATCGACCACCGTCTTCTTTTCGGTATCATTGTAGTAGATCTGCACGTTCTGGACGTCGTCGTAGGCCTGACCGCAGCCTGCCACATCCCAAAGTCAGTATGACTGTCTTCTGTGAAAGAAGACCATTTCTGCACTTACGATCGTCACTATCGTTGTCAATGCCGCCCCAGACATCGTGGGCCGCGGCGAGGATCTTGTTGTTGTCGCCGCCCAGCTGGTCGGTGCTGAAGGCGATTCGGTAGCGCTGCCATCCGGATTCCCACCAGTTGTAGAGGATAGAGGCGTCGGCGAGGCAGACGTCGCGTTTAGTGAAGAGTTCGCTATCGACAGGGGCTGGAGTTGTAACCGGGGCGGCGAGAGCTGCGCTGCAGAGGGCAGCCAGGGAGATGATTGTAGTCCTCATGGTGATAATGTGGTTGCAAGTATTGGGTTTGTGGGCCTTTGAGGTGTTTGGAAAGATTCTGGACTCGGAGAAGCTGTCTTTTATGATGTTCGAGAAACGGTGACAGAGAACCGGGCTAGTCTTATACTCGGGACAAACACATTTCACAATCTAGGTCCTAGTATCTTGCTTCTGCTGCTTCGCCTCGACCGTCCTCTTGGTAGGCATAGGGCGGCATCCTAAGCTACCATGACAGGCATGTCACGATCCTCATCTGTGTTGGTTCTTGCCGTGTCAGATTTTCAGCCTCGTGTCCTAACATAGCGGCAGAACCAAACTTCCAGTTCACGAAGCTGGAAGAGCGCTAAGCAAAGCCCCTTCACTAAAGCATTCGTGAATATCAACATTTCTCATTGGATGGCAGAACGCTTTAGTAATTCGCGAAGATGTCAGCGTAGGGTTGCCCAGCGGGATTTGGCCAGCCGGAAGCCAGGAGTCAGCTGGTAGCGAGGATTGATAAGTTGAAGCACAAGCGAACATTCAACCAAAACGACATTAAAATCTTCAGCGCCTCAAAATAGAGGCGACTTTGTTCATTGAAATGGATGTGGTAACATGCGTCTTACTGTAAACCAACATGGGATTTATCGCCCCTTCGAATTGTAGGACATGGCTGGAGCCAAGAATAACTCACCACGAGATCGTCTTCAAAGACATCTGCAAAACACTGATATATAGACCTTGAAGATCTCTGATTGCAAGTGTGTTCCCAACAGCATCCACCCTCACCTTCAACAACAACTACACTTTCCATCAGCGACGATACCATACCCCACAGCGAGCCTCTGCAAAACGATTTAAGATGAAGTACGAGATCCTCGCCTCCCTGTTCCTCGCCAGCATCTCCTACGCAGCTCCCGCTCTCGAGCGAAGAGGCTGTGCAGCAGATGCCAGCTGGGGCAACGACTGGCAAGAAACCGGCCTCCACCGCCGACAAGTGCTCTACAGCGCGTCCAACAGTCCCATCTGCAACGGCATCGGAGCCGACGGAGCGGACCACATGCTTCAAGCCGGCAATGTCTGGGGCGGAGCGGTCTCCAGTAGGATATCTGTAGAGCCTAAACAAACTGAGATGAATGCTGATCCTCGATAGCCTGTGCTGCATTGAATCGAAACCAGCAGAACTATTGGGACCCTGATCAGCACAGCTATGTTATTGACTCATCTGAGGTCTGGGGTATTGGCGGTGATGATGTTGCTCAGTGCATGATCCAGCAGTTTCAGAAGGCTTGGGGTGATCATTGCTGCCGTACTGCTTAATGGTACCAACTCGTCAGTCATGTTGTGCGAGCAGGAGGTTGGCGTTTTCTCTAGAGTACTTATTTCTCGTTTGACTTGAATTTAAGTTTCTGGGTACGTGTCTTAATGAACTGTAGTTCATCACTTCTCAAACCCAGCTACAATGGACACACTGACCCGCTCTGGGACGGTCCCATTCTCTTTCACCACTAGTGCAGCGATCATTTCAACACATTCCGCTGAGTATCTCCCGAGTATAGACGAGAACTCCAATCGAAGAGTAAGCACAAGATGCTGCAGTGGCGACATAGACCAGGAGCAAGGCTTCGTCCTGGTCGCCCATCACATGTATCTCGCAATCCGCGGAGGCCTGTCAGCTCTGAGAAGGATTCTGACATCTTCAATGCGCGGCAGGCGGCGGGAAGAAAAGCTGACGTCGATCGCAATTTCATTCGGATGCTTTGGCCAGACATAGGTGACACATGGAACTTGGTGGGTAAGCTCGACCTCATGGCAGCTTACATTTACGAGAGCAAACAGACTATAATCATGAGTAGAGCCCTACTGCCTTATACCTTTCCCTGGACCCTTGAAGGAAGCCCTTGCATAGAGCATCGCCCTGCACGTATCGCAGGAAGGATGCAAAGGCGATCGTACACACTGTACTAAAAAGCCGTTCGTTGTGTAAAGTCTATCACACGGGGGCGACACTGCGGCTTTGTATAAGTAGGGCCAGCAAAGAAACAAATTCGAGGCGGCTGACAGAGTTTGAATCTGTGGAGGTGGCTGAGGCAGAGATCGTACAGTGAGGCATTGCACCATACTACGGCTACAACGCGCGGGCTCCGGCTCGTAGAGTATACCATTGTAGGTAGGAGCTAAGCCCGTTCCTGACACCGGATCAGCCTCGCTCCCATGTTTCTGCCTTTCCAGGCGGTGCTTGCGATTCAAGCCGTGCGCGAGTGCGAAAAATCAGGCACTGAGATTACTGGCGGGTGGCCCGCATGCTGGACTGGCTATCTAAACGCGTGCTCGCGCTACGATTGCGATTACTTCGAATTCGCGTCATGGCGATTGGACGTTCCACGAAAGACCATGCGGCGGTGCAGTGCACTGAACGGACTGCCCTTCGGCGCCGAAGTGCGTTGTTCGTGATTTTTGGTATAAGTTCGCTGCCTTGTCGCCCATGCTTGGCTCCGGACTGAGCTCAAGAACAGCACAGAAGTCAACACGATGTCCTCCGAAACCCTCGTCAACTCCTCCGGCAGCCTGAACGTGGCTCCTAGCATCAACCCACAGAAGCGCAAAAGGAGAGCACAACCACAAGCTGTCGAGCGATGCACAGCGAATGAAATGGTGAGAATCTCGCCATCGCCCACGTTCTTGGACTGGGCACACCAAACACCCAGCAACAAGTCTATTCGAAAGAGTATATCTTCTTCCTCCCTCTCATCCGGTGCAAAGTCAGGTCGATCTTCGGCGCAATGGGACACGGAGACTTCTTTCGTCCGCGGCGGCAGCTATACGCTGCAGGACACCGCGGCGCTCGACACGATCGAGTCGCTTTTGCTGCAATACGGCACTGCGTCTCACATGGGTGCAAGGGACTGGAGCTACTCGTTTTACATCAACGGCAGTCAAACAGGTGCCCTCATCTACAAAGTACTGGATAAAGTGGCCATGATCTCGGGAGATCCACTGTGTCCGCCGGATCAATACCTCAGCTTTATCCGAGAGTTTCAAGCACATTGCAAGAAGCAACACCTAGGCGTCGCCATGGTCGCGGCCAGCGACAACATGAGCAAGATCGCTCACCAGCACAAGTGGATGTCCATACACTTTGGCACCGAGAAAGTTCTGAATCCCTGCACCAACCCAATGCTTCTCGGACGCAGCGGAAATAGGACTGTGGCAAAATGCAGGCAGCTGGTGAAACAAGGGACAACCGTGGACATATACTGTCCCGCTGAACAGTACGACGCAGCCATTGAGAAAGAGCTAGTGCGAATCTACAAAGACTGGCGTGCAGCGCGGAACGCAGAGAGCGGGGCGACGAACGCGTTCATGACTGTATACGACATCTTATCACTGCCTCGTCTGATGGCGTTTGTCTACTCGAAAGACGCCAGCGGCAATATCAACGGCTTCGCAGCTCTGCGCAAGCTCGGGCAAGGCTACCACGTGGATCCGTTCATAGCAGCAGCCGACGCACCGAAAGGCACCTCCGATCTCCTGTTGTACGCAACCATGGCGCTGGCCAAAGAGACGGGGATCACAAAACTGAGTCTCGGGTTCGAAGTCGTTCCAGAGCTAGAGGACATGGAGCGAGTACCCAAAGTCTTGCACGGCGTCATCAAGAAAACGCATCGTCGAATCTTTGGACAACTGCATTTAGGAGGCAAGAAGACCTTCTTCGACCGTTTCCATCCCGATGAGCAGCAGGATGCTGGACTGTGGATTCTGTATCCACAACGACCCAGCTTGAAGCATATGCTTGCGACGATGCACTTTGCAAATATTCGGGTGCGGACTGTGATAAGTTAGGTTTGCAGAGGGCGAGAAGAAGAGTCGCGATGGTTTCATTTGCATTCTGCATCTTGTGTGTTCTGCATTGTGTGCGTTCTGGGCAAGCTAGGCGTCATTGTGGTGGCTTTTGACGGTGTTCTCTTGGTTTGCCTTTCCTATGTATATGTATGTATGCGTATGTACCGTTCGATGTATAATGAAGTGACATACTTAGCCTGGCCAAGCTCGACTTTGTATGATGCCATTCTCTTTGAAACATCCGCCAACGAATCATTGAGTTCTTCCAGCCTGTGGGCCAATTTGAATTCGATGACTTAGGGAGATTGTGCCACAAGTAGACATCGTCACTACGCCCAACGCTTCATTCGAGTCTCGTATGTATGCAACCTGTAATAGGAGGAAGTGTTTATAGTACGTTGGTGAAATGAGTGTTTCTACCTGCTACTAATGAGTGTACATGCCGTTATGCCTCACCTCACAAGCAAGCCAGCATTAACCTCCCATCAAGTCATACCTCCGCGTCAGCTACAATACTCCCCGGCAGAGAGCCTAATCCCTGCTTCCTTCATGCCCATCTTCGACAGTACATCTGTGGGTCATTTAGCAGGTTCCAGACTGATCAGTGAAAGTACCAGCAACGATGGCGAATGAGCCGTGGTCGATGTACTTGGTTGGGCTAGTGTTGTAGTCCTCAAAGTTAACACAGTGCTCAGCCACGTTCTTGCTCTTGCCATAGTTCCAGATGGAGGCTGTGGCCTGCTTGACAGCGCTGGTGCCGTGGCTGGCACTGTTGAAGTTGGCCTTGTTACCGTTCACCTGCACAGAAGGTCAGTCGCTTGCAAGCCTGTGTTGATCCCAACTATGGGACTACTTACCCATGAGTAGTAAGCGTTGGTGGTGTCACGCTTCGAAACATTCTGGTCGGCATCCTCCGCTGCAGAGACTGTCTGCGAACGACCATCCGGGTGGAGGCGGACAGTGGCCTGCAAGGTCTTGCCGCTGTCGAGCTCGAGAGCGTTCCAGCTGTAGTAGTGCCACAGCTCGCCAGCCTCATCCATGTGTGGCTCCAGGGTGCTCATGGTAACGTTCAGACCGTCGACGAGAGTATGGTTGGCCTTGGGGAGACCGAGAATCTCGTCAATGTCTGCTGGCATACGGCCCTTGATACGACGAGCGTCTGGAGCTCCGTGGCGGAGGAGTCCCTGGATCTGGAAAACGGTGAAGAAACCGGCGATAACGGCGTATGTGGCCGCGAGACCGCACTGGGTTTTGTTGACGTCCTCTTCCTTGGCAGTCGCTGGACATTTGCCAGCGGCCATGTATACCCAGGCAGCGGTACTGCCCACGCCAAGCTGCAGCCAGCCTAGGGAGTAGGTGGCTCGCTTCTGGGGGGAGTCGAGGGCGGTTGTAATGCCTCGTGCCTGGATGTCACTCTCGGAGTCGATTGCGTATGAGATTGAGGTAGATTCCACATCCCGCTTGGTGCCCTTCTTGGTAGTGACCTTATAAGAGTGGGCCCTCGACCCCGTCTCGATGCAGATAGTGCCACCTGGGTTGCCTTTGAACGTTAGTCACCGTAGGTAAATACACTGGATTCGGGAGATCGTACCATCGTAAGTGCCAAGGTCACTACCACCGCAGTTGTCGCCCTCGTACAGCTCCAAGTAGTAACTGTAGCCCTGGTTTTGGCCGACCAAGAAATTCAAAGATGCTGTGTAGCCAGGGTCAGGAATATTCTTGCAAACGCTTCCCGCCTTTGGGCTGGAAGGGCCGGACTGGGTGCCAACGCCCTCGGAGGTGCATGAAATGCTTTGCCAGAAGGCGACTTCCCAGGTGTTGACTGCTGTTGCCTGCTCAATCAGAGCAGAAAGAGCGGCCAGGCCGAGAGCACTTGAGGTGACGAGCTTCATGATGAGAGAATGAAGTTGTTGCTTGGATTGTTGAAGAGAGTAAAACAGATGGGAGGCTGGCTCAGCTGTGCTTGCTGTTCGATTCTGGTTGATCATTGCGTGGTATATATATTTTGCTCGACAGACAAGACATCCATCAATGTAACACCACGTGCATCGCTGTGATACAACTCCATCTCTTCATCCAGCTCCCCTCGCCGTATGTCCAACTTGTCCGGCACCGACTGCATTTGAGACGGAGCATCCTTCGTATACGGGTTCTAGCTCTGACATTGGTCCAACACTGAGAGACATTCTTTCTACTGTCATCGTTTCCACGATCGCTCCATTGAGGATTGTTCATCACACCCAACACCAACATCAGCTGGGAACCAACAATGGGTCTTTATGCAACGCGACGTGATAGTTGACTTTGGCTCCATAGGGCCCATACCTTCCACGCTCAGGTCATGAGAAAAGAGCTGGTACGATGTATGTGTAAGCAATATCATACCACCCACGACGACGCACACTTTGCCCAAGGCAGCCTCGTGGGCAAAACTATAAGAAGTCTGTTTCAAGGTAACGAATCATGGTTGCTCTGAGGAGGCCACGCAGTAGACTATTGAGCATGGTTAGCACGCTGGGCTGATGGCGATCTCGAAGGCTGTTGACATGCTATACAGAAGCCGTTCCGTTTGTGAACGATTGAATCCGAAGGCCGCGGAGTCTACGAGACGGTGTGAACGCTGGTGCCCGCTTGCGTTCAGCTTTGTCAATATTTGTGCCCGAAGGTAGAGGAGGCTCGAAGAGACTGTCCTCGTTGCTGTGTGAGTTATGACATTTTGTACTGACAAAAAAGTCAGGCTATACGCCAAGGCTCGTATTAGATCAAACGTCGTGATGGCACAGTTGATGTTCCATCCATCCTCGGCCTACAGCCCCAGAGCAAACTTGATCTTAGCGCCGCCAGCCTTGTACCAAAGAGAAGAGCTTATGACAAAATCACTCATTCCTTAGCACTATGCTAGCCTCGCGGACTATGACTTTCCGCGGCACGCTATCCGCCAAGCTTCTTGCTAAGACCTTTTGCTTGGCTAATAGCGTGGGTAAAGCATCAATCGCTTATGTGGATCAGTATGGTGGATCTCCGGGTGGTCGTGGTATAACAAATTCAGTATGGAACCGACTGTGCTGAGTAAAGGGATGATCACATGGGCACCTGCTACTATTGAACGTGCACGATCCCCTCTAATGGCCGTGGTCCCAACTTCATGAGCACTGAGAGCCTTGTCACCGTTCGCTGGTAATCGGTAACAAGTTCATCGCATCAATTTCAGAGATTCACCAAAGATATTGTGTACAAGCGTACTTCATATCCAAGCCTCTCAAACGCATATCGTCGCACCGAACACACGTACGTTCTGGCCCGCACTCCCATTCGATGGTCGAACATCAATCAGCCAATCTCATGTCCATCATGACCTTTTTCGAAGACTCTATCTCATCTATACTCTCCACGCGCACTCTGGTCGGCCGCTCGCTGCTCTGGATCAATCTTCCCCTCAGCTGTGTCTGCTGGTGGCTCGGAATGACACAGCTCACCACACTCCACCGTCACCTGCCAGGGATCTTCACGCTTACAATCCGGTTCTTCCTGTCGTGTACGTTGCTGGCGTGGCTGGGGTTTGTGTACGAGAGGAAATTTGCACCTGGCGTTGGATTGTGATAAGACACTACACAACCAACTTTACAAGCAGCCAACCTCTCTTACGGACAGTCGGCAGACCTCTCGGTACGGTGAATACATGCTGGGGACTCTAGCAAGTCCTCCGTAGAACATCTTGAACTCAACAAGGTCGTTGCAGAGGAGCATCTATGCCGAATACCAGTTGGAAGACCACAGAAAGGCTGGAATTTCGCTGGTACAGGGATAAATTCGTAGAGCACAATAGTTGTCGCCAACCGCTAAGCAGACTACTACCAACGAGCGACTTTACTTCCCAGCCGCAACTCTTGCTATCTATGTTGTCGTGGGCGAGTGGCAACCCAGCGTCAAAGATACCTGCTGGAGCCAGCACGTATAGATTTCGCAAACCCACCGCTGGCTGGCAGATGGGAGCCCAAAAGGAAAGTGTGCGTGGTATTCAAGAACAAACACATAGCCAACTCGAGTGTCTGAATCCTTCCTATACTTATCTCAAGCAACTCCTTCAAGATCCTTTGATCCTTCACATGAAGACCCCTCTCGTAATGACGTCCTTCCACAGGAACGAAGATCCGGAGCAGATAAGATCTTACACACGTACCTAGGCCTCTGCCGTCGTCTTGTTTTCTAAAATCGGCTTTCCAAACGTCCTCAAGACATGAAGTAGGAACCTCCAGATTGGAAGCTCCATCACACCTACACACCAGCCAAACGTTCAAAATGCCTCACCCCGACCGAACCCTCGCCACAGTCCCCGGCGCTCCAGCGCCCAATTTCAACGGCTACAGCCTCGTAGTCCGCGCAACAGGCCATAGGATCCACTTAGCTGGATGGATGGGCGAGGATCCCGAGACGGCGAAAGTCGTCGAGGGAGGTTGTGAGGCCCAAACCGTAGGTACCTCTCCTTCTCTCCACACGGTATACGACTGATGATCGGGATGCGTTCCAGGAACAGATTATGGCCAATATCAAGACCTGTCTTGAAGCCGCGGGTTCCAGTCTGGAGAAAGTTGTGCTGAGGAGGTCGTATTTTCTGGATATCAAGAGGGATGTGCCGATTGTGGCGAGGGTGTGGGATAAGTGGGCACCTGGATTGAAGCCCGTGAGCACGGCTGTGCAGGTGAGTAGGGGTATATCTATGCAGAGATTGGTAGTTGTGGGATCTGATAAGTGGTAGGTCAGTGGGCTTGCGAAGGAAGGTGCCGTTATTGAGATTGAAGTTGAGGCGGAGGTGTGAGGATTAGACGACAACGAACAGATGCGAGAGTGTTGTAGAGATGCAAAGGCGATTCTTCAATACCTGTCAAAGGGAAGGATCGAATCACCGCCAATCCCCATTTACTTCACGCTCCTCGTCCTTCATCGTTTTCCTCGCCACCAATCCAAACTCCCAAGCTTACGCCAATTCCAAGTACCAACACCACAGCCAACAGTGCAAAAACCAACCACGGCGCACTTTCCACCGTGATTGCATATATCCCGTTGAAGATCACCGGAAACAGAATCCTTCCACAGGCATGCAGTTGACCAATCACTCCCAGAAGGGCCCCTGTCCTCTCTGCTGAAACATGCTTCGTGAGACTGCTCTGTACCACAGGAGCTGCGATGCTGCCAAGCCAAACTATGGCGCTGGAGAGGAGGATGAAGGCTCCCGACGGGGAAACTGCGTAGCCAAAATATCCGAAAGCGGTGATCAGCAACGTAGACCGGATGAGTGTGATGTCGAACGTCGTGCAGGGCGATGTTGAGTCTTTCGACTGGAAGAGAGAGGTAAGTAGAGGTAGCAGGAGAAAGTTGGCGAGAATGCCTGTCCCGTGGGAGACTGTCATCATGTACCCGAGCTCGACGCTTTTCCATGCGAACCTGAGGTTTGCGTAGGGCACGATAGAGGCGCTACCGAGGCCAACACCAAATACAATGGCATCGATGACGGCCAGACAGAGGATGTTGCGGCGGATGATAGCCGAAGAGCTGAAAGGCTTGAGGCTGAACCAGGCATTGCCCTCTTCCCTCACATTGTGCTCGTCGCTTTCACGATCTCTCTTGACTCTGCTCTCTTCTGGTAGCGACTCCGGTACGAGGAAGCCCAGAAACAGCAAGACGAAGCTGTGTATCCCCACCAGCATGTAAAAGACCACGGTAATGGTCCCACTCTTATCAACCGCCAGCCCAGCGAGCGAGGGCCCCACCGTCAAGCCCACGGCAAGACAGCCATGCAAGTATGCGAACGCGGTATTCCTCTCTTCGGCCTTTGTGCAGTCTCTTATGTAACTCCCAGCCACACTGGTCGTCACCAGTACGGATCCTGTAGCACCTTCGAGCGCGGCACCAAGCAGCAGAAGAATCGTGGGAAAGGTGTTCGGGTATGTCGCAGCGAAGAGCGTTATGATCTCGCTGGCGATCGTCCCAGCGACAGCAACCATCAGAGGCAGTCGCCTGCCCCATCGGTCTGATAGCGTGCATAGTCGAGGCACGGAGAAGATCAGGAGCAAGCCGCTCAGCAGGGCAATGTAGAGTGAGAAGAGGGAGAAGCGGGAGGAGACGGCGGGCGAGCGGCAGATGTCTTCATTGCCGTCGACATTCGTTCGGTAGTCCCGACAGACGAGATCGAGGATGAGGACCTGTTTGGAGGGATTGGCGCCGCCCAGAGCTGCGGTCAACAGCGTGATGGGAATAAGTATCCAGAGTACGGCTGGTCTTCGTAGCGACGAAAGTCGGCTGTTTTCTTTGACAGTATCCTCACCGCGACCATCATCGCGTCTCCGACTCAACAAAGGCTCTGTCTCCCCGTCTGCGTCTCTCTGATCCGGTACCATTCTCCGATCCGTCTCTTCTCGAGTTTGGACTCGCTGCTCTTGAACGTTCACAGTCTTCACCGCAAAGCCATATCGTGCATCGCCAGCCCACCATGCGAGTCCTCCGCATAGAAAAGCATCCTGCCTCGGAAATGGATTCAAAATTGAGGCTCGATAAGTGGGAAGCCTTGTTTCGTATATCAGAAGGCGATGATGTCGTCGTGCAGAAGTCCGAAATCCTGGCCTCCATGACCTGCGCTAGCGGCTAGCCAATGATCTTCAGCCTTGTTGGCCCCCAAAAGCCGGCTTGATGCCTCAGGCCATGAACAACCATCAAACTGGCAGCTTTAGAGGAAAGGGGCAAAAGAGCGAGGTTGATGTATGAGAAAATTGAGTTCAAGAACGGGAGACATGGGGAGGTTCCACACTAAGGACTGCACTGCTGGTGGCGCCGACCACTTGAGCTGCGTGAACGGTTCTGTATAAAAACCTTCTCTCTCCTCTCCTCTATAACCAACTATTTGGATTCGATGTTCTCGCGATGGCAGTTCCAATTGACGATCGGTTCCCACTCTCACGCCTCGACGATGAATTCGTTGAATACTACTACGACAAACTCGCATCTCTAGGAACGAACCTGCCGCCTTGGGTCAAGGACACTTCTGGCCATGGGAATGTGAAAGATATCACAGTACCTTCTGACGATGGCCATTTTATCACTATAAGGTGCTATGAACCCGATTGAACGACTTCTCCTTACAGTGCCGGGCCATATCCAGTTCACATCAACCTCCACGGTGCGTTGTGAGGCACTCACTTATCTATGCGGAATCTGACCCCGAACCAGGTGGAGGTTTCGTCCTCGGCAATCTTCGCAGTGACGCGCATCTCTGTGCGCAGTTTTGCGACGTGCTGGGAATTATGGTGCTCGATGTAGACTATCGGCTGGCTCCAGGTAAGGCTGGCTGCTGAATTCCCAACGTTCACCAACAGCCCTAACACGCTCAATCCACCAGCACACACCATCGGCCGTGGCCATGACGACGCTTGGGCGGCAGTTCGCTGGGTGAGTCGATGCAGCGTTCTCGATCAACGACCTGCTGACGATGCGTTGCAGGTTTATGCCCACGCAGCGGAGATCAACACGCTGCCAGACTCGATTTCGCTGGGGGGCATCTCTGCTGGCGGCCACATCAGTGCCGTGTGCCCGCGGTTCTCCCTCCGCCTTCACCGCTCCGCACCTCCGCACTCCCGCTTCACCTCCTTTCTTACCCTAACTGCTCGGCAGCGGTTCTCAGCGTACCAGGAACGTGGCGTTAAGACCCGACCGACGCCGCAAAGTCACTGGTTCCCTCCCTCGTCCAGAACGAGTTCGCTCCCTGCCTAAACTGGGAACGAATCAAGTGGTTCGCCAATCAGTATACCCCTCAGACCGAGCAAGCCAAGGCTAAAGTCTCGAACCGTCCTGCCTTCTTCAAACGACCCATCGAAGGGAACCTCGCAGGCCTCTCCGATACATTCCTCGCCACGGCTGACTGCGACCCCTGCCGTGACGAAGGCGAAGCTCTCGGCATGGCGCTGCTTGCCCATGGGGTGAAAGTGACCATGCGCAGGTACATGGGCGTCCCGCACCCCTTCATGCATATGCAGCCGATCCGCAAGGCACAGCTATATGTTCGAGATGTTTGTGAGGCGTTGAGGAGTGCGCATGCGCGGATTTAGGATGTGGTAGACCGTGTTAAATGCGTCTTGGACTGGTCGCATGGCTTGCCAGTCCTGGAGTAGATCATGTTCCTCTGAATTGCAAGGGCAGCTCTTCTTTTCAGTTAGAACCACGAGGAAAGACCACAGTATTCTCCTCGAGAGTCTGTTCTTCGCGTTCTTGCTGACTACTTTCACGATCTTCGGCTACCCGTAGTGAGGGTCAACATGTCTCGAACATCGAGCCCCGACCTCAAGGCAACAACAGATCTCGTCGAGGATGTATTGCCTACAGGAGCACACACAAATGAAGAGGTGCGTTGTCCAGACGAGAACCTCCGATGTCTCTGACTCCTTCTTCACAGTTCTCCAAGCAAGACCGCGATCTAGTTCACCGCATCGACTGGCATCTCATGCCATGGCTCTCGTTGCTCTACCTCGCCTCCTTCTTGGATCGCACAAATGTGGGCCAGGCACGAATTGCCGGTCTCCAAGCAGACCTGCAAATGACAGACGCCCAGTTCAACACATCCCTGGCTCTGTTCTTCGTGATCTATGCCGTGTTCGAACCGATCAGCAATGTCTTCATTGGCAAGATCAGGCCGAGTATCTATCTGCCGACTATGTAAGACGCCTGTACTACTGCGCATAGCAAGACGTTGACAAGTTCTTCGTGGCTCGTGGTATCATCCTCTGGAGCATCGTCTGCATCTGCCAGGGCCTTGTCAAAGACTTCGCCGGCATGGCCGCTGTCCGCTGGTTCCTCGGCGTCTTCGAAGCAGGCCTCTATCCTGGCGTGGCGTTTATTCTCTCATGCTTTTACAAGAAGTCGGAGTTTGGCGTTCGCACCGCCATATTCGTCGCGTCGGCAGCATTCGCTGGCTCTTTCGGCGGTCTTTTGCCAGCAGCAATCTTGCAAATGGACGGTGTAGGAGGCTACCCCGGCTGGGCGTGGATTTTCATCATCGAGGGCCTGGCTACGTTTGTGTTGGGCGTGGCATCGTTCTTTATGGTTCAGGATTTCCCGGAGACTGCGAAGTTTCTTTCCGAAGAAGACCGGGCGAGGCTCTTTGCGAGACTTGCAGAGGATGATCGAAGAGGTGATAATCAGCAAACGTTCAAGTGGAAGTATGTGTGGGATGCTGTCTCGGATTGGAAGACGTGGACAGGGTCTATCACGACCATCGGGTGCTCTGGGGGCTTATATGCCTTCAGCCTGTTCCTACCCACAGGTCTGTCTCCAGCCAATCATCCCTTCTGTAAGGTTTGCCACATTAACTCCCTCGACAGTACTCAGAGGCCTCGGCTTCTCAGTGATCCGCACAAACTTGCTCTCTGTAGCACCCTACGCGGCGGGTGCGCTATTCACGATCTTCATCGGCTTCGTATCCGATCGCTTGATGCGTCGGGGCCTGATACAAATCTCAACATCGTTACTTGGAGTGATTGGATTTACCTTACTCGTTGCGCACGTACATCCCTGGGTCAAATACGGTCGGTCAAACTAACTTTTGTGAGAAAGTGAAGAGGAAGTTACTGAACATACACCCGCCAGGTGGTTCTTTCCTCGCAACCATGGGCGTATACCCATGCGTTCCGCACTGTATGTTCACTGTTGGAAGTCCGCCAAACCAAGCTAACGGTCTCATTCAGCGCTTGTCTGGATCTCCAACAACATTGAAGGAGTAAGCAGACCACTCCACATCGTTGAAAAAGAGACTGACTCGGCATGCAGTTCTACAAACGCGGCATCGTCTTCGGTATTTGCATTGGCCTCGCCAACCTTCAGGCTCGTCTAGCTCTGTTTACCGCCAGATTGGTCGAGACTGACAACTCACAGGGCGTCGTAATCTCCTACCTCTTCCCTGCGAGCGACGCACCCGCCTACCGAGCGGGCAATTCCACTGCCTTGGGGTACGTTGCCATCGGCATCACGCTAGGATCGATGTTGCAATATGTTCTGTTGAGCTTGGAGAACCGAGCAAGACGTGCCGGTAAGAGAGACGCAAGGATCGAGAACAAGAGCGAGGAGGAAATCGCTGCGCTAGGAGACAAGAGGTCAGTGCCACTATGCCACTATATGAAATGAACTTTATGATCATTTGCTGACTCTGGAAACTGCAGGCCTGATTTTTTCTATGTGCTTTGAACAGTGTTGCGATGATACGGATGGCAACTGGGGACGAAATGACGGGGAAAGTCTGCATGGAAAAGTCGCATGTGAATGCCAAGACTGCGTGAATGTTGGGCGTGTTAGCATTTCCTTACGAAATATGAGGCTATAACATCGACAGAGAATGCAGTTGCCCTGTAATTCGTGACAGACAGGTAAGCTTCGTTCAGTCTCCAGTGCCAGAATCCGGCACACACCATTTGGCAACGCCGACTCCACGACAGACCTGGAATGGAAGGTCGGGGAATGTGATCAATCTACTTGCCGCACCTTCTTGTGCCGTGGCATCTATCGTCAACGCTGTCTTGCGGAGACATAGTATGTATGCAATGTTGGTGCATTGCTTCAGACATCACTCCCTTCGCACGGAGGATGCGGAGGTGCGGAGACTCACGACCATCGAGCCTTGCATTTGTCACCCAGGCCCATTCACTTCGTTAGCGGCCTTTGAACATCGTAACTATCCTCATTGCAGCTTCGCTCATCGTTAACGACCTCCTGGAACATCGTCATGGGCGACGCACCACCAGAAAGCATCATAACTCCCGCATACGTCGTCCACCGGCCCCAGCAGGACTTTACTTTGGAAGACATCGTCCTCAGCCCACCCTTCGACAATGAGATCCTGATTGAGATGAAGTACAGCGGAATCTGCCACACAGACATCGCCTGCCAACAAGGCGAGTTCGGCGCTGGCAACCTTCCCGCGGTCTTTGGCCACGAGGGCGCTGGATACATTCGATCTATCAGCACTGCGGTGGCACAACGTCGAGGTCTGGCGATTGGTGACTTTGTTTTGCTATCCTTGAGTTTCTGCGAAAAGTGTAGATACTGCGAAAGGGGATATCCAGCGGACTGCGATGAGGGGCGACATTTGAGGTTTTCAGGCTTGCGCGAGGATGGGACTACATCGGCTCAGATACTTCGGAGTTCTCAGCCTGTTCATATGCGGTTCTTTGGACAGTCAAGCTTTTCGAAGTTCAGCCTGGTGCATGAGACTTGTGTAGTCAAGCATGACTATCCGTCAGAAGATGCTTCTATATTCGCAGCGATGGGTTGTGGATTCCAATCCGGTGAGCATCCAAATACTTTTAACGACTGTTGCTTGACTAATATATTCACAGGCATCGGCACAGTCTTGAACGTCCTCATCCCACCTTCCGACAGCTCCATCGTCATCTTTGGTCTCGGCACAGTCGGCCTCACAGCACTGATGGGAGCAAAATATCTCAACGTGAATCAAATCATCGCCGTGGACCTACTCGACACCAGGCTGTCGATGGCAAAGGAACTCGGAGCATCAGTAGCCTTCAACTCTCGAGACACCGACATTGTGACTAGGATCATGGATCTGACGGATGGCTGCGGTGTCGATTTCGCCATTGACTGCACGGGAGCACCAAAGGTCATCGAACCCATGCTCGACTGTCTGGCCGTGCAAGGGACTGCAGTCACTGTCGGCGTACCACCCGCCGACGCCAAGATTAGGATCAGCCCCATGCGGTTTCTCGCTGGAAGTCGAAGATATCTAGGTTGTCGAGAGGGAGATTCTGTGCCTGCGCAGTTCATTCCGAAGCTGATGGAGCTGCAAAGACAAGGGCACTTTCCTGTTGAGAAGTTGGTGAAGGTGTACAAGTATAGAGATTTGGCACAAGCTCTGGACGATATGCGGAATGGGTCGGTGGTAAAACCAGTGATACAATGGTCATGAAAAAGGAGCTATTAGGCAGTGGAAGATGTTTTAATTTTGTTATTTACCTGGACAAAACACACAGCTTGGCCGACGATCACCAACGGCAACAGAGCATTGACAAAGGCATCAAGGGCATCAAGAGAAGCAACTAGAAGCTGATGATGCTTCACTTTGAAGTCATTCCAGACAACTTTGACAGCTGACTGTTACTGCTAAACCTCGACGAACCATAGAATTTATTAGCGACTTTCTGAATACCGCCAGATCATCACTGCATCGGATTCACAATGTCAAGCTAGGCTGACACGAAAGCCATTGTCAGCTTAGACAAGCCGAACAGCATGTGATGTTGAAATCGAACAAAACATTGGCCTTTCTCAGCTGGTTGAGTCGTACTCACAGACTGTGGCTGCAGCCTCAGTCAACACCCGTGGGAACGAGAGTTCGAGAATAAGCAAGAACTCTTCCCTTCTTCAAAGTACAGTACCACTCATCATGTACGACCCGGCGAAACCACCTCCGACTCTCCGATGTCCCATCAGCATCCCCCATGCCGCTGTTCTCCATTGATTATGTGAGGACTAGGGGATGGATGCAAACGGGTATAGGGTTCGAGGATGCCCCTGCGGAGGTGCGGATACGTCGGCTCACACGGCCGCATGGCATTGTCATTCCTTAGAGCACGAATTTCTGGCCTCACTTCCAATGATCTACTAGAGTGAGCAAGTTCACAATGCCCGTCACCAAATTCGATGTTCCTGAGCGTTACCGGTATCTGGAGGGGTTTGGGTCTTATCACCAGTGAGTTGTTGTCGAACGATTCAAAAGTTGAAGCATCATTCTGAGATGATGTACAAGATCCGAAGCGTTGAAAGATGCTCTCCCAGTTGGACAAAACTCTCCCCAGAAGCCGCCGTACGGTCTATACACGGAGAAGCTCTCGGGAACCTCCTTCACAGCTCCTCGTGGGCAGAATCAGCATTCTTGGCTGTACCGCATCTTGCCAACTGCCGCTCATAACCCGTTCACGAAAGACGAAACACTAGCGAAGATTGGAACCCGCAGCGACTTGGAGTCACTCTCGTACACTCCAACCCAGCTGCGATGGAGTCCATTCGACATCGATGCCTCAGCCGACTGGCTACATTCCATGCATTTGCTCGCTGGAAGAGGCAACGCGGCTGACAAAAAGGGAATGGCAGCATTTATCTACATGGCTGGAAAGTCCATGGAGGCCAACACTTCTTTCAGCTCTGCGGACGGTGATCTCCTGATCATTGCGCAGCAAGGAACGCTGGACATCCGCACTGACTTCGGCCATCTCCTAGTTCGTCCGTCGGAAATCTGTGTCATTCCTCGTGGCTTTCGGTATCATGTCTCGCTTCCAGATGGACCCGTGCGAGGCTTCGCAGTTGAGCTGTATGAGGGACAGTGGACTCTACCTAACCGCGGACCCATTGGCTCGCAAAGCATGGCCAATGAACGAGACTTTCAAATCCCCGTCGCGGCGTTTGACCATGACACAACCTCTACTTTCAAGATCGTCACCAAGTTCAACAACGAACTGTTCGTCGCAACGCAGACGCACACCCCTTTCGATGTGGTGGCTTGGCATGGACTGTACTATCCCTGGAAGTACGATCTCGGCCGGTACGCCACCATCAGCAGTATCTCCTACCATCATCCAGATCCATCCATCTTCACCGTCACAGCGCCCGGCGAGGCCCCTGGTGGCCCGCCCGTAGCTGAAGTGGCCGTCTTCCCACCACGCTGGCTGGCCATGGAAGGCACGTTTCGGCCGCCGTGGTATCATCGCAATACCATGGCTGAGCTAGTGGGTCTTATTAAGAGTCCTTCTCACGAAGAAACATATGGATCCTTCCAGCCAGGCGGGGCCAGACTTCACAACACCATGACGGGACATGGGCCTGATAGTGTGACTCTTGAGCGAGAGAGCAACGAAGAGCTGCTTCCTGTTAAAGCAGGAGAGGGAACATTGGCATTTGTGATTGAAAGCAATCGATTGATGGGTGTAAGTGAGTGGGGTTTGGAAGGATGTGGGAAGCGTCAGAAGGATTACAATGCTCAGACGTGGTTGCCGCTGAGGTCGAGGTTTGAGATGCCGGATGAGAAGTTGGTGAAGGATCATCGTGTTGAACAAGTCGTAACGATGAAGAATGGACACAGGGGTTAGCAATTGATCATTGACAGCAGCTACTATTTCTGCTGGTCCTTTTCCCACATCAAAAATCCTTCTTCTGCGTCCTCAACTGCATCGAAGCCAAACAGCTCGTGCAAGAACCCAAAATCTGCAAACCTGTACGGTGCAGTACGCCGTTCGTCCCACCAGTCATGATCTCCAAAGAAGGCATCCCGCTTCTCTTGTTCAACACCATCGTGCATGTGATACAAGTCCCGATTTGCATCGGCCGTAGCGACTGTGGTGGTAGTGCGTTCTTTGCGGATGGTTTCATACAGCTGCAGCATGCCGGGGAGCTTTTCCTTCGAAACGCCAGAATCTTTGACAAGGCCTAGCAGTCGACCGATGACCGCGCCGTCTTCAACCGCCATTGCAGCACCTGCAGCTGCGTATGGAACGGTAGGGTGGCAGGCGTCACCGAGCAAGGCTACCGAGCCTTTAGTCCAGGTTTCTAATGGATCCATGGTCCATATCTTCCATTTGAGGGCAACTTTAACATTCTAGATCTAGTGTCAGCAAGCAGTGGGTTCGGTTGATAGATCAATACTTACGTCTAGCAAGCGGCGAAGGCAAGGATCCCAGTATTCAAACATCTTACGCATTTCTGCAATATCTCCTGGTTGGCGAGCTACTTCGGCAGGCAAGTCGTCTGGACGGCTGCCGTTGTGTATGTCAGCGATCTGTGCCTCGTTGGCAATCGAAACGAGAAGACGCACATAACCACCATATTCAACAGCTGCCCATCCTTCACTGGGTACATGACGATATGACTGTCAGGCCCCCAATAAGTAGCTCGGTAATCCCTATTGATCTAGCCTTGTATAAAAGGATCTGCTTCGGTTCGAAGTGTTTCCGCGGGGATCGTTACTCGGTAAGCCAGATCACCAGACTCTTTCGCGTTCTTTACATATCCCAACACTGCCGTTCTAGTGTTAGAATGAAGCCCGTCTGCCCCAGTGACTACGTCTCCTTGTAGCTGCTCTCCGCTTTCGAGATAGACTTTCGGCGATATGTCTGGGCAGTCAACGCTGGCGGCGGCGCTGTTCAGGCGGATCTTCGCCCCAAGGCGTTTGGCCTCTTCGACGAGTACACGCTGGTAGTCTGCACGATGGATTGTACTTTGTCACGGTGTTACCAAGGCCCTCGTCTGCTGAATTACTTCGGTGGGCTTACTGCCAGGAATATCCAAACTTCTGCACTGACCAATCTTCTTCAGGTCGGAGCCCGATCAGGCTGCCGTCCTCCCATCGCAGTATTCGACACTTGACTTGGCCTTGGAGTCCAGCACGACGAAGCTGGGGAATCAAATCAAACCTATCCATAATTCGCAAGGCTATCGGCTTCGAAATATGTCAGTCTCTACATCATTCTACCGAGCCAGACCCTACGACTCACCGGTAGTTGTATACCAGCGCCCACCTCGCTGAGTTCTTTCGCAGCCTCTACAACAGTGACATCGAGACCCTCACGACGGCATGCAATGGCGCACGCAAGACCCCCTGCACGATGCCGTTAGCTCACTACAAGATCGAACTATCAACACAACTGACTGACCTAGTCCACAGCCAACAATAATCACCGTCGGCGAAAAGCTGCCGAGAACATCTGTGTCAATCGCCATTGTGGGATGGGCTCTTCAATTGCTCTTTGCAGGTTTCCTGACGACTTGATGGCATGTTGTCATCCAAGACTGGCATTCCCTTGTGGGCAAAGGTAGCTTGATTGTACCTGCGTCTACCTTGCACGCAGCGGGGGACAAGCAACAAGCACGGGAGGCCCTCAATCCGCCATCCCGCTCCTCCGTCTTTCCTCTCACGAGGATACTAATCTCAAACGAAGCCGAGTTAGTTCTCGAGAAATCGGTGACCCGAGGTCTCGCGAATTTCACCAAACTCATACATGGTCAGGCTGCATGACTTACGGCGGACATCACCAAGCTCGCAGATGGCACAGTGCTGGAAGTTTGTCATCGAAGAGCGTCATGTACAGCATGCCTCATTTTTCAGCACCAAAGGTTCACATTTGGTCATTCCCTGTATGTAATCGTTTCCAATGTCAAAGACCCATCCCGCACTCGTGCACATCGTGCCGAAGCCTACATGCGAGTCCCCAGCGCCGCAGATCCGCACTCCCGCTCTAGTTGATGAAATCCCAATCTCGCAACGAATCTCATGCCGTCATCTTGCAAGCAGTACGAGTGAGGATGGTGACCTAACTGGGGACTGCCCGCACTCGTGAGATATGGCATATTTGATCAACTCTGGACAGCAGTGAGAATTTGAAGGAATGGCGACAAAGACACATGCCCACGCCGACGAAGATGGTCACTTTCGACGCAAGGAAAGTACGTTCCAGAACTGGATCTCCAAGGACGCAGGGTCACTGTATCCCGCCGAAAGAGATCGCTATGTCCTCTACGTAAACTACGCCTGCCCCTGGGCTCATCGAACAATCATCGTCAGGGCGCTAAAGAGTTTGGAAGATGCGATACAGATGGTACCGCTGGGCTGCGATCTCACTGCTGGAGGGTGGACTTTCAACGGTGCGTATGTCAACCAACACCAATGTTCTGTGAACTGACTCCAGCATTCCTGGCCAGCACGGCTCGTTGGACAGAGATCCCGTATATGGCTTCACCAAACTCAAAGAACTCTACTTATTGGCGAACCCGGAATATACGGGACGTTTCAGGGTGCCTTGCCTGTTTGACAAGAAGACCATGACGATTGTAAATAACGAGTCGAGCGAGATCATACGGATGTTGTATACAGAGTTCGACGACCTAATTGATGCAAAGTTTAAAGAGGAGAGCAAAGGAGCAGCAGGTTTGTACCCTAAGCACTTGAGCAGTGCGATTGATGAGATGAATGAATGGGGTAAGTCCTTGCTCTAAAAGTGCCGACCACAATTGTTTTCCAGCAGCCTACTAATATCACTTGTAGTATACGATACTGGTATGAATCTCGTACAAATGGCAGTGGCCAGATGATTCTCTAACACAGCCGACAGTAAACAACGGCGTATACAAATGTGGCTTCGCAACCACGCAGGCAGCATTCGACACCAACGTCGAACCGCTCTTTGACTCCCTAGACAGATTGGAAAAGCACCTCTCGACCCCAGACCACCAGCCTTTCCTCTTCGGCAAGCACATCACGGAAGCTGGTACCTCATCTGCATTGCTCTCAATCCAACTCACAACTGACCGAGTTCGCAGACATCCGCCTATACACAACACTCATTCGATTTGATTGGGCGTACCACACCATCTTCAACCTCAATCTCAAATTCATCCGCCATGACTACCCAAACCTCCACCTTTGGCTGCGGAGACTCTATTGGGATGATACAGAGATTACGAGGGGTGTGTTTAGGTCGACGACGAACTTTGAAGCACATCGGTGGGGATATGCTAGTGCGAGAGGACTGGCTATGCGTGGAGAAGGGAAAGACGATGTAGTCATTATCATTCCTAGGGGGCCGAAGCCTGATATTGAGGAGCTCGGTCAGCATGAGAAGTTAGGGTAGATGTATCGTGATGCTTGACATGCCGCTCCCTTTTCTGGTGACAAATCTGGCATAATGATAATGAGTTCAACGTGCAGTGAACAATTTATGCGTCTTTAACTTGCACATCATTTGTTTGGACATCTCAGTGCCGACTTGTACCACTCCTCATGAATGGCAGAATCAGAAAGAACGCAGGCTCCGCATCTTCATGAGCTTTCCCTACTGAGGGTGGACTTACTGTCATTGCTGATCATGGAGTGGAGGAGCGTATCGAACGGTAGCTGCGGACACTGTGTCGATATGATGGCGGAAAGACGGGGCGAAGGTGCGGAGGTGCGGAGATACTGGGCGTTGACGTGGTCTTCGAGGCTGAGAATTGACTACTGGGCCTTGTGCGGCTCGCTCAGGTGTCTGCAAGGACTTTGAAGCAACAGCCAAGGCATAAAACCGTCGACAATTAGTCAACGGCAGACGCTTGATCGACTTTTGAAGTGCGAGCTTGTTGATCGACCGGCTGGGACATTATGAGTCCACGCCAAGAGAAAGTTGTACGAATTCTCCAGGACAGTACGCGTCTACGACGAACGTCATGATCTTCCTACTACCTGTATATGATCCCAGATAGCTTCTCGGTAACTACGACAGTCAGTCTTGTGAAGCGGTCCTCGTCTCCACATTGTTTCGAGGCATCTTTCCAGATCATCCAGCGCGAGGCTGAACTCAAGATCCAGCGAAATGCTACCGCCGTCGACATTGCTTGTCTTGTTTTCCTTCTTCGGACTCCTTCCTCGATCCCTTGCGCTGGACTTCCAATTCAATCAACAAGCACCAAACGGTCTACCGCTAGTCTCTTCATTCTTCGGAGTACCAGGCACGAACGCAACCTTCGACTATGTCATCACCGGTGGAGGTACCGCTGGTCTCGCTCTCGGCGTGCGGTTGGCAGCTGCCAACTTTTCTGTGGCAGTGATTGAAGCAGGCGGCTTCTACGAGACCGATAACTCCAACTTGAGCGTGGTGCCGGCTTCGCAGAAGGCTCTGCCGGTCTTGGTGTCACTGACTTTCAGCCATTGGTCGATTGGGGAATTTTGACAACTCCTCAGGCGGTAAGTGTTCATGCTGAACTCACAAAAAGTCATTACTCATAACGTTCTGTACAGGGGGCAACTGATCGAACATTGCTCTATGCTCGAGGCAAGGTCCTCGGTGGCTCATCTGCTAGAAACAACCTCGTGTACCACAGGCCCACCATAGGCAGTTTGCAGAAATGGGCAGACGAAGTAGGAGAACAAAGCTGGAACTGGGAGAACCACCTACCTGATTACAAGAAAGCGGTCAACTTCACCGCCCCGAACGAGTCTCTATACGGGAACGCCACGAATCTTTACGATGCAAGCGCCTTTGATTCGGCTGGAGGTCCTGTGCACGTCTCATATTCCAACTTTGTCGATCCTTTTGCGCCCTGGGCCAGACAGGCATACATAGCAGCGGGCTTGGCTCCTATAGCAGGTCTCAGCAGCGGCCATCTTCTCGGATCGTCTTACTCTGGACTGTTAATCGATCCGACTACGGGACGAAGATCGTCCTCAGAAGCATCGTACCTGCAGTCGGCTTTGAACGCTCGTACCGCTCCATCTATTTACAAGAACACATTAGCAACCGAGATCGTGTTTGATGGAAACAAGGCTATTGGCGTCGCCGCTCTGACTGCAGGAACGTATGGCACCCCATCGGTAAACTTCACACTGTCTGCCAGGAACGAGGTCATCGTATCCGCTGGAGCTCTACAATCCCCGCAACTACCCATGGTCTCCGGCATTGGGAATTGCAGTGAGTTGGCAGCATTCAACATCACCTGCAAAGTGAACTTGCCCGGTGTGGGTAAGAATCTGTGGGAACACATTGACTTTGGGATATCTCATGCCGTCAACTTCCAAGTCGCAGGTTCTGCGGCCAGCAACGCTTCACTCGCCAACGACATCCTCAACTCATATCTCAGCTCCGCCAGCGGGCCAGATGCTATCGAAGGGACCGGATACATTGGGTGGGAGAAGCTACCGCAAGCCAATCGTCAGCAGCTGAGCAACAACACTGGTGCCTTGTTGAGCTCCACATTCCCGTCTGACTGGCCGGAGATCGAATATCTTCCTCATACAGAGTATTCTAATGGAACCAGCTATGGGGTTATCAATTGTGCTCTGGTAGCTCCTCTATCACGAGGGACAGTCTCACTCGCCAGCCCCTTTTGCCTGGGAACTGCCAGTGTTTGATCCTGGCTTCCTGACAAGCCAAGCAGACAGACAGGTAGCAGTAGAGGCGTTCAAACGACTGCGGACAATCTGGCAAGGCCTCGTCAACACTGGCGTTGCAAGTCCAGTTGAAGCTTCGCCGGGGTCTACTGTTCAGACTGACGCTCAAATCTTACAATTCGTACAAGAGAACCTTGCACCTGTGTGGCACGCGTCTGGGACTTGCAAGATGGGTCAAAGGAATGATAGCATGGCAGTAGTGGACAGCAACGGGGCTGTATTTGGGAGTTCTGGACTGAGAGTTGTTGATGCGTCGGCGTTCCCTTTCTTGCCGCCCGGGCATCCGACCAGCACTGTCTATGCTTTCGCAAAGAAGATTGCCGATGTGATCATTCAAGGCAGGAATGAAACGAATTGAAGGCTGCAGTGGACGTATGCAGAGGTTTTTTATACATCGATGGCGATGAAACGTTGGAGTAAAAGGGTTGGCTCCGAGATGAAGTTTCGTGTCTATCTAGTTACTGCTGATGCGGTTGCGTCAGGCCCTGGCACATACGATACTCTGCTGATTACCAGACACTCGGACCAGTGACATGCATGACATCCGAATTTGACGTTGGGAGCTTGATATGCTCCGTTGCAACTGACTTACTGTATGCGGGTCTCTACGTCTTTCGTTTTGAGTCGACTCTTTTGAAAGCAACCCTCATTCGCACTAAGCAAGCTAAACGTCCTTTTGCGGAAGCCCTGTCTGGGTCTAGAAACTAGACAAAGATTTATTTGCAATATGAGCAGCCCGATGTAGCGCGGTTCCAACATATAACGAACTTCCGATTCGCCTGCGTGCAGTCGACTGATTAGGAAGTAGCTCAGCCTGTTCGCTTATCTCCTGCGCCTAGAAAAGAAATTCTCTCGTGAATTGCTTCGACGTCTTGTCACAGTTCGTGTACCTGTAGTTGTCTTCTATTTGGCTCTCAAGATACCAAAGCTATCAAGCAACCTGTGTAGATGGCTTCCGAATCAGCCTGAAACAGCCTCAACGGCCGTACAGATAAGCCTTTAATGGGTCACATGAGGGAGCATCATGATCAAAAGATCCGTCTTACAATACGATCACTTGAGCTCCACACACTCCATCTTTCAGTGCATCATTTGTTTGTTTCGTTCCTCTAAGCCCAACCCACATCCAACCCAAAACGACTAGGATGCTTTTCAAGGCCCCTCCTTGCGTACCTATAACCTGGGCAGCACTCTCCTGAACCCAGGTCTCTAGTCATCCTGTTGCCCATGACGGTCACCAGTCTCTGACTTTGTTCGAGGTTTCCCAGACCGCCATTCTCATAGTTGAGCTTGTAGTGCTCTCCAGTCACGACACTGTAAAACCTTTCGACCTCGTACCGCGGCCTGCGCAACGAGTGCAACGTCTTTGTAAAGCTCATGGCATCTTTGTAAACTCCATCGCTCAGGGTCTCGAGTCGGTTGGGAGTCCGGAAAACATTCTAGCTCTTGTGATATCTGGAACGGAATAGCGACAGCTTCGCTCGGAGCAGTCGGAAGCTTAATAAGCACGGCAGATGCCACAGTCCTTCGTGCAATGCAACAGTCCTTCATGCAATGAATCCTTTTCATGAAGCCTGAGCCCTTCGATCGCTGCTGGTCAGGCCGTCGTAGCTCAGATGCTTGTTCTTCTACAATGTCGTATTCACGTGTATCATGGTTGAGCAACTATAGTCTGATTTACTCCTTGATTGGATTGAGGAGAACTTTACTCACTGAAACAAGCCTGAATATTCTTTCAAGCCCTTTATCCTGCTCAGGCCCACGAGCTCTGTCGGCACCAACGTCACCACCAGCGAACACTGTTCCTCTTGAACACAATTGCGCCAATGAGTGCAACAATGAGCAGTGCAGCATATCATCCACTGTGCTTAAGGTGAGCCATTCTTTTGCTGTCCCATTAACGCTCTAGAAGAAAGGCGACTGCAAAGACATGAAGAACCTTTGCAGACGCCAATCCGCTGCCATGTTGGAGTCCTTCGACGAAACCTTTGTTTCTTCTTTGAAACTTCCAGTCACCTCCTTGGTTGAGCTGACTGCATGTGATACCAGCAAACGGAATGTATCATGATTGGCCGTCATTATATCCGTTTAGTACATCGAGGCAGCAAATGGTTAGATTGAAGCCAATTTTTGTTGGGGTTTCTAGGTACTTGTAGCCGCCAAGTCCACTGGTCATTGATATAATCGGTTCTCCGCCTTCAGCGTCGAAGGTTGTAAACTCGGCACAATACCGCTGTAGACTTGATCACTCTCTGGTCAACTCGCACATATGAGGATGGTGTACAGAGTTACAAAGTCGGGGAAGTCCCAAGACAAGATGCTCGCGTTCCACGGAGGATTCTGCTTACTTCACGCTGAATCCAGTGGCGAGTCGGGGAGACCGACGTCTACCAGTGCAACAACAAAATTCAGCTCATCCTCGTGGCCCACAAGGGTCAGGGCTACTCTCTTGCTGCGTTAGCGTGCGGAGCTTCTCCCGTGGGGATCACAAATGGAAACCTCGCCTCGCGTGCCAAAGAGCTCGTCCAAGATCGACAGCGTTGAGACGGAGGAATTCCGAGGGTATGAGACGAGCTATCTTCCACCAGTGCCGCAGTGCCTCAACAACGCATCCTCAGTTTGTTTGGGAGCAAGCCTACACCTGGTTGATTGCAAATATCTCATACCAGCTGTCCTCCTGTTGTTGGCAACAGGAGCCATGATGTTGCCAGCAGGGGTGAGGAAACCTCTGGGGAGCCTTGCAGATGTATCACTTGTGGATGGAACAGCTTTGGAGCATTCAATCAGATCTATCGTGCTGTAGTAGTCTTCCTGAGGATTGTCCGTCTAGTCCAAAGTCTTCGGGGACCGCTAGGCCAAATAAGATCCCTTATTCAGTCGCATCCTGATCCGTCAGCATCGTCTCGTCGCTTCCTCCGGCGCTGCACCAAGTAGACCATAAACCCAACTAGCATTAATCTTGTTTGGGACTAAACAATACCCGGTTGCCCGACTCCCCTCGCGCCAATGGAATACAACTTCGATTGCCCATTTTCCTCTCTCGGCTCAGCACATGTAGATCCAACGGACCAACGTGAAGTTGTAGCACCGCCGCCACCTACTACCTCGTGCATAATACTGCATCGAACTCTCTTGACCAAGAAAGTTCATGGAAACCAACTGCCAAGGCTGAGAGGTCTACAATGCTATTTGCTCAATGGTCGGAGATTTTCGCGCCGACTTCCTAATATATCTTTCTGAACGATAACACACCCCTTGGCATTTCAAGCCTACCAGGACCGGGCCTTCCACGTGCAGCTCCGGCTCGATGCGATTGGTGACAAGGCTCTCACGACCTGCGTTGCTCACCAGCTGTCGGTGATCTTGCCTGTACCAAGTAGGAGTTGGAAGCTTGAAGGATCAAGCAAGACAACCAGAAGGATCAAGCAGTCGAAGCTATAGCATGAACCAATGACGGCAGCGACCAATTGACCTACAATCTCGGCCGGCGTCGATCGATGATCTTGATCGCTCTTGTCCAAGCCTGGGCCCGGCCTGAACTCTCTTTATAACAGCTTGAACTGCCGATCCTTGCGAACCCCCAGGTTGTGGAGGATATAAGAGAGAGATGGGAATTGTCGAAGCTATGGTGACCTCTGAAATAGTAGGAATAATCTCTGTCCTTTCTCCTTGAGGTTGACCAATCCTTTCCGAAGCACCCCGCGACCGAACCTTTTTTCACAGCACAAGCCGAAATGGTGCACTGAAGGTAGTGTGTACGCATTTTTCATCAAAGACATGGGAGTGAGCGACGAGCAAGACGACCCTCTGAGCAAGTCCCGGGCACGCAGCTCTAACGGATGTTGGACCTGCCGCGTTCGGCGGAAGAAGTGTGACGAGAAGCCGGGGAAATGCACACCTTGCGCTTCGCTTAGATTAAAGTGCGATGGCTATGGGCCAAGACCTGTCTGGATGGATGGTGGGATCCGAGAAAAGCACAAAGTAGAAGAGTTGAAGGCACGGATTCGGCGAGGTCGAAAGCGGAGCCGCAATGCGGCAAAGCAGCCACCGCAGCCTCGTCCGGCGCACCGTCATCCGCATGGCAAAGATAAAAATCCTGCTGCTTCTATTGGACAGACGACACTTCGAGACGAGCCGTTTCTGAAACTGTGGGATGGCGAAGGACCCGGCGCATCTGCTGATGCCGAAGGCTTGTCACTGCTTGGGACGTCTTGGCCCGAGTGGTATGACCCCACGCCCAGAGTAAATGACATTTTCCTGGAGGACGACGCTTTCAGGGCTGTGTTGGATTTCAATCGACAATCTATGGGTCACGCTGGCGAAGATGGCCCTTGCGAGTGCATTCGAGACGTCGCTGCAGCCAAGTCATCAGCATTGCCCATTTCTGACTCTGAGGGACCAAGCCTTGTGCCCGAGGATTCGACTCTAGGCGATACCATGAGCTGGTCTTATGAGACTGATCAGCCGCAGCCCGGGCGAGTTGGATTCGACCAAAACTTGTCCAATTCTGCCACCAACGGAATTGAAGAGTCTTATTCCCTACCGTCTCTTGACTGGAACAACTACTCAGTCTCTGATTCCGTCGATGCTTGCGAGCCATTATCTACAATGCGACTACCAGATGAGCCTATTCAGCACACTACAGCGTCGATAACTCCCAGCGTAGCTCAAAGACCTGACGAAACCGCTCCCGCTCTCCGGTTTCTCACCAACCTTGTACTCCCAAATCAGTTTCCACACGCGGATCATGCACTGCTCCTGCGACTACGAGAAACCATACTTTCTCCCCAAGAATCGATCAAGAAATACGTCCATACCACTGTTACAAAATATTCTGAACGCCTAGAGTCACAAAGGCTAGCGAGATTTGGACTTCGATCATCCTCAAATCAGACCGTCAAATCCACAGAGTTTGATTTGGAAACGCTCATAGGACTTCTCTCCACGATAGCTGTCGCGACCGATAATACTGCCGAGAAACAGGATATTGAACAGTTGAACAGGGTTCTTGCTCACCAATTGCTCTTTCAGGTATGTTACATGCAGCGGACGAGATGGCATACTGAACAGCGTCCACAGGTAGAGGAAACCCCGACACCCCAACATGTGCTTGGTGACATTGCGAACCAAATGTCCAGCATTGCTAGCTCAGAGCCAGACAGCTCAGCAACAAAGACGTCTTTTGGCGTTCTGGTCGCTCTCGATGTTATCGGTTCTGCAACCTGTGGGAGACCTCTCCAAGCTTGGCCGTTTTCCTGTAGTGTGGCGCTTGTGGATTCGTCTCTATTCGAAATGACAGGATGCCAGCCATGGGTGTTTCAAAAGATCTTGGACATCACCAATCTTCGATCCTGGAAGTTGAGCGCAGTGGCAGCAGGCTCCCTGAATGTCACAGAACTTGCCGACAGGGCTTCGGCAATTGAGCAGAGTATTCTGGAGCAGCTTCGTGCCGTGACAAAGTCCCACCAGGACATCTGCTCCACGCAAATCACCGAAGTATATGCACATGTCGCCGAAGTATTTCTCCACACTACGACTTCTGGGGCACATCCCGATGTCTCGAACATCCGTGGTGCTGTGGCCGATACTATCGCCGCAATTGAACGTCTGGGCCGTGCACAGCTCCTTTGGAGTCTGGCGTGGCCAATATGCGTGGCTGGGTGCATGGCAGGGGATGAGTATGACAACTTCTTTGCTGGTATCGAAGACGGGGCGTGGGGTGATGTTGATTACACTCTCAAACTGAGGAGGGCACTAAGCGTGGTGAGGGAATGTCGCCGTCTGCGAAGAAAAAGCCCTCCCGGGGCGAGCATGCAACAGCGTCGGGGATACGACTGGTTTGATGCTATGCAAAGTCTGGGCAAGGATTGGAACTTGCTGTAGTTGACACGTCTTCCTCAAGAAAACAGAGAACATGTTTCTTACGTGGCTGAACGGCGAATGACTTTCTAAATCAACGGCTCGCAAGATTAACTGCGAAGCCTCGGCCGAACGCACGGGCCCACGGCCTTGTCTCAGGCACAAACCTATGTACCACTTCCTCCAACGAAATTCACGTGGAGCCATGCGCTTCAATGCACATGCATGATTCGGCTTAGTACGCACATGTCTCAAACGTTGTTTTCGCCCACATGTCGCCGATCGTCCGCGGATCCGATGCCATGCACGTCGGGTGGGCGTTCTGGCCCGGTTGATCATCTTCCTTCGGCGACTTCATCACTCTCCGGTGGGCGCCTGCCGCGCGCGTAGGAACATCGTCGAAGCGAGCATCTGGAGTGACGGTGTACCACATGCCACGATCTAATCCAGCATACATGCCTTCACCAGGCGGCATCCGGGCATGGCCGCATTGCACGAAGACGCTGAGGGAGTGTGCAGCGAGGCAGAAGAGGCATTGCGCCTCAGTGCCGTCGAGCGCCTGGACGAGTTTCGAAAACGACTGGACGATGCGAATGGGCCAGACGAGCGCGATGCAGTCCATCAGACCATTGCCGATGAGCTCGCAGCCTTACACACGAACTTGGCTGGATGCGCGGCGGCACTCCTGAGCACTCGCCTACGGCCGCCCAAACAGTCAAGTGCGTGGAAAGCACTATTAGCTGTGTGCAAAAGCGACCCCGCGAGCCGCAACGGGGCCGATGCAGCAGTTTGTCTTCGACTCAGTGCCCAAGTGGCGGCACACTGGGGTGCATCCGTCGTGCAGCGATATGCCTGGGCGTCTCGAGCACGCAGTTTCCTGGAGCGACTTTGGTCCGTCGCTAGAGTCCATGAAGAGTGGGAGGACGCTGTAGGCTATCTCAACGCAGTTCTCGTTCTCCGTCAAGAGCTGGTCCTCTCAGGCAGGCTCTCTGCAAGCACTCGAACCTGGCAAACGATTGGGCACGAGGCGGAAAAGGGAGCTCCACGGCTTCGCTACTCGCCAGTCACGGCAGCCGATCTCAAAAACGTTATGGACTGGACCAAAGACGGATTTCTGAAGCTGGGCGGGAGGGTCGTGGAGAACTTAGAAGAAGCGGAGAGGACGGTCACGCACTGGACCACTGCAACAGCAGACACCATTCAGCTTTGCGACGGATCCTACTTATCAGATCGACCGCATGGGCTCTGGACTAGGTGCATGATTGCTTGCGATCCGGCTGGGCTAGTGGTTCGCGAAGATACGCTGCAGCAGCCCCCGCGAAGAACACAGTTCGGTCAAAAGAGGCCTGCAAAGCGACCGCGGTTAGACGGTGATATGACTGCAATCTCTTTGAGTTCAGCCCGGAATGACGTTTCAGAAGAAATCCATGGCAATGAAGACTTCGATTGTTCCGTGAGCTCCCCGTTGGCAGTCTGGCCGACGGAAGGCTCAAGCACCGACCAGACCCCCTTGAAGCTGGGAGAAGGGCAACAGTCTCTTCTGTCAGGGGAACCTAGCGTTGGTTTGCAATTCCGGGCAGATGAAGAGCAGACCGATGGAGACGAAATTGAAAGCAACGATTCTGACAGCGGAGAGAGCCTTGATGACCCGGCGGACGATGTAAGATCAGAAGGGGCGGACAGCGACGACGACATCGGCCCTCATGCGGTGCAGGCAGCAGCAAACAGCACCGCTAGCTCTCTTAGCGAGGATGACGTAGACATGAGCAGTGACAGAGAACGAAGTGAAGATCCGTCAACCCCGGGAACGGCGCAGACAGAAGTATCCGCTCACTCGCCAGTGGACGAAGACGACCAGGACGACGGGACAGACGACAATGAAACCCAGGGTGAGAAATCGCCTCAATCAGATGATGTGGCCAATACCGGGGACAGAGCAGATGCTCATTCACTGGACTGTCCACTTTGCCCAGGCCGATGCAAGGCTGGCTTTGTGCCGAACATCGTCACCTCTCACGACGAGAAGCACAGACAGAGGGCAATTCAACTCCGCTTGAAAGCTTTCGAGCAGATACACGCAATCTATGAGCTTATTTTAGAAAGTTCTGGAACCGACGTCAAGTCGCACATCTTGAAGAAATGGGCCTCTCCCACGCACATCGCCTCGGTCTTTTTCGACCCCGACGAACATGGCCTCTCCACTGCATCAAGAGAGAATGCAGATGCGTGGTACTTGACTGCACAACGTCTACAGGCATACGGGAAAGACGGTATTGTCCTCAATCGACCAGTCGTCATCAAAGGCGCCGTGCGGGACGCTGGATGGCTAACATGGGACGACTGTTACAAGCAGCTCCGTTCCAAGCTTACGGGGCGTAGTCTGCAGGTCAGGAGCGCCGTCACCCATCTTCTCGAAGACATCGACGGAGACGACTTCTTAGAGATGCTTCCTGCCCCTGAGTCTGCGCTGAATGCTCTTGACCTTCCCGGGCTGATACGAGGCGACCGTCCAGCCTTCACTCTGTTGCCGCATTACCGCTTGCTTGAAGATCTGGTTTGCAGCGAAGCCTGGAACGACGCAAAGAAGCAAGTCACCACCAAAGAGTTAGATCTATATGGCTGTCTCTCCTTCAACATTCTGGGTCTTCGCGGGGCATTCTCTGGTGCGCACCTTGACGTCCTCAATGGCACATGGGTTCGTGCTTTCTGTGGCCGCAAAGCCTGGATGTTTGTTCCTCCCGACCAGGTAGAGGAAAACGATTTGAGGAGGTTAGCAAGGGATGGTGACGATTACGACCCTCGTGGCAAAGCTCGAACACTGATTATCGAGGCCGATGAAGTTTTACTCCTGCCACCTGGCGCAAAGATCATCCACGCTGTCCTGACCACAAAAACATCTCTCATGGAAGGAGGTATGCTGTGGGACGACTCAAGAATCCTTGAAATACTTTGCAACATGCTTTGGATGGCGAAGAACCAACAAGCCACGAATGAGGCGTGGCCGAATCAGATCCAGGCCGTCATACGACAGCTAGACCGAGCAGTGGTCTCGGATCCGGAGCGCTTTGCTGGAGGCGAGTGGGATCCACAGGACTTTGTCAGAGAATATGAAAAGCTCAGTCGAGAAATAAAAGACCTGCCATGCAAATGTTCATCGAGGTGCGGTCGACGTTGTCCATGCAAGACTGATCGGAGGCGCCGCACACCTGAGTGCAATTCCCATGCTGGGAGGCTACTGGCATGCTGCAAAGAGAAGTAGAATTGCGGTGTCGCATTGTTTCAGTATTTAACGTGATACATGCAGACGGGCTCTGAATTGTGCTGCTTGTGCACAGGGCGGACATCGTAAGTCAGGATATTGGAATGGAACCACCTGTATCTACGTTGCCAGAAAGTGATCCTGCTATGTACATCGTCTATAGATCATTATCCCAAACCATATCAGATGCTTGAATTCACAATGGTTATAGAGTAATAGGATTGGCCGATCTGTGTCTGTTTCTTAAAGATTCGAGGCCCATCCAGCTCGAATTACCGCCGCGCTTTTATCGTAGTCTTGCTCCCACCAAACTTTGAAGCAAGGCGAACCTTGACGCACGAACATAATTGGAACGTCTCGCAGGCAGAGGACTGCGTGCTGTCGAAGAATCTACCTAATGCTATACTTTCTCTGTTACTCTGCGTCTCAACAATTCTGTCGTTCTCAGCACCACTTCCCGCCATGGACAAAGACGGATCTAGACCTGCGAAGCTGCAAGGAACATCTGGTAATGGCGACCACTGTCGACCAATGCGGCCGTCGGTGATGCAACAGTTTGTAACAGTATGTCAAACAATGTCACACGCCTTTGACACGGACGTAACGAATTAGCGGCCAGATATACGTGCCCCTATCCTGGACATCACATCGACAATCCCGCAATTACACCCAAGGCCTCTAGGATACTGGCTGTTGGCTCCATACACGGACCAAAATCCGGAGTGCAATGCGCGTGGTGGCCCACCACAAGTAAAGACTGGCCCGTACATCTTCGATGACCACGGAGTATGTGTGAGCCTGTGGTATTTCAACTTTCGAGCTGCTGACGATATCAGCATCTTGTCTGGAGCGGCTCGCACATTGTGAATCGTGATCAAGCATGCGACTTCAAGCAAAGCCAGACGGGCGAGTTCTCGCTATCAATAATGAAACCATTGCCAGGAGCTTTCTACTTCGAGTCAGTCCCCATGGTCCTGAACTCGTCTCTCCAACTTTCGAGTCCCATCGAACCGCCTACCGATGAGAAGATGTACCTCGACCCGCACGAATTCATCCTCACAGGCGATGATACATATATCATCGAGACAAAACATAGTGTGAATGTTACTGGAAAGGCGCCGATCATGAGTTGTGGGTTCAACGAAATCGATCGCAAATCAGGAGAAGTCGTTTTCAAGTGGAGTTCTGCAGATCATGTTCCTGCCGAAGAGTCCTATGTGCTTGATGTTTTGCCCCATGAGCCATTGGACTACCTGTGAGTGCACCTCAGTACATTCACCCCTTGACCAATGTGACTGATGATACACAAGCCACTTGAATTCAATCGACAAGTCTAAGACCGGGGACTATCTTCTCTCCGGTCGCTTCACGAACACGATATACCTGGTTTCCGGCCGCGATGGCTCAATAATATGGCGCCTTGGGGGCAAACGCTCATCTTTTGAGTTGGATGGGTTCAATTTCTCTGCCCAGCATGATGCGCGACTCGTGCCCTCTTCTGACCCAGAAATAACTTTGCTCTCTTTCCTGGATAACGCGTCAAATGGCTTCGAAGCGACTTCTACAGCATCGTCAGCCCTCTTGGTCAGCTTGAATCATACAGATATGCGAGCGAAAGCTCTGCGTCACCATTATCGCCCTGACGGAGGATTGGCGGAGCTTCGCGGCAACGTGCAGTATCTGGCTTCCGGTCATATGTTCGTTTGCTGGAGCAAAGATGGATACATATCTGAGTATGATGAGTTGGGTGCCCTGATTCTGGAAGTCAGATTTGTGGGACCATCGTTGGCGACATATCGGGCATTTAGACTTGAATCGGCGTCCTGGACTACACCAAGAGATGAAGAACCTGCCCTTGCTACGGCGGATGCTGGAGATGGGACATCCTCTTTCTTCATGTCCTGGAATGGTGCACACGATGTTAGTGCATGGAGGCTGTTCGGTTGTACGAAAAGAAACACGTCGAGAGCCGCTTGGTTCAGAAGAGCACTGCACACAGAAAGTTTCTGCGCCGATAACCCAGGTCAACTTGTTGAATTCGAGCGGCTTGGATTTGAATCCAATGTTACCATTTCAGTGCCGGCAGAAGTTGGGCTGGTATTCGCCCAGGCAATCGCATCCTCTGGGGAACTTCTCGGACAGAGCAATGCGGTGACGGTCCACGCATCACCCAACATCATGACGGACTTGAGCCCCTTGGTAGACGACGATGTCCAGGGTCGGTCTGTAGTGATTATGGCGATGATATGGGTGGTACTTGGAATGGGATTGCTTCGTGTGCTACTGGCACTTGGCAAAGTCCTGCGGGAGCCAGGTCGGGCTGTGCTTTTGAAGCCACGACGGGAACCGTTTCGCGAACTTGATAGCGACGATATATAATATTACCACGATGCTCCATTAACAGCTTATGTGAGAGCATGCGTTGACCAATATCGTGGACACAGAACTGTTTTAAGTAACTTCCTTTGCCGGGCCGTGGCCATGTTTCGTAGGCAAAGTAACGACGTTCGTCAGACTCAATCTGATGTCCGGGTCGACAGGCATAGCGTGCTGTCTTTCCGCCGCCCAACGATACATCTTGTCTGCATTTCGGCATTTATGCTGCTGGCCGTTCGGAATCCCCGGCCAATGCTGAGTGAGGTCGATGAGAGTCGTATCGAGGAAACAGGCCAACCCCTGCCTTACTGCCTCGAGGCAGTGGAGAGCGTGATCCCATTGGATGGGCTCGTTATCACCCGAGGTTCCGTTTAGTTTGTAGATTGTTTCTCTGACGTCCTTCTGCTCTATCAATCAGCACCTGAGCCGAGTGGTTGATTCGAGTTTTACTTACGAGGCAGGACAATTGATGATAGCTTGCAATCATGTAAATCATCTCCCCTTGCCTTTCGGGCGATGGAGCTGCTTCGGGTACGTTGTGAGCTTTTGCAAAGGACCGACTGACCGAGACAACCCCCTCACCGGCTAGGTTTGATCAGTCCACGCCACCACCATTATCTGTCGCTAAGAGATACATACGGGGAAGCAGGTCGCGCCACTCTCGGTCGGCGTAATGCGAGTAGGTTCCATTCTCCTCGTCAAGGAGATGAAGCCAGTCATGAGCGAACGACTTTCCCATCCATTCATCGTTCCAAACTGCCAAAGGAGATTAGTTGACCTATCTCAAAACTTCGTGTGTACTTACGGAAACTCTTTTGTTCAGTGTCAAAGGCTAAGTCCACCGTCACGAAATGCCAGTACCACGCGAGATTGGTAAATATTAACAGGACACAAAGTCCACTGGTCCATACATCAATAGTCCAGCGTTCATAGAACTTGGCCGGCCGAAGATAAGTCTTCTCAATATCATGTTCATATGAACTTTCCCCTATAAGCCTGTCCTCCTCCAACAGCTCGTTAGAACGACCCATGGTCGCTGGGGGTTCTGTTGGTCTGGGCCATTACTCTCTTGCCAGAGTCTGGAATGGGGACGGCATTGGAAATTGCATATCTGCGCAATAGTGATGTACCGCGCGCTTAACATGTCGTATTCTCCACTCCACTTCATCTACAATATCGAAATAGATGTAGGACGGCATAACTTCGAGCAACACCTCAAAGATGGCCTGTTACATTGTATCAATTTGCGAGAGGCACAGTACACGGCATGCAAAGGATGTGGTAGTGTCATCGTTCAGCGTACCTATGCCGACGTCAGGCTGACGGATCCACGGGCTGTGCACGGACCATCAAATCAGCCGGTTTGGACATCCGTGCAGCGGCAGCGTCTCCGGCCGAGACCTTGCTGCATTCGCTCTTCATGTTCTGTATTTGTGTCGAGCTCGGTCTTATCCTCTACTTATAAGAATTTGCAGCAGCTTTGATCACCGGTCGAGAAGGCCCCACCAAAACAATGCGGCCAAGCAGCCCGGACATTGTGTTGGGTTGATTCCTCTTTGTAAGCCCTCTCACTCTCCCATTTACGCTAGGCTACGTTCGGCTTCTAGAATGCTTGCAGCGGAGCGGAAAGATGGATGAGGATGCAACGGCGCTGGGGAAGCTCGGCAAGAATACACCCTAGGGAGCTTTGCCTGATAGCACTTCATAGTTGAGACTCCTATAGAGCGTGTACGTCGGGGTATTCAGCTTTTGCAGGTACGAAAGCGACGCAGTCGAGACAAGTACTCTCGGAGCTCGATCCTGGCACGTGGTCCGGGTGTGGGAAGGATTGGCTGAGGGGCTGCAGGACGGGCGGGGACACGGGGAGGTGGAGCTGCAGCACGCCTAGCCTGACCGGGTGAAGGATCAGTTAGCTTGGTGTTGGCACGGGAGTTGGAAAGGCTGCAGGGCCAGAAGCTGAGTCAATCCAACCACAGCTACAAGCCCTGCTGAGCCAAGACCTCTTGGCCCCATCATCTCTGAGAAATCGACGCGCGCAGTGGTCCTTCCGCTGCGCTCCATGCTTCCAAATCACCGGTATATCATGTTGCAGGATGAGGTAAGGCATGCGAGGAAGCGAGCCAGTCCTCAGCAGCTCCTGGAACCAGGGAGCAGTCCAAAACATGTTTGTCCCTGTTCTCCGAGTTGCGAGGAGAGGACAACCAGCTCTGTACGCCACATGAACTGTTACAATGAACCAGAAGGCCCCTGATCAGGGCAAGACCTCTAATTCCCGTCTTCCAAGAACTCAGAAAGACTGCTGGACATGTCGTGCTCGTGGAACCAGATGCGATCAACGCCAGGGCAAGTGCGCAAGCTGTTCTTCACTACGCCTCAAATGTGCAGGCTACGGACGGAAGCCCGAGTGGATGGATGGTGGTATACAAGAGCAGCAGAGGGTAGACGAACTGGAGAGGCAAATCATTCGACGTCGAAGACTGGCATCGGATACACCGCACTCGCCTCGACGCCTGCCCAGCTCTCGACCACGATTGGCGACCATGCCAACATTGTCGATGATGACTTCTGCTATTGCAAGATCTCCAGCACAGTACACTGAAGATTTCAATCGTGCTCTTCAACTCAGTACGCCAGATATTGGTGCCTCCTTTCTTCCAACTCCACCGAAGATTGGCGAGTCTAGCTTTTCTGGCTCTCGGGACCTCCTTTTCGAGACCTTGCAACCAATCGCAGATTTCAACAGCCAGGCACATACAGTTGAAATGTCTTCAGTCGACCATGCGCAATACGTCGATGGTGCCGGGAACAATGATTTCGCTTTTGGACAAGATATATGTCTTTTCTCGCCAACAAAACCAAATCCCTCTGCGTCTCCGAACCATGCAAGCATCCAAGAGGTTACTAGCAGCACAGGCGTTTCACCAACCCAACGCCAGGCCGCGCCACTTGTTTGCAGCGACGACACATTTCACATAGAAGACTTCCTCGTGGGCGATGAAGCGCCCACCAAAGATTGCAGTGGCGAGAAAAGCATAGTGATTCATGCAGGCCAGTCGCAAGATATGTTGGACGACGCCCTCGGGATTTTCCAGCTAGAGACGCTGTATGCTGATCTGGATAAGGTGGACTCGGGTGTTTCAATCATGTCGTCTTCGGAGGATTCCACTTCTCTGCGCGAGGTCTTATACTTCAACGACACTCTTATGCCCGAGCGATTCCCATACATGACTAACACAACCCGGGATGCCATTCGAGAACGAATCCTCCGTCCCGATGCAGCGATTAAAGACTTGCTCGACAAATCGACGCTGGCATACATAGACTACGTCCAGACCCGAGGGCTGGAGCGATATACCCGGGGTTCTGCACGCTCCAGAAGAAACTTGAAGACCAAGCTGATCGTTGAAAACGCAACGAGCCTCCTTCCTGCTCTCAATCAGGATGCTATACCGAAATCTTGCTTGGAGGAGATTTTCATCGTATTTTTCCAAGTAGCGTTGCTTGAGGTGAGACATCTTGTCGCCGTAAGCATATTCACGACTAATCTGGTGCGACAGGCTGAGGAAGGCTCTTGGACCACTGGCCGTCTTCAAGTCATTGCTGAATTCATTCGCCAAAACTCCATCCAGCTCGACGACAACACCAATCCGCTCACCAGACTTCTTCTTGGCTTCTTGGCCATTGTTGACATTGTAGCATCGGCGTGCGATGTACAATCACACAGCAGCTCAGCTCCTCTCGACGACTCCTGGCTCGAGAATCCGGACCTCGCACAAATGACTGGTTGCCAACCCTGGGTCTTCCAATTCATATCAGAAGTGACTGGATTGCGGCGCTGGAAAGAGGACCTTATAGCTTCCCAACCGCTGGACGCGCAAGAACTCTCAGAGCGGACTTCCAAGCTGCTTGGCGAGATTCAGCGACGACGAGCACACGACGTGACAAGTATTGACATCGAATGCGGTGAAGAAGAAGTGCGACACTCCACCGAGGTGTGGTGCTACGCCGTAGAGCTATTCCTTCACATCACCGCATCTCCCGCATTGCCCGACGTTCCAGATGTTCGCCTGTGTGTAATCAAAATTATATCGGCCGTGCGCCATCTGAGCCACGTACGACAGCTAAGACGACTATCGTGGCCTATTTGTATCGCAGCCTCGATGGCCACCCGCGAGGACGACGCATTCTTTGCCGCTCTCGAGGACGGGGCTCGCGGCGACCACGATAACTGCCTTAGCCTTCTCAGGGCTCTAGACGTCGCGCGAGAATGTCAACGGCTCCGACGTGTCGCTGATAATCAAAGCCGCTATGACGAGAAACGATCGTTTGAGCACATTGAAGCAATGCGGAGCCTGCGTAAAGAGTGGGTTCTTCTTTGAAATGAATCGGTTGGCTTGGAATACAATACGTACATAGTATCTCAGTACCCTACGATGGCGTGGAAATATAGAGCCATCGACATCTACAGCTATCTTCTCGCGGATCTACAGTCTCTCTACTTTCATTGTCATTAAAATGTCCCATCGTGGTTGCGATGATATGTTACTGTGTGGTGTTCCTCTGCCAAGATGGCCCTATAACCACCCAATGTGGAAGTTACATGACTGCTACAGCCTTAAATTGTGTCGATTACGACGACTAATCACAAGCTGCGACGCTGCATCATTCACAATCGAAGCTGAGTGTCTCATATACAAGTTGATGTATTTAGCAGTTGTCGATTTCCCCTGCTCGGATTCACCATTCGTGGCATGGCAATAGTCCTCGCTATCAAGCTGCTACCAATCGTCGTTTCTTTAACTTCTGCTCTACGACCTTCAGAAGTTGAAAACCACCGTAGAACCGGAACAAGCTTCGTTGAATTTATTACCAAGAAAGCTTTGCTACTGTGGTCTTTGTAGCTCGAAGCCCTTATTTGAATCCCCCCTTTGAACGTTCCTTGCGATAACCTAGCACCTTTCAAACCAACGGGGCGGGTCCAAGGAACCTCGGCGGCGTCGTTATGCTTCGGACCGCCAAAATAGGTCTGTAAACTGTGCATCGAGAACAGTCAGGATAGCTTCGGAGAGTTGTCATTGTGAGACCAAAGCACCGTTTCACGGGATCACGATACCATAGCGCAACATGGCTTGGTTCGCGAACTGCAGAAAGTCGGGTGCTACCAATCGTCTCAAGTAAAGCAGACATCGGTGGACCAACGATGGTTATATGGCAAGGGCACGCCATCATTGAAAGCGAATTCCTCCAGTGCCTCGAGGCAATGCTCCGCATGGAACGAGTTCGTATCGCGCGGGCATACATGACTCTTGGCATTCGTCGAGTCGATGTATCTTCGAAGGAGGGCGATGCAGTGTGCAACGTGGAACAAGCCGTCGGCGGGGATTTCGTATCCATTTTCGGTGGCGAAAAGTGCGTCTTTGTCAACGTAGTCGCCGTCGTCGCGGAATTTGGCAACTTCGGGGTATTTTCGCCCGAACCACTGTTGCCACGCACGTTCCTTATCTCCCACCAGAGACGCGGGCATCAATGCTCCGTCGTCTAAGCGTAAGACGTACTGATTGACATCGTTGGTGGCAAGCCAGGACGTGACGTTTTCAGAGGTGAGCTGTCGTTGGTGTAATGGTCCTTCCGAGCCAGGCGATGGGTATTTGATCCAATGTAGGTCGTCAGATTGCCCACCCGCGATGAGGATCCCCCCAAAAAGCCAAAGAAGTCCGCCTGCCATCGACCTTAGTCTCATTGTCTAGGATTAAGAAAGACGGTCGGTGGACTCTGCGAAGATATCGAGACGCTCGTCGGGTTTGGGTGCAACTGCGTGGGTATGAAAACGGAGAAGGTCTGCAACGAGGAACCTCGACATGCGAAGACACAAGAGCCCAAAGCTGGCAACTGGTGGCCATCCAAGCGTCTGCGTGGCCGCGCGGACTTGATCAGTCGTGCCAAGCAGTGAGGAAGCCTACAAGATCAGGGGCAACACAGGTCAGCCGGTGAGCGTTTGAACAGGATTGAGTATAAGACTCGAACAAGATATTCTCTGGTCGCATAATAGAGTCTACACCAAAGGTATCCAGCTCGTAGCACAGATTTCGGCTAATACGCTATTAGCAGGCACCGCCTGTCTGAACGTCTAGGCACGTTTCACGCTCTTTACACGGATCTGGTTTTAATTCTTGTTCTCTGTAGAAGTGACGACAAAAGCGGCTATCCCAGGTTATTTCGATATTTGCTTAAACTGTCTAACGACAGCCACGTTGGTGCACGGAGAAGACTGTGGTCGAATGATTCATATTAAGAGGAAATGTAACCGCATGATAGGGGAACGAATATTTCGAAAACAAGGACGAGTACTAGCAGCATCATCAAGAGATGTATCTTGGTTTTCTGAATAGTTTTAGTTTCTTCTGTCGGCTGTCCGCTTTCGCTATATTTCCGACACCAGAAGTGCGTCCAAAAATCTGCAGCGCCCTCGTCTCTCGAAGTGCGCACGGCCAAGTTACATGCGATCATCGGCCGGTACATGGCGGCCGCCCAGTCCAAGTTTGCACTTATGCAACGTTCCGTTGCACTATCATAGGGCGTGTTCAAAGTATCTGGGAACCCGATATCTGCATCACGAGTGCTGATGGTGACTACAGCTTCCCGGGATGCTTGGATCGGCTCCTAAGGAAAAGCCGCTCAAAGCCAGTTACAAGGAGCCAGGCGATGCCCCAGAAGCTCATCCCATGTGGCTCGTCCAAAAGCCTTCCGGGATAGTCAGCCATGGAGTCGACGGCGCAACAAAAGTCGGCTCGCGATCGTGGCCTGAGAAGTTCTATCACCATCGTTAGATTAGGAAACGATATTGTCGCACATAATGTTGACTCCAGACCTTTTGCTATATAATACGCCAAGCAAACGTAACGGCCGTTGCCCCAAGACTGATGACCATGAAGAAGAAGGTTATTACCATGAAAATGGCGACGTCGTGTGGTTTCGAGCCCCCAGCCGCGAGTCCCAGTTCAAGCTGAGAATCATCTCCCTCGAGTGGATCTTTGCCGCAGTGGCAACATGGAGCAGCCATGGGGTAGGTAGG